CTGGAAAAAAAACACATTGGATCTAGAGTCCAGACTCTTAAAAGCGTCGACAAGAAAAAATGCTCTTGATTCAATCAGATTTAAGCTTAAATCAAGAACCAACCCTCTTAATTTGAGCGGATTTCCTATTGATTTAAGCTTAAATCTGATTGAATCAAGAGTCCTTTTTCTTGTCAATGTTTTCAAGAGTCTGGACTCTAGATCCAATAAGTTTTTTTATCCCAGTTTAGACATTTTTTAGATACACGTAAATCACGTGTTCACACGTATATCGACGGCGTAACTCCGCAATCGTACCTCGTTTGCGGTGTCTAAAAATCTCCGCCTCAATGTTATTTTTTTAAAGGAGAAGAAATTGGCATCATTCCTTGAAGTGTATGCAGAATTATTTCCGCACAGAGAAGAAAAATCACGGCAGTTTTAAAGAATTGCCGTTGAGTAGTTTTCCATTTAAGCAATAAAGTATGACAAGAAGTCAGCGACGTCCCAAACCGATTTATGTGATAGTCGATTTACACTGTCGATACGTCGATTGATATCTCCTTTTTCATCACTTGATTTTATGTCCAATTGACGCATGTAATTGTCTGAACGTTATGGATTTCGTGCCTTTTTCTTCTAGCCCTGTTTCCCACTTTTTTAGATTTGTTTTCTTATTTGTATATTGTACATTTAATTTGTAGACTGATCTTGAGTTGGTATCTACTTGAAGACAATTCTAACGAACGAAGGGAATTGAAAATTTCTTTAAAAGCACTCCCATGACAACCCGACAGTCCTAGCAGTTATTTAACCCTTTTTACAGAGAGTTGTTATTCTCAAGATCGAGGCTTTGCTCACGTAACTTCATTCCGTTTGGCTCGTCGGCAATTTATTGCAAAAGCACCCATCGCCAACGTCAATAGAGGACGCAAGAGAAAGACTCGCCGTTTTCGCACAATAGTCTTGTTTGTCCAACATTGGAACGTAAAATAGAACAGAACCAGGGGTTACGTGGCCCAACCCCGTGGGATCGCTTCGCGTCTTATGAAGTCTGCCTTGAGGGCCCTCGCCCTCGTGATTTAATCTAAACAGGACGGACTTGTTTAGGGACTATCTCCTGTCGACAGCCGCAATAATCGGCCGGATGAATCTCTAGAATGAACTATGACAAAAAATGAACATTTAAATTGTTAAAGTGGGAGAATTCACCACTTCGCCACGTTATATAAAAACAGATCGGACCATCTCATTTCCTAAATTTGAATAGGGCGGCCTTATCGAAAGGCTATCACCCACGACATAGCCGCAGAAATCGTGAAAATTGGTGCAGTAAAACGGTAGAACGAACCCTGAAAAAAATGAAAATTCAGGGGGTCAGAGAGCTCGTACACTGAAAAAAAAATCTCGGCGTTTTTACGAAGGTCCGCTTGTAACTTTACCATCTCATTTCTATTACCAATTACCTAATAATCATAGGCGGTTCTACGGGGGTGCCAGTGGGTGCCGGGCACCCCCAAGCAAAAATGAAGTGCGGTTACCGGAACCGTGAAAGAGGCCTTCTTCTTCCTTCACCTCTATTTATTGCTTTTAATTAGTATAGAATTTAATATAAAAAAAGACCAAATTATACTGATTTTAAAGATTCTGTATTCGCTCACACTGAGTAAAAATCCCAGCAATTAATTGAAACTTTTTTAAACAGAATTAATATTGATAGCCGTGTTTTACAAAGATTCTACTGTTTTTTATGGTAAGAATGTAGTTTTGATGGAAAGTTTTGCTAAAAATGTTCTACGTTGAATTTATAGGTATTTAAGTAGAAAGGAAGGAGAGAAAAAGAGAAAGGATGGGAGGAAAGGGATAAAACTTGAGGGCCGAAACTTAGTCCTCCCCGTCCTCCCCTTAGCGACCTTCCCCTTCGGGACCAGTCTCCGACATTTTTCACCTCTGGGCACCCCCAAACATGAGAGTCTAGAACCGCCTATGGTAATAATCCAAGAAAGAATCGTAGGCCTACCGCGACAACGGTATTTTTACTGGTTATTTCTGGTATGATTACCACTTTTAATGGTAATCAAGTTCCGGTAACTTTACTGTTTTACGGCAATTCTACCATTTCAGACTGACTCATACAGTTACTGGTTTACGATTTCACCGGGCAGTGATAAAACCTACGAAGCGTGCTTTGGAATCGCGATTTGCAAAAAAAGCGTGGTCGTGGCTCGTTCTAAGTTCAGGTATTACTTATTGCTAGATCGACGGTGAGACTGCGAAAACGCTTTTCTCTGTTTAAGACGCTCTATAGACTTCCTTCATAGTTTATCTTTTAATTGAAAAGATTCCGAACGTAATTTTTTTTTTTTAAAAAAAACCCCCAGTTTTCTTCGCTGTATGAAGAATATTCTGTAAAAATTTCAAGCACGATTTTTGCTCCACTCTCTTTTCTTAAAATAAAGCGGGAGCGGAGATTTTGCGTCAGGCACAATGCGTTACGCGTTATGTACAATGCGTTGATCTTTAGATACCATGCGTTACGCGTTAGGTACCATGCTCTACGAGTTAGGTACCATGCTCTACGCGTTAGGTACCTACCATGCGTTACGCGTCAGGTGCCATGTGTTACGCGTTAGTTACCATGCGTTACGCGTCAGGTACCATGCATTACGCGTTAGAGATTACTCTTACGATTTTATATACTGGAGTAAGATTAGGACTTGTGAACGGGTTGTTTGCAAAGTAAGTCGAGTGAATCTGTCAAACTAGTTGCACTCATTACGAAACTGTGCGCACTGTGCGCACTGTGTGGAGGGCGAGGTCAGGTGCGTGGTCAGAGTGAGAATGGCGGGACTGTTGGCGATACGCATGGAGTATACATCGTGCAGCGTGTAGTAGTATCCATCGTCGGTTCGTCGGGCGCCATCATCCACGGACATCATTCCACCGCGGCATTGACAATGACCACTGGCCGCACGCGCTACAGGCGCCGTCAAACGCTTTTCTCGCTTCATCTCCGAATCACCCCAAACCTAGAGCATGGGCGGGAATAGGAACCTTTGGTGGAGGCCGGCAGAAGGGTACTTCATCCGGGGGGGGGGGGTGTCTGAGGGGTGACAAAAGATAACCCATCAAGCAGGGTTTGGGAGATTCCCATAGCTCCAACGGGGGATTTATTTAGGTCCTTAAGGGGGTCTGGGAAGCTTTCTCCGGAAAATTTGGGAAAATTGAGTCGTACTCGGAGCAATTTTGAGCTATTCTTGCCGGAAAATTGATCGAATTATAATTTCAAGGTGAATTGTCTCGCACTATTACTTAGCAAAATCTTTCAAATTTCTTGGGAGGAGAAAGCTTTGCTTAAGTAGATCGAAGGGGGGGGGGCACATTCCCCCCCAAGTTTGCCCGATTTGCCCCAATTTTTTGAAAGAGGTCATTAGGTAATTTTGAAAATTGCCTCACAACCCAAGATTTGCCCCAAGTTTGTCGCGATCCTAGGATGTATCACCCCTGCAACGCCCCGATCCGAGTTGCTAATAAAAGGCAGCTAACAGAGCGTTGTCAGTGTAAGCCTCGGACCTATACTGCTGTGTAGAAATTATTATACCGAGCAGGTGATACTTACCCTGGTAAAAATTGGCAGTAGAATCTGTGTTCCAAAATACCATAGACCTACAGCCGGCTGTAAGATTTCCAATAGCTTCTATAGCCGGCAACACAATTTTTTATAGCCTTTTATAGCCGATGGCGACTAAGCAACAGCCTGGCGATAAAGTGTATGCTAAACGTTACTAATTACGGATGCTAGGATTTAGTGAGTTTTTGGAATACTGCTCTCTTTTTGGGCCGTAGTATCTTAATTTATTTTGCGAGGAAAGCTCCATACTTTTGATGGATGCCTGCCATTACTAATATATTAGAGCGCCTTCAGTTTCGAATGATACTGTGCAATACCTCTGGTGTGAAATAGTTGCTTCAAGCGCCGTGGCACGCTGCGGCGCGGTAGGCGGGCAGCCAGCGCGAAACGCGCATTGGCGCCTACAAACCTAACAGGGATACTTCACGCGTTGCGCAATGCGTGAAGTATCCCTGTTAGGTTTGTAGGCGCCAGTGCGTCGCCGCTCCGCTTTGTGTTAGGCTCTAATATTTAACCTGGCGGAGTCAGCGTTATTCAACTCATGATTTTGAAATGTTTGCACATCCTGTATGGATTATTCTCATTTTAATTGATGAAAAAAAATATGTATTAAAGGAAAATATAATGTGCGTTTTGTAAATATTAAGGTGGTTCCGTATCAAACTTAATGATTTCCAAAGCACACACATTTCTACACAATTTCTTATAGCCTTTTATAATCGATGGCGAAAAAGCAACAGCCAGGCGATAAAGTGTAAAGCCCGGCGATAGGATCTACAGCCCGCGATAAAGTGTAAAGCCCGGCGATAGGATCTACAGCCCGGCTTTATAATTTTTTATCGCTTCGTGTAGCCCGGCCGTACGATTTTTTCCACTCTTTACAGCCAACTATATGATTTTCTATCGCCTTCTTCAGTCGGCTATAAAAACTCCTATGGTATTTTGAAACGCAGCTTCTATCGCCAATTTTTACCCGGGTACTTATTGACTCCAATATTGAATTGATGTGCAAACCCGAAGCCATGTCTCTACATCGTATTAATTTTCGTTTTCTTTTCTGTCCTGGAATTCCAATTTTCCCTAGATGATCACGAATTAAGGTGCAAAAAATCGATGAAGAATATGATATTGATTGTAGTGAGTAGTCCTATGCAGTCCACTTAGAACTTGAGCTTTTCCTTCTGCGGCAACTGCAAGTACCTCCCTAAAACTGGGGATTAAAATATTTCAGAATATTTACTCCTCAAAACACAAGAAGCAGTATTTAAATTTTGTTATTCCTCGCTCTCTTTCATTTTACCACTGAAATATATTAAGCGAAAGGTGTTTAAAGTTGTGAAAAATTGTGTGATGATCACTCGCTAAAAGGGTTTTTATCTTTGTATTTCAGGGTCAGCATTCACAAAAGCAAAGCCGAAGCATGGGATTTTGACTGTGTCACGGTTGGCAGTGCTGCGACTTCTGTGCTTGCCTCTTCACTCTAAGTGGTGGATTGCTCAAACCTCATCTTACGTGTTCGCTCTCCTACTCTTCCTCTATGTTTTGCAATTAGTCAATATTATTATTTATTACTATGCTAGCTCTCTCTACGAAAACGAGGTATGTATTCTTTCATCCGTGATTGACAGATTGTAGTTTTACACCCCATCTTCCCTCCAGAGCCTCGTTTTGTAACACCTAATCATTTTTTGCTCAGCATTTGTCGCATACAGTGGGTGTGATTAATATCTTAATAGCTCCTTGTTCCAAATGAAAATTTCTGCTTTTCATTGAGCAACAGTTTTTATTCTTAAATAAGTAGATATTATCAATTCCACCTTTGTAATGCCGAGTATTTCAACCTGGTATTGTTTTAAGAAGTTTTTTCCAATTTTTATATTAGATATGCCAACGAGTTTTTAACTATCCTCTCCTTTCTGTTAATTTACCAATGTGGATTTTCTATAAATTTAGTCAAAGCTTTTTTTTTACTTTAATTAAATCTACTGAATCCTTGTTGAGTTTTAACTTATCATTCAGCAGTGTACCTACTCATTTGATGCCCAAGAGTTCCATTCCTATATCCTCCATAACATATGTAATACAACCAGGTCTTCAACAGTGTTCTAATTGAATGCCTTTTTGTTCTACAGCAGGTTAGTTTTTATGAGGTTCTTCTACCTGTGGCGATGATGTTAGTCTTATCCTTGATTCACTCGCAGATAGTTTCTACACACTCGCTCAACAAAAAACAGGATGGAGGACAATCATCTCTTCTGAATCGTCGTAGCAAAAGGACTAAACGAAGGTTATGTCCGCCCTCCAGAAGTAGATTAAATATTTGTGAGTATTTTTTCTACATTTCACTCTGTAAGGGTGTTCATTTAAATGGATTTAAATTTTAGAAAAGTGCCAATGAAAAATGGAGGTGAATTTTTTCAGTACTTTTCTCTCTTTATTTATTTATTTGGGGAAATGTATTGCAGAAACAAAAATTGTCAGAAAAATAACTCTTTTACCATCTAAATTGGACCAGAGATTAACTAAATCGGAAAGTAGAACGGGAGGCGCATAGTGGGTATTTCACAATTTTTATCATGCGTTTTCTCACGAATAGTGTACCCAACTTTATTTTCTCACCCTGTGTTTGACACCTGAAAGTTTGTTACTCTAACTGCTCACTTCAAAGTCTTCCAAGATGCTTAGACCTTTTTTCTTAAATTCCAAGTAACTTTTTAACTATGTCCTTTTTTCTCCCAGGTTCTGATTCTAAATCATCGCCTGACACTGGCTCAGAGTTAGCTGGCGGTTTAAGTGACTCTGCTAAGTACACTAAACGCACCAGGTCTCGGAAGTGAGTAGATCTTCTTCATTCAGAATTGAATTATTGTAAGAAAATAAGGAATCAAAGGATGAGCATGCAAAAACGCCCTTGTTCTCAGACCTTTATTTTAACAATGGATAACTATTTGACAGACTATGTTATTATCTTAGTGTACTTTCTTCTGTAGTTTTTTATACTATGTCTGCAGAATAATTCTGAGAACTTTATAAAGCTCTATTTTGTTGCCTAAAGTCGGCAGTAAGTGCATTGGGCTGAGTTTGAACACGAACAGTGAAATGAGTGATTTTCTAAAATCAGATGCCTGCTTTTACGGATGGTATAATTTGCCCAGGGGCATGCAAGTCTGAACCCTGGCACAATTTTTTTTATATTTTACATTACTGCAACAGAGAAATCCCCTGATTTAATTTTAAAAAATCCATTTTTGGCACTCAATTGTGGCGAAAAGATCGGTTGAAAGCACTAGCGCTTACAGCCAGTAAAATTAGCAATAGTACATACCTACATGAGTCGCTTTTATAGCGCTCTCTGGCGCTTTGCGATGCCTATTCGCCACAAAACTCGGTCCTCCCACAATTCATCAGGATTAATTAGCAATAGTGGTTAAGTAAATTTCTCTAGAATGCGAAAGTTTATGTGTCTCTTTTTGAAGCTCGAACGTGACCTATGTTCGATAAGCAAAATAAAAACTACCCGACGAGAAGTGTTTGGCTGCTTGATGTGATAATGTGAACATTTGTAAGTCCATGAGATGTGTGAGAATTTGAGTTTAAAATTTTAAGGTCAAAAAATATTATATTTCCAAAACTTCATGAAACATTTTTAGAATTGTTTTTCTTTACAATTAGATTTCCTGATAAAAATAATGTGGAAATTGTGTTTTTAGACTTCTTTAGCTCTGAACAAATTAATGTCCTCAAGATCCCCTTCTCAAACATCCTTAATGATTGTTTCAGCTCTATCACAGAAGATTCCCAAACAGTATTAGTTCGCAGAAGCGTTGTGTGGGACACCAGTCCAGTCAAAACCAAACCCCAAGTCATCATCCACCATGATGTCGATGTAGTAGAAGGTGAGGACTTGAGTCGCTGCCCACCTGAGTCTCGACTCGGCAAGGATGAACGCAAACAACTTGCTGGAATGTATGTTTATTTTTCACGATATTAGTCATAATTTGCCACAATAGTCATTTTTGCATTTGTCTCTCCTGTGTTTTTTTCTGCTTTTTAGGTGATTTCTCGGATATTGTAAGGACCATCTGGCCCTGAGAATTTCAGCTTGTGACTAACTCAAGCGCTAAAATGAGAGCGCATTGAATTCAACGGTTTTTGAGAGTCAATAATCCATTAAACCCATTTTGTTAGTCGTTCAATATTTTCCCACATTTACCTTTACCTGATTAGCAGTACAATACCTTGTATGTGAGTACCAGAAACAAGTTTTTATTATCTACTCTCTTTTCTCGTTCATCTATTCATTTATCCTATAAGTTCTTCAATTTTTCCAATTCTGGCTTTGATAAAATAATTTTCCTCTGAAAGTCATACAGTAATTTTGCTCTTGATCCTAAACATTAAACAATAGCTAAAATAGAAACACTTTTTTACCTTATTCATTTTTAATTTCTAGAGATGTAGCTTACCGTATGCATTAAATGGTCAATCGTCATAAAACATCCTTTCATTTATTTTTTGCAGTCAGTTGATAACAGACCTCTTCTTTTCTTCTAAACAACAACATGTTTTTGTTTCATGTGCCAATTTCCTTACCTGTAGGTAGCTTTATTACACCCACCATTTGTGAGGGAAACAAATAAGTCAAATAACGCTCCTCCCCGTTCAGAAATTCCTCGATATCCAAGTTAAGACTCATTTCAATGTGTTGTTTTTATAACATGATATTATATTGTAGTTTTATTTTTTTTAATTTTTTGTTAATTTTGTTCCAAAATTTAACCTTGTACACCTGTCCCAGGCTTCATAATGTTGGTGAAAAAAAATAAAGAATAAGTCAAAGTAAGTTAATCTTAAAAAAAGAAGGGGCCAAATCTTAATAAAACAATTTTAAATTTACACAAAGGTGGAGTTATGGTACAAGCCTAGGATAATTTACATTAATATTGACTAATAGTTGAGGTTTTGGTTTCATTTTTTATGAACATTTATGGACAAATTACATCACAAGCAATAGCATGACTTCATCAATAATCAATTTGATGACTCCATGTATAATTTCATGATGCACTTCATCAATCACTCCATTAATGACTCCATCGATGAATTTAACAACGATTTTAAAAACCAATCATGTTATGTAGGGTCCTTGTGTGTGCTGGAAGTATATTAGGTCACTGATAGAAAATTGAGAGTACTCGTGGACAAACTCTTCAACAGTCACGCAACTACCTCCTGCTTCTACTGTGATAGGAAGTCTGTTACGTCTAGACAAACAGAAGCGGCTAACATTATTAGACTACCAAAGAGGGGTTATCGAGAGAAATCCATGCAATTCTTGCACTACCATCTTTCTTTCCAATGTTTTATTTTGTTTCAAATATTCACAGCAACATTCAAATGATGCTGGAATGAACATAACCTTTTTAAAATGATGGACAGTAGTTCCCGGAAACAAGTGAACTAGTCTCATGCAAGCTATCCATTGTTCTCCTTCACCAAGCTATTCAGGAAACTTCTTTATGAGCTTCAATGCATAATTTTTTCATCTCTAATCTACGTTCAGTTGATCTAATACGTCAAGTCCAATGCTGCGGCGCTTCAACGATTGCTTCTCATTTGATGAGCAGAAGGTCTTTCATGAATAATCCTCTGCCATTTACGAAGTAACAGGCTTTCATAGATAGATTATTCCATCAGAAATTTCATGCAAAAAATTCACACCTGTTACTTTGGATTATCAAAATTCATTATTATTAACTAGGACGTAGACAATGTACTTTGAGTACTTACAAACAATTTATATTTTTTCTTCTTTTTCAGCGATCGCATGAACGTTCCAGACGGGAACGAAGCAGATCCTGAAGTTCCACCAGATGATGATGGATTTGAGAGTCTAAACGGAAATGGGTCTAGTGACAACAACGATGAAGATCAAAAAAGCGAGGAAAATATGTGTCTAGAGCCATCAGCCTCGTCTCCCAGTCATTTGTCTGTGGTGAAAAACTGCTATCACCGGGAGAATAGTCCTGACTGTGATAGTGTTGATCAAATTAAACCTGTCATCAGGAATAACTTCAAAAGTGCAAAACTCACCGATGAGATTTTGGAGGTCTCTGTTTGTGAACCAGCTTGCACCCCATTAAAAGTAAAAAATGCTGCTAAAGACAAGTCTACAGATTCACATTTTAATAGGTATGAAAACTCTTGATACTAGTAAATCCAGAAAATTTTCTTGTTTGACCTCTGTAGTATTGGCTTTAAAGAAAAGGTTGGAGAATGTATAAATTCCAAAAAGGAAACTCTTTAAAAAAAAACTGTTAGAGTACCCAAGTTTGGTAACCCGTTTTTTTTTTTCTTTTTTTCTTCTTTTTTTTTTAAGTAAAAATGCCAAATAGCTCCTTTAAGGTAAATTTTAATCTATTTTACTTGTAGGAAACAAAACTTGTAATTGTTTGCCTTGGAGGCAGGAGATTTTCAAAAGTAAAAAGAAGGCACAAACTTGTTGTGGTTTCACAAAAGTAATATTCGAGAGTCTCCTTTTTTTTGATTTATTTTCCATTTGCACTTTATAAATCTAATTTTAACTTCCCATAACTATGTAAGCTCTAAATGTATAAAGAATCCAAAAGAAGCTTGTTCACGAAAGAAAGAAAGAAAGAAAGAAAGTTGTAGTAGTAGTAAAATAATTTTATTTTAAAGCGGTGCTTTAGCATCTAAGGCCATTTATACCTCTAAAGAAGGCAGTAATAGTAATAAATTTTCATGGAAATTAAGGTTAAAGAAAGAAAGAAAAACAATACATATGCAATGATCCATTTCTGATAAAAATAATTTTGGATCAAGCAGTACATTTGTACCAAAGCATATATTTATAAACAGTATAGCCAATTATAAACTGAAGGATTTGCACCTTCTGTCAAATTTTTTGTTCATCCCAACCAAGGAATGTAATCTTATAATTAATTTATCTTTATTTGTTAATACTTTTTTTCCTTAGTTTGCAAGACCCCAGTTTTACACAAGAGGTTCCCTATGACATCAGTAAAAAATGGAATGTTACATTAAGGAGGCGACTGTCTTCTCCTCTGACCAGTGTTAATGGAGAGAAGGAGACAGACTCAGAAGGGAGTGATGGTGAATTCTCCACAGCAGCTCCAACCTCTAGATCTCAACACTCGCTGTCGCGGCGACGAGGGTCTCAGCAACTTCAGGTCACTCTGAAACCGCTGGCTGAAAGCTCGTATAATTCCTCTGGTGAAGAGAGTGAAAATGAGGGCTTCTGCCCCTTAACAGAAGGCACAACGAGCGCAGGAGAATGTCTTGGCATCACAACCAATAGCGAGTGTAGTTATAGCTCTGACAATAACTATGAACACTTTGATAATGATAGCCCGTTTGCTTGGGAACTTGAACAGGTATTTTCCTAATCTATTCTTTTTCATTCTGTAACACCCTCTGAAATCACCTCAACCTTCTAACTGAAGATCGTCCAAATTCTCAGAAAAAGTGAATCAGCTTGTGATTATTTGCGAATGTTGACTGCTAAAGCGCGTACCACTACTTGTTTTAGAGGGGCTGTTAGCAGGTACGCAGAAAATGCTTGATCACGCACCTGCCTGGGTGCCTTCATGTAAATATGGAAAGTTTCTCAAGTATATGAAAGGAGGGACGATTTCTAGGGGTCAAAAGTTGAAAATCAAAGGAAACAAGAATAAAAAGGTTTTCATTTTTTATGACTGATTGAATAAAATTTTAAAGCCGATTAGAGGCAGGTAGGAGTGTGAAAATGCAGAAGTTTAAAAGATTCCACTCCTGTAGCTTTTAAGTATCGGGAGCTATGTGTCACGTGTCAGCTGATAACTCCTGAGTTTTTTTACTAACTACTACTAAGAGGGGCTGAGCATCTACGTTTGCCCTTGGTATTAAAATTTTTTATGTGCCTGCTTTACACTGTGTAACACTCTTCTACTACTACTACTACTACTACTACTACTACTACTTCTACTACTACTACTACAACTACTACTATTTGTTTGTAGGAGTAGCTGCAAAATAAACCTATGATGACCAATTGTTTCAGGAAGTCTCAGCAAAATTAATAGATCTCTTTTCCGATAGAGGTACTGCTTTTTTCGCCAGAAAAATAAAATGAAGATAAAAAATAAAAAGAAGAAAAGTCACTCAATGTAGTCTTAATAATTCGAACATTTCCTCTTTTCCTTTTCTCTTGACTGATTTCTTCTTTTCTATTGTCTTTCAGTCTCCAACTGTGATTCTTAGTCCTAGCTGTGCAGCTTCTGACAAAGGTGAGTTTTGAAATTTGATTCGAAGTATTTATAAATATGATATCAATGAGTATCATCCTTCAGTACAATTCCATATCTAGCCAGATAAAGCATCCAAGAAATTTCATGATTAGTGTCCAGAATTCTTTTTTGCAGTGAGAGAATAGTCATCCATTATAGCTTAAAGACATATCTATACTCTCTCATTTGGTCATCTACTTAAATGTAATTATGCCAAACGGAACTATGTGTACTCAAATTAAATTAAAATAAACTATGTTTACAGGATTTCCTTGCATTTTTCAATGGTTCTTTTTAGCATAAATACATCCACTTAAGCTGAGAACTCTAGGAGATGTTATGTCTGGAAAGCTCCAAACACCATTTATTAAGGTACTACATTTCCTATGGGCCAACTATGTTTTGTTTAAAAATTAATAACCCATTTTATTATTTTGAAATGTAATTCAAGTATTTTTCAAGTATGAAAATGTAATGTCTTTGCCATCACAAATTAAATTTGATCATTGTCTAATTGTTTTCCTCCTGTTTCAGTGAGTTGTACGATGTGGGAGAAACGAGAAATAAAGAAAGCTGATCTCTCTGTCTTAGATATAAGTTCTGCAATCATAGCAAGAGTCGAAGCTATGCCTGAGCATTTAGATTATTTCTACGGAGGTAGGTATTTTCAAACCATCCAGTAATAGTAGTGTATAAGTAAAAAAAAGTTATAAAATCTCTGAATAAAATCCAAAGTTATGATCTAATTTCTTTAAGCACCCCTGAGAAGTATAAAAATTCATTTTCTGAAAGAGTTTTATTTTACTGTACTATCCTTCTTTTCTCTTCCATTTCTCTTTTACTTCAAAAATTTTCTCAAGGGGCATCATTTGAGGAGAGCATGGGGGCATTGCCCCTCTCCCTCTCCTGCATTCTGAAATTGACCTTTTATGGTGTTTTTTGATACGTTATAGAACATTTTAAGAAATTTTCTAATTTTGTTCACTGAAACCATGCCTCTGCAACTCCAAAATTCAAGGTGAAATTTTTTTGTGGAGCATTTAGCATTTTCATTATAGATTTAGTGCAACCCTTAGTTGAGTCATTATAATCTGATACTAAGAAAAGATATTAGTGTGGAAGGAAGCTGTACAATTTACGTTCAAACGTGTCGAAAAATTAGGAATATTTTTCCTTTTTGTCAGGGAATGATCAGTTTTTTGCCCGTTTTTGTCAGGGAAATCTGGGAAATGTCAGGGATTTTTTTTTCTCATATTGCCCGACAAAAAAATCAGCAAAATACTTTGAGTGGATTGCTTTTGTACAAAACTTAGTTATTCATAATTTTCTCTTACATTTCAGGTTTAGTAATATCTGTAGTCCTGGCAGCAGTGCCTTCGTTGTGCCGTCTAATGGAGTCGTTGAATGATACCCTAGCTGCACCTCAAATAACAGTTGAGCTGTCGTCTTTAGATACTCAGTCATTTTTAGAAAGTGCTTACAGTTTTTTGTCAGCAGCTGTAGTATCTTTAATCAATTCGGCATTTGGAACTACTGTTTGGTATGTACTACTTCAATATCCAATAAGGATAGAGTATGGAAAATAGATAAAAGATTTGTATGAGCATTGGGTGTATAAAACATAAAAAAACCCAAAAAAAGTAATGTTCTGCTCTTTTACTTGTAGGTATCTCGTTAGTATTTGTCAGCTTGTAATCATAGTCCATCATTTAGTGTTTAGTCAAACCCCAGTAAGGAAGAAGCATCCAGACAAAGGGTTTATTTCAGGGTTGCCAGCGACCGGGAAAACCGGGAAAAGTCAGGGGAAAAAAATCAACCGGGAAAGGCAGGGAATTTCGGTGTTGGTCAGGGATTTTTCTGATTTTTCGTGGAATTAGGCGCGGGCGGTCTCGGGCTTGCGTTGCGGGATCAATTTCACTTTAACAGACTGCGTCAGATCCATACTTAAAAGTCAGGGAAAAATATTGGAAAGTCAGGGAAAGTCAGGGAATGGAAAAAAATAATTTGGCTGGCAACCCTGTTATTTTGACTCCAAGGGGTCTCTGAGTGAAGCATATTTCCCATAATTCTATTCCGTATTAACCAATTTCATGCCCTAATTGCGTCAGATGAAGCACTTGATGTTCTATTGAATAAAGAAAATTATTTGTTAAGAAAAAACACTAGAGAAGTCATCCATAAATTACGTACAACGTAGAGGGCTGTGTCAGTGAACTGATCATGATTAATACTTAATGTGAATTTTATCAGTATTATATAAATGATTAAAAGTTGAGACTGGGTGATTATAATGAGTTAGGGGGTTTGTGGCTGAATGAGTTATTTCATCATGTATATTATTTCTCAATAAAAACTTTTTCTGTAAAAAAATACTGATTATTTTGATCACTTAAAGAAGTCCTAAGTTCATATTAGTTGTTCCTCCAATGAGCTCTCTAGAAAGATTAAATTCAAGATAGTTTTTGAGCAGTTCAGTAACTTGAATTGGCCAATGGTTGCACTTGTATAGTTGTGAAAGGTACAGCCAGGTACTGTTTTAATTTTTTACTATTTTATCCAATTGAGGAAGGGTGAGCTTTCAGCTGAAACGTTTTGGTTTTACTCGTGAAATTTTAGCTTTGTTACCCGTTTTTTAAATTGTTTTTTTACTGTATATCTTGTTACCGGCTACGAGCGTCTATCATAGCTCATGTATAGTCAGTTTTGGAGGGATATTGCTTGATACGTTATTGATATTGAAGATACTTTGCTTGAAAACTCTGCTACAGGTTTTTATATTTGTATGTATAAAAAAGATTTGCTAACTAATTCTCCTTTATCCTGTTGCAGGGAGCGCATTGTGATATTAATAGCGTTCATACAACGAGCTGTTCTATCGGCACTTTTCTTCTTCCTATTAGCAGTTGCTGAGCGAACATTCAAACAACGCTTCCTGTATGCTAAATTTTTTTCGCATCTAACTTCATTTCGCAGGGCTCACAAATCAGAGCTGCCTCATTTTAGACTCAATAAAGTTCGCAATATCAAAACTTGGCTTTCTGTTCGATCTTACCTTAAGGTGAGATCTCACGTTTCTTTTTTTTAAGTCTAAGATTCTTAATTTTTGCAGCTAGCATTTTCTTCTGAATTTTCCTTGAAAGGGAAGCAAGCTAAGCAAATTTTAGCCAACAAAATCAAATATAGGGAAAAAAGGATTAAGAAGAAAAAATAGCAATGATATTTTACCTTTTGTGATTTTCGGATTATTCCCGAATAGTCGATGTATACACTTATTGAAAAAGAATGATTGAACTGTTCATTTGGTATTATGCAGCTCTACTTAAAAAATTCGCTACACACATCACACATTCCCGGATAACAGGGCAATAGATTTTGAAAAGGTATTAGTTATAGATAAAATACAGAAGTAATTTGCAAGCAAATTGAAAAAAAAAATATTTGATGTTACAAGTAACTTTGCGCGGTTTGACTGAAATTTTTCTAATTTGGCACAAATTTTCTAGAGCAAAACTTGATTCGAGAGTTGATTTTGAAGCTCAAACTAGCCCAAATTTGATTGAAAAATTGGGGGAAAAAACTTACACTCGACTCCAACCAAAAGAACCAGGCTGGTGCAGCCTCATTTAATTTGTCTTCAAAATAACTAATCTTTCTTTGTTTTATTTTTTTTTCCTCAAAGAAACGAGGGCCTCAAAGATCTGTTGATGTGATAGTATCGTCCGCATTTATTATTTGCCTCCTTCTCCTCTCTTTCCTCAGCGTTGAGCTCCTTAAAGTAAGTATCATAAAATTGAGTATAAATGCCTGAGAAAATAATTAAAACATTTTTATCCTCTGCCTTTCTCTTCATTGTAATAATAATGGGTAAATTGAAGATTCTACATCCAGTGTGACTTGGACCAACAGTGGTGTGTTAGCTGCTGGTCACACGTGACTTAAGCTAATTAGAGGGGAAAATGTGCTCACGGTACCGCCAATCATGGGATTAGAGTTTGACTGCGTACTGCCACGACTGGCCAAGAAAAAATTCCATGGTAAAAAATGAATTGTAAATGAATTGCTTAATATAAAAACCACTTAAGGAAATAAAATGAGGAACAAAATTTCTAAATTTTTGAAGATTAGTTTGATCATGCAGATGCAAGTATTTGTGCTAAGACTACAAACAAGGGAAGTAGGAAAAATTTCTGGAGGGCGTTAAAATTTTGCTCTTGTTTATTTTAGTTCGCATAAAGCTTTATGATACAAGCAGATTGCAGTGGACTATCGGAGCATAATCCTTGTTTAACTCCTCAAAATGTCCAAATATTCTTTATAAACTTCTCAAAAGCTCCAAACAAGTCATCCTTTTTAAAATTGGAGGAAAATTTGTGGAAGGCCAGTGGAAAAAAATATCGGAAGCTACCAGACAAGCGCACAAAAATTTGGAAGGCAGAAACTTTCTGCCCTCTTGCCGTGAGCATGAACATTTTGATTGCATTATTTATTATTTGAAAGAATTTTCATCATTTTAATCTGCTTTCATCATGTATAATCAAAGTTTTTATTATTTTCAGGATTCAGTAAGACTGCACAGCGAATACAACGTAGAAGCTTTAGTCTGGTGTCTAGTCCTTGGTTTCTTTTTGTTGCGATTCATGACATTAGGAACAAAAATTAACCGCAAGTACCGAAATCTGTCGGTGCTTATTACAGAACAAGTAAGTTCTACCAAAACCTACCAAACTTTTCTCCCTGCTTAGTTAAAACCTGATGACTACTAGGCCTTGTCATTGGGACTGGCACTAATGATGGGCTTTTTTTGAAGCTCTGGATTTTGGCTATACGCTATCTGCAGGTCTTTGGCAGAATTAAAAAAAAATACTCCCATTGTTCTAGAGAGTGCGCAACTGTTGTCATAATCGAGACCTTACATTGTATGCATTGTTTTTTTATGCAAAATTAATGTGATAAATGCTTAAATCTATGGTAGGTAACTTTATGAAGTCCTTATGTCTTTCCTGCATCAAAACATTTTTATTAGATGGCTTTAGTTTTCGAATATTTGATAGGAGAGAAAAAAGAGTTGTGTACTCACAAAATTTGTTCGAACTTGGACGTGGTGGATATTTATTCAGGAGATTAATGCTCTCTATTTCCAAAGTTTTGATTCCAGAATGAATCTAAAGGAAATTTTGCTGCTGTGATAGTGCCAGTTCACTGAACATTTTGAAAGTTCATTAAAAGGGAGTAATTTATCTTAAAAAGTGTCCTTTCTACCAAAATTTTGAGAATGCGAAGTTTGGAATAATATGAAGCATTTGAACGGATATTGCGTTTATTAAAGTTTATCTATTTTTCCAGATCAACTTGTACTTACAAATAGAACAGAAACCCAATAAAAAGGAAGAACTGATGGTTGCTAATAGTGTTTTAAAGTTAGCTGCTGATCTGTTAAAAGTAAGTCTTATCTTACCCCTATCTTTTTCAATTGGTATAGTTTTGCTGCTAAGCAAGTACAGATTTTCCATGAGAATATTCCTATCGATGGATATGTGCTGTTCTTTAGAAATCGTTTTTTTTTTTTTTTTGTTTTTTTTTTGTTTGAAAGCACCTAAATCTGACAGAAATTTTTGTAAACGAGTTGAGATCCCAAACTTTTGAATACTCAATCTTTCCATTCAGCTCATCAGTACATTCACCTAACTCTAATTATAAAGATTTTTAGCATGCCAAAATTTTTCAAACTGCAGGCCCTAAGTTTACTTGATTTTCGACACAGTTATTTCTGATTATCAATATCCCAGTGAAAAGCTTTCAATGCAGCAAATGAAAGTTACTTCAAAAGCAAAAATTTCTGTATAAATGCCCATTAAGAAATCTATTAAGGGCAAGGAACAATAGTGCCTAACTGACTAATTTGGCAAAAATGAGCTAGCAACTTTGCTCATTCTACAGTACAAAATGCGCAATCTAATGTTTTTAGAGTTTTCCAATTCTGCATGTGAGCACTTTAATGCAAAATTCTATAATGTATAAAAAATTGCAAATCCAACCTCAAAATTAAAAGATGTACGAAGTTTTTTCTTTGTCCCGCAAAATCTTCTGTTTGCAGGTAGGCAATAACTTTAGCTATCGTTATGCCTGTTTTTTATCGTGAGGTCTTATAAAGAGTTTCAGCAGCACAACATCATGACACCGAACTAATAATAGCAAAATCTTACATTAGTTGTTTTCTTTGGTTTCAGGAACTGGAAAGTCCTTTCAAGATTTCTGGTCTTTCAGCCAACCCCTACTTATACACAATCACTAAAGTAGTCATCCTATCTGCACTCTCAGGTGTCCTGTCCGAGATGCTTGGTTTTAAATTAAAACTCCACAAGATAAAAATCAAGTAGTCTGCTCTCAACTATCATTGATGAGTTCTATATTTTACTTATTTATTTATTTATTTTTCTTGCTCTAATTTATTGTCATTGTGATTTAGCGTAAGTTTTTTTTACTAATCTGGGCAAAGCTGAAGCAAGCCCTTGTGATCCCTAGTTCAGTTTAAACACTTTTAGTTAATTTGGCATCTTTAAGATGTCATTAGTGGAGCTTTCCAATGTAATATATTTTTTTTTTTTTTAATTCTAAGATCTTATCCTTCTCTAAAACCCAGAGTGAGGTTTTGTGTATCATGTTGTTATCATGGATGTTTTCCTTGACAAAACAAAGTTTTACTGATATTATAGATTTTCAGATTTATTTCTGACTTAACTTTTGCTTTATCAATGATTTTTATTTTTAGTATAATTGAGTTTTTACATCCTAATGGATTTCACAATCTTTTTCATTCATTTTTACTTGCAGTGGCTCACTTTTAGATTCACAGAACCCATACCAGTGTTATGAATTTTTTCCATATCCTTTGATTTTAGCCTGATTTTTTTGACCAAAGTATAGCGCACAGAGGCAAAAATTTAATGAACTTAATTCTTCAAATGTGTATATCACTCCTTTTTAAAACGCGCAATTGAATTGAACCCTGCAGTTTCTAAGGGCTCTGTTCTGTATTGATATCAGTTTCCAGTTGAGATTCACTGCAGGAAGGATTCTTCAATAATCTAGTTCACTTAGGATCCATCAGGTCAGGATGGTCTGCGTTTTTACCGACCACCTTACCCAATGCGGCTGTTGGTTAAGACTCCTTTTAAGTATACTTTAGCCCATTTGGATCAGCAAAATTTCAGCATCAGTATTTTGAGCAAGCAGTTTAAATGACTGCTCAATAATTTTACTTCGAGTTTGATAAAATATTAAATGTTTGGTTTGTTTGCCTGAATTTGGTAATTTTGACTTATCCCTGTGTTTCTGTATTCTGGTTTAGCATTCTGTTTTTCTTTTCTATTTGTCCTGTTATTGGTGATTCATTTTCTGTTTTCCTTCGTTTTAACCATGTATCTAGCTCTGCAATTTGAAAGACTAATATTATTCTGTACTGAGTGCTATTTGTCACATTGTTGCAATATTGGTTTTTTTCCTTTTATTAATTAACTAGTACATATTTCATTATTTATGCAATACTTAGTTCTTAATCATGGGCAACTGCAGTAATTTTACCTACTTTCTAATCTTTTTACAATGTTATCATAAATGTTGAGGATTATGGCAAGAGCCGACATATTTTGTCTTTTGAATTTAAGAGCCAACTCCAGTAATGCTGTTTTATTGATACAACCTATTTTACACTCAGTTGCTTGATGAAATTTTCCTCTCCACCAAAATGACTATTGACATGTAACATTACATGTTCAAAGGTTAATTGAATACTTCAGTAATTACTTGAAGTTAAGCAATGTTATTTATCATCAATGGCATGCTTAACTAGAAGCAGTTATTATGATTACATGCAGATATGTAATTTCTGCCTGCAATGCCCTCGCAACCTTAATTTCTCAGTTCTTAAGTGCAAAAAAATCAAGACTCCCCCTTTTTAAGTCGCTATCACTTGAATCAAAAGGATTATTTTCCCTGTAAATTTTACCACATAGCTGAAATACCATGTATTTAAAACGTGTACGTAATTTTAAGAAGGTAACATAGCACTGAATGAAGTTACATTGCCTGAAAAACTTTTGTCAATGTAGATAAAGTGAGTTTGTAATAATATTTTTGGTTTGTTCAGTCATGGCTGAAAGCGTTAATCAACTCTAAGTCCACGGCTAATATAATTAATACATGGTAATACATTAAGCCATTATGTACTTTTATTGCATTTGCAATTTTTAGTGTGCATTCAGACGTAATTTGAACCATTTTTAGTCAGTAGGTCTATATCGTACAAGCTTTTTAGTCTTATCTGAATTAAGCATACCTGGCCGTCTGTGTATTTATTTATTATGATGTTTATCAATCAAATCCTCACTCTAATGTGATTAGTAATTCTAATTTCAGAACCAACTTTTTGTTTATTTTATATCTCAGTTGGTGTTACCGTAAAATCATTGTTGCAAGTCCATTTTTTCTTCAAATAATTGTTTTCCCCCTGAGGGAGCTGTGCGTGCGACATGTTCATAAATATTTAAGTTTGAGGTGTTCAATCAAGAATTTCTATTTTAATTACAGTTTCAAATGTTAGTCACCAACTTAACACTGGGCACTATTACAGTCATTATTACAGCTGTTACAATTTTTAAGAAATTCAATTAGATTGAAAAAATCACTTGTGTTATGTTGAGCAGTACGCTTTACGTTATGCTAAACTGTAAAATGAGTGCAAATATCCACTCAAGATGTAGCGAACATCAGAACAGTTTACACCCTCATCTTAACTAATACCATGCATTGATAACGTTTACCATCTTAGAATATCTGAAGGCTTTTGCCATCAATTCTGTTACACATACTTGGATTATTTTCTGTGTTATAGCATCATGTGGAAGCTTACCTAACAGTCGCATTGCTTTAGGTTTGATTTCATACAAATCACCCATGCAACGCAGGAGTTTCATCTTTTCAAGTAACAAAATTAATATTGTTTCTTTGAATATTTTCCAATTTGGTGGTATTCAATCTAATTAAAATTTTAACAAATTCATCCAAATTAAGTTATATTATTTGTTGTACACCTCTAAATCTCATACTTCAGTATATTTCTGTGCGGTTATTGTTTTTCCTTGTTTGAGCAGTGTGTAACTCATGTGTTTTAGATTATAAATTCACCCAATGTGAAGCGAGCAGGATTGAAAAACTAACTAGTCATTGTCAGAAGCATGCGATTTAATTCGTTGGAGAAAAATAATTACAAAAGCTATGCACATTCTTGGGAATTTCAGTACATTTTGCAAAATTTAAACAAATTTCTCTCCCTACTGCCCCAAGCATAAGAATCCAGCAACTACTAAAATTGAAATGCAATTGAAGGGGCCAAAAACTAGTCCAAACAACCAGGTGGTATGCTATTTGTAAAGGTGACACTAGATGTGGAACAATTTGAATGGTAACAGAAGAAAGCCTGTCACAAAAAGAACCTTAGGTTCCTTTAAGGCATTAAGTACATAAAGAGTTCATTTCAGTTGCAGTGTTCAAGAATCTTAATCGCCATTTTAAATTTTGTAGAAGGAACCACTGGGTTATTTATCTGGACTTTATCAATTCGAAAATCATGAAAGCCCAAGGGATGTCCAGGAAAATTGAATGTATGCATTTTAAGGCTAAAGAGCAATACCACCTAACTGAGAATTTTAGCAAAAATGAGTTAGCAACTTTCCAGCATTCTACAGTATAAAATACGCAATCTGATGTTTTTATGGTTTTTTTTTTCAATGTCGTATGGAAACGCTGTAGTTTATAGATTTAAAAAAAATTGCAAATCCAACCTCAAAATTTAACCTTTTTGTCCTTCAAAATTGTCAGTTTACAGTCAGGCGGTATTGCTCCTTAGCCACCAATTTGCTTTCCCTATTATGAATGAAATGCAAGTTGAGATTCTGAGACATAGCAACAGAGGAGTGCACCTCATGCACACATCACTTCAATTACCTTGAATTGCAACCACTGCGTGTTGTTTTTAAATGTCTCTGTTAATTTACTGCTTTTCTGCAGATGCTGTGATCCTGATGCTTTGAAATATTTTTGCAACTTTTTTCTTTTCTCAGTCCCAGTTTTAACTGAAATAGCAAATATATGGTTAGTAGAGAATCTTAGCTCATAACAATTAGGAGATGAAGCTGTCTAATTTTATCAAAATGTACGAAAAGACTTTTTTATAATGCTCACAACTTCATTTTTTACTCCCAGAATATACGAATTCGTCCGCAACTGATGGAGAATGTCCCTCAATCAAAATCAGGGACTCCCTTGAAAATACTTTAACATTCATTTATTTTTTTATTCAATAATTTTTCATGTTATTGTCAGCTTAATTTTTATCACATTTCATCAGAATTCGAAACATAAATTTTTCGCAGATGCCTGAAGAATTTTTTCAGCTTTAAAAAGAGTGCTGTATTTTTAATACACTTATTCTTGTAGGAAATATATTTATGTAACTTTTTCAACTAATGGTCGTATATTGAAACTAAAAACACACTTTTATTTAAAGTAAAATTGAACTCCACAGTAATGAATTTACAAAAAAAAAAAAAAAATGCAATTTACAAGAAAGGAGAATGTTCAGTACTTTGTTGGACTCCTTTCTTTTATTACCCAAAATTAAATTTTAATTCGTTTCTAGGTATATTTTGAACTTGCAGTTTCCCTGTTCGGATGAGAATTAAAGAAACAAGTGGATGGTCTGGCAATGGAAAATGAAGTCTTGCATGTGTTCCTGTTTAACCAAATTTAGTCCTGGAAGATCGAAAAAAGGATATTTCACGCATTTGCGCCTTACTTCTAAAAAAATACATTTTTAATTATGATATTGTGAACATTTTGTGACATAAGTAAAGATGAGACCTGCTATTGCACTTTAAAAAAGAACCTCTTTCACAACTGAAATTAGGGGGCCAAGTATTTCTTCAGTAATATCAGAATGTTAAAGGTGTGTTTACAGTGTATATTTGTATGAAAGAGTGAATGAGTGTATGTGCGCTTCTAGCTACGGTTTTCTTGTCCGAATGCAAGAAATTTTTGTGAACTGTGTTTCACTTCCAAATATCATTACTGTAATAAATATCTGTAACATTTTTATGTTGATCTTTCCATTTGCGAACAAATTATTTGTCTCCATAAGTTTTTACAACTGAAATTAACTACATTTTTCAATTGGGAACTACAGTTTTTTGTGTTAGGTTAGTTAGAGATAAAATAAGCCAGAATTAGTAGTTCCTAATTACAAAATGCAGTCCAATTGGCTCATCGTTCCGTATAAAGTGTCAAGATAGTAATTTTGCTCTTGAAATACCCACTATCTGACCTGAAGGTTATTTTTAAGTTTTTCTTTAGGTATATGTATATTGAACTTTGAATGTAGAATGTATTGAGCTCAACTATTTGAAAATGTAGTAATTGATCACTAAAATGTATTTCCATAAAAAGCTTCCTTGTCAAATAATTAATTGTTACCATTTCTTCAAGAGCTTAGTTGTATCGGTTCGTATTTTTATCACCAATTTGGCTACTCTATTTTTACTTTTGCCTGAATTTGAATAATATAATCTCTCAACTATTTTAGAATTATTTTTCAGAATCAGCAAATTTGTCTCTTTTGTTCAACTCCTCTCTCTCTGCTTAATTATATTTTTTCTGTCCTTAGTCTAATTTTAGCCTCTTAAAAATTCATGATATCTTATTTGAAAATGTTACACTCTTGATTTCGAAAGTTCTTATTATGTGCAAGCCTCAGTGTATATGTCAGTCTCCGAATTCCACTTTTTCTTTTTCTCATTTTTCAGAATCCCAGATGCTCTAATTTCAAGAATTTACTCTCGTACGTGAATGATTTTAAAGTATAACATTTCTTGAAAGGAAGACATTTTTTTAAATGGTTAAATTTCAGACATCATTCAATTGAAGTCATGAAATCCGAATTTTTATATTTCAAGTATAAAGCTTGAATGTAAATGACCCAAAAAATTGTAAATATTTTCGGGGATTCCAATTTATGAATTTTTATGGAAATTTATACTTCTAAAAAAATTTCTTGTATATTTGTAAGAGTAAAGTTAAAGTGCCTGATGGGAGGTTACACTGTAATTTGCAAAATAGGCCTAGCCAAAATTACGGTGTTAGATCAAGTTTTGGATTGCTATATGCCTGGCATGTAGCATTTTCAACATCATCACAGTCAGATGGAAAATGTAAACTTATTTGAAATGGAGTCTATCATTTAAATTTGCGATTGTTTTACAAATGCATGTGGATTGGTTTTAGCAAAAAATTTGTATTAGTATTTAAATATATATATAATTGGTGAGAAATCCTATGAGCGTGCCTTGTAGTATGTTTAAGGAATAATCAAACCAAAAATGAATTTTAAGTTTTTTAAGATTGCTTTTAAGACCAGCATCCAGATCATAAATTAAACTTTGGATATTATCCACTTTTCTAACTTCTATCCACAAATGGCACCTTCAGTGAGGACTCAACCTCTCATCCTCACTTAGGTGCTCTTTTTGATTGAGTATTGTTTAATGAAATAAAAATGAAAAAATGAAACCATCATCATCGCTGGTTGAAAATAAGTGACTATCATTTTCAAGCAGCTATTTTGTATCAATATCAGAATTTTTATGAATTTTCGTCGGAAAGACATTGTGGCAATATCTAACAATTTGCTGAAGCTGTAGACATTTGTAGAAAGTTTTATCGCTCTAACTTTTTCTCAACACAAATCGATCATTTAAGTTTCTTTTAGGAAATCAAGAATCGTTTCTAGGAGAGCTCGTACAGCAGTATTCATAATTGTTTTTGCTTGAATATTTTCATCTGGTGGTCTGATCAGAGTGATATCTGCGTGCAATTTCATTACTTATAGCCCTCCTTTGGCCTCTTAATTTTATTCTATTTTCACTTATGAATTTCATCTGTAAAATATATTTTTAGTTGAAATGGTTCTGCTATTCTCAACACAGCAGTTTCTTTTTTTGTATGTCCTCGTGCCTCTTCTGTATGTATCCTTTTGTGAGGAAAACAAATTTTTAGTTCTTTGTTAATTCCCTCCTAAAGTAAATATTGTAAATAAAATCAAGCCATCTCGGCGAAACTTTTACATTCCTATTTGTATAAGTTGCGTTAATATTTATCCACATTATTTATTATGTTTTCTGTGTTACGTAAAAAGTAAAAAAACAAGCATCTCATGAGATTAAAAACAGTCTCATTTGTTGGAAGTTGTATCAGAAAGGAAATGAGAATGTCAAAACTATCATGCTCCAGAACTGGTTTGACAGCAGAGCAGAGCTATTTTGATTAAGTGTTCTTTAAATTTTGGTTTAATATTTCATTTTCCTTTGGAAGTAATCAGTGAAAAATATGTGAATATGGGATGCACCTCTTGTTTACCAGATGCTAAGTGGTATGATTGCAATCAATACTAAGGGATGTTGCCAAGATTGCAGAATGAAATAATTATTTTTCTAAGTCGGCTGAAGCTTTGAGCTAATTTCATAATTTTATCTACAAAAAAATAGTTATAATTGAGGTAAAGTTGAGAATAAAAAATTTTTTTTATTTTGTGGAAATAGCATTTGCCGCCTTAAAAGTGAAAAAAGCGACTGCACAACTCTAGCATTATTGCAACCATATAACTAGTTCCACCTGGCCATTGGGGTATTCGCTCCAATTAATTGTCTGGATTTGTTTAAAATCTCATACATTTTTCAGTTGTTATGCTTATGTCCATGAACAGAATGAATGTTATATTTTAATACAAATCTCTCGAGTTTTCATTCGTTTTATTCATTGTCCCTATTATTATTATTATTTTTTTTTTTTTTTAACCATTCTAAACCATTCATGGAATTATTTTCCATTTGATTAAAAATTTAGAAAATTAGTAATGAACAAGTTCTCTCCAAGAAAGGAATACCAAATTGTGTACTACCCTAGTAGCTAAAAGACTAGTATCAGATATGGGTATGGTATAATACCATATTTAATGCGTATTTTATACAGTATCAAATACTTGCATCCAAATACAGAATTTAATATGTATAAAATTCATGTATTTAATACTTGTATAAAATTCGTATTTTCTTAGTATCTCATAGGTAGTATCTGTGTTTTCCACAAGGGCTCCCTGCCGTCTCTTTTTTTGAGGAAATCAAAAGTTAATGATTTTTGCCCCTATTTAGAAGGTTTTTAAAGAATTTGCACAGTTACTGTGGCACAGTTGCACTGAGGCAGTTTCAAAATAGGCAATTTTTAAATAATGACAGTGTTTTATATATTATGACAGTTTCATAAATATATTTCAAAATTTCCTATACCTTCATTAGTTCCTATGTTACATCATTTCTCATATATTGCAATATTCGTTTCCCTAGACCTTTTCTCCACGGGACGTTTCATGGGTTTGTCCCAGGGAACAATCTCACTTGCCAAGTTGGGAAAAAAATTGAGTTAGCCAACACTAATCACAGTGCCAACTAAGAGTCATTGTGAAGTCCCAGGAACGACTTAAAAAGAATAAGAAATTTATTTGTGTTGTTTAACGGGAAAAAAGCCCAGAAGTTCCATTCCTGCGATTCGAACTTGGGACCAATCCCGTGAAATGTCCCATGTAGACAAGGTGCTAGTTACAAACGATCTTCATAGCCATTTACAGAGTATCAGAGAAGTCCCCTCCCCCTCTAACTTTTTACCTAATTGAGGTAGAGATTTGAAACTTGGAGGACGTACTTAGGTCAAAGGGAGCTACTTTTTGACCCACCCAAAATTTTTTTTTTTTTGGGGGGGGGGGGGGGTAACGGACGCCAAATTTTTATTTTCAAATGGGAGGACCCCTCTTGTGATACCTTGTACAAAAGAGCATGAGAAAAGAAAACTTTTCACGCAAACCTGAAGTCAATATCTCAAACCGTTTCAAAATGGCCGAAAATTGTTTTTTTATTTTTAGACATCTAATTTCAAATTCGTTAATCTCATGCCAAAATATCCCTAGGTTCCAAGTTTCAGGCAAATCCATAGGCAAATAACCGAAATGCCAATTTTCAGCCATGTTGAACTTTAACCGGCCGCCATTCTGGAAATTTCGGTTTTTTTAAAAATCTAACGTGTACCTAATTCAGTTTTTTCGTGATATTGACTTCGGGTTTGCGCGGAAAGTTTTCTTTTTTTTATGCTCTTTCGAACGAGATATCACTAGAGGGGTCCTCCTTTTGAAAATTAAAAGTTTGGGTCTGTTACCTCCGCCCCCCCCCAAAGGGCTCCCTTAAAATTTTAGGGAGGTCAAAAAGTAGCTCTCTTTGACCTAGCTTAGCAGTTAGCAAGACTTGAAACTAGTTTCAAGTTGCTACCTAAATTAGGTAAAAAGTTAGAGGGGCAGGGCCGGATTTACCTACGTGCCCATGGGCCACCTGTATTTTGCCGCCCCCTTCTCATTCGTTTTGGAACATCAGTAAAAACCATCAAGTGAACGTGCCGGAGGGTGAGGGGTGCATAAGACGCGTTTACTCGTGTTCGAAAGCCCTGTCAAAACTACTAGTAAAATTTCACGGAACTTCACGCGAAAGTTTAGTTCCGTAAACCTATCTCTGCGTGGACAAGGCCTAAAGGCGCTCCATTTTTAAGTATTGAACGAAAAAATTATGAAAGAACAAACATAAATGTGGTTTAATAATTTTAACTTCCGCCGCCGCGCTGACCGCACTGTATTTGGCGAAATGCGTGAAGTATTCATGCAGTCTTGTAGGCGCTATGCGTTTCACACCGACCGCTGCGCTGCTGACCGCACTGTTTGTGTGTTTGACGCAATGCGTGAAGTATTCATGCAGTCTTGTAGGCGCTATGCGTTTCTCGTCGACAGCTGTTGACCGGACTGTGTCTGACGTCTGACGCAATGCGTGAAGTATTCATGCAGTCTCGTAGGCGCTAATATGTGTTACATGCCGACCGCCGCGCCGAGGACTCCTCCTTTTCATCTTAAGTCCTCGTCATCATTGCTCTCTGCGCCGCACCGTTCCAGGCCAAATTGCGTGTTTGGTTTTTCTCTTAACTCGACTAATTAAAGGAGCTGTCTTTTTTATCCCTGATAAACGGCAAAATTAGAAATTACTATACCCTCAGGAAATGAGAGATTTTGTCGCCTTTTCTCGTTCGTAATTTTTTTTGTCATGGGAACGGAGTTCCCCATGATATTACAATCGTTCCGTTGCTTTCGCTATGGGATTCCCTATACCTCTGCGACCTTGAGCGTTTCGCCCAGTCTCCGATTTTTGGTTGATTTTCCGATGTATCAAAAACCGTTGTATTTTTTAGCCAATCATGTCTCTACGTCAAGTTGTGTTGATTGCTAAAATTCGCTTTCAGCGAGTTTTTTTCCACCTTGAGATGTCGTGTCTGACTGGTAAATCTGCGCAGAACCACGAAGTTCCGTTTTTAGGCAAATTCTTTTTTTTGGGAGGTTCTGATTGGTTATTTTTCGCCATCAGTTTTCTGTTCGTTGGTGCAAAAGATCGCCTACCTCGGTGTTCTTGAGAAGCCGCCATTATCCCACCTCAAATTTGAAAAATAGAAGTAAAGAAATAATAACCATCGTACAAGGTGGAAAATTGTTCTGGAGGACTCGTTACGGATAAAGAAGTCAAAATCAGAGCTCGATTGATTGATTTAATTCATGGATACGCAAATATTGCCTTAGCTCAACTGCCGCGATCGGAATGCGTGCTGGCATGAACCTCGAGACGCATTAAAACAGTGCGAACCATGGCTCCTACAGCAAAACAGCAATGCGCTTCATATCATCCCAAAAGCAGTCAAGGTCTCTTGTGATAAGTCCCGCCCATTGCCCGAGTCTTTTGTATGCTATTTTTACTCTCGCCCACGTGGATCCATTATAGCCTAGTTGACTAAACCGCCTCGTATTTTTGATTCGGTGCGGGCACCCGGCGATCGGGAGTTCGATACCCGACGATGGGAACTACTTTTTAATGGTTGTATTGAATGTTTTAGACTAATCATCAAAAAATAATTAATAGTAGATGATAAATGTACGAACATTTTCTCGTGAGTTAATATGTTAAACAAAAATACTGGAATATACCTCCTTCATATAATCAGCCACATGTTCCCCCAAATTAATGACGTTATTTTCTTTTTTCAATAAAGTTAATTTGCATTCAACGTTCGTAAGTTAAGCAAAAAGTACCTATTGATACAAATAGAAAGACATGAAAATAGTATGTCTGACATTTCAGTTTTTTTTTTTTTTTTATTTATTTTTTGTTTTTTTGTTTTTTCAATAAAACAAATTGACTGGGACTAGAATCATCGTATCTCTGAAGACAAAAGCTAAGTTTTTTGATACAGAAATACTAATATATTCATCCTTTATATAATCAGGGAGATGTTGACCCAAATATTGATGTATATTTTCTCTGTTCGCCCAAATTAATGATGGTATTTTCTTTTTTCAATAAAATTAATTTACATTCCACGTTCTTAAAGCAATATTTTCTCCAAAATTCAGCAAAAAATAACAATTTATACCTACGCAAAAAGTAAATAAATAAATAAAGCAATGACATGAAAGTAGTATAGGTAGTACACATCTAACATTTCGGTTACATCTATTTGAATGAAAAAAATGGCAACTTAGGAAGCACATAGGTCACTTATCGACGGTGAAACTACCAAACCACGTATCTCGGTTTGCGACGTCGCAGACTTCCTGTCATACTTTATTTTTTAAATGAAAAGCTACTTAACGTCCAGTCTTGAAAATTTCCGTGATTTTTCCTCTTCGTGCGGAGAAAATTCTGTGAAAATTTCAAGGAATGATATTGATTTGGTCTACTTCAAAAAAATAAAATGTGAGCGGAGATTTTTAAACACCGCAAACGAGATACGTGGTTTGGTAGTTTCACCGTCGTTATGATGCGTATTCGGGCATATGCGTAGAGTAAAAATATCATACTTTACGCCGAAAAAACGAAACTGAAAGTTAAATGCGTTAACTTCCAAAAACCATACATAATCCAACGAAAATAAATAATTGGTAAATAACAGCTTTCTTGTATGCAAAGAAAAAAAATTAAAAATGTTAAAAAAGAGATGTCGACACAAAATTACATAGCCCCTTCAATTCTGAAGATACTACAAACGAACTGTACCTTAAAATTTTCATATCCCAGAAGCAAAAGTTCCCATGACGAATATTGCTATCGCTAGCGATTGCAAAAACCAACTTGTTTTTTTTTTTTCTGACTCAGACTTTTTTTATAGGTACGTAGAGGCGGGGGGGGGGCTTTTCTAACACCCTGTATTTTGAATTCGATTCCATATACATATATTTACACATGTTCAAAAAAGTTCCCATCAGTTTTTTTTATGTGTTACGTCAGGTGCATATATTTCAAAATTTCCAATCCATCTCCCATATAGCTCATATATTACATCATTCCGTATTTATTGCCAATATTCGCATTTTTAGTTACAAACGGCCCTTCATACCTTCTTAATGAAAGACTATACATCTGCTCATCTGCCGTGATAGCGAAGACAACAGTAAGTGCATGCTAGGATGAACCTCGCTATGGAACCTCGAGACACATAAAAGCATGTGCTAATCATGGCTCATGCAGAAAGGCACTTACCGTTCTCTTCGGCAGACATGGTGTCCCGAAAGTCTGAACCCTCCCCCTCCCCTTTTGAAATTTTTCCCAAATGATATTTTGAAACAAAACTTGGGGAATGTTTCTCAAAGAGTGGTGTTTCGAAAATGTTTAAACAAAAGTTTTAAAGCACCCCCCCCCCCCCCTCCAATTTTTTTTTTTTTCAAATTTAACGCCATAAAATAATTGTCTCTGAATTTGAAACCTCCCCAAATTTCGTTTCAAAATCTCAATTAATTAGAAAAAGTTTGACAGAGGGGATACGGACTTTTGGGACACTCTGTATACCGAAAAGAGCGTGGTAACCTGGCACGGCGCAAATGCTGCTTCACGCCGTACATGAATTTGCCGGAGTTCTTCCATACCGGAGCCACCGGAGGCCTCTCTCTAAGACGCATGTCTGTCTATGTGCTGTGTTGTTGTTTTGTTTCAGTCCTGTTTCTGTTTCTCTTCGCTGTTTGCAGCAAAATGCAATATCTTGATCGAATGTTGAGTGATAGTGATTAGATCATCCCTTTAAATGCTGATATCGTAAGTAGTTCGCTTCTTGCATTAGTGGCACAGATGACTACACATAGAATAAAGATTTTCTTAGCTTCTTGTGACATTTTGTGTTGAGTGAATTTTTAATGGTTATACCCTCATCAGTGATGAGAACTTTTACGACTGACATTTGTGCTGGAATGAACCAGAAAATCCAAAGCCACTTCATTCTCTTCTATAGGAGGCAAGCCATGAAGATAATTTACTATGCAATATATGATAATTTGACATCTACCTCATCTTAGGGGGCTGCTGGCGTCTGTTGATATTGATGTAGATCTTATCAGTTTGGTGCCTAACCTATTTTTTTGTTTGCTCATTTATGAGTTCATCATTGTCTCTCCTTCTTAAAGAAACTTGTATGTCTTTAATAGAATTATTAAATCATGGAATGGAATCTCTGAAATCACACCTCCTTGTGAAACAGTCTATAGTCTGGCTTCACCTAATCGTCAGTACCATTGAAGGTGCAGCAGTGCTCGAGTGCGTGGATATATCCATACCACAAGGACCTTCCTTCTATCCATACGGACCTTAAGTATGTGCAGAAATACTTTCTCTATAGACCGTATTCGATAACGGTTCGTTGTATCGTTTGGTTCAAAACAATAGCACATAACCTCAAACCAAACTGTAAGGATTTAAGTTGGAAAAGCTGAAAATGAGAAAATTCCTAACAATTTCACTTTAAATTGGCATTAGGTACGCAAAAGAATAAAAAATCTGTTACAAAAGACCCGTTCTCTCAGATTTCTGAATTTACTTTTGAGGCTATGTTTATATTTTGAACCAATCGATATCGATACAATCTCAGCCGTTTGATGTATCGAATACGATCTATTTTGAGAAGTCTGTATGTATGATACCGCCAGCACAGGCTAACTTGAGCCTTGCTCGGGAGCATACCAACGGTGTAAGTCGGCAATCACATAACTCGGTTTGCAACATCGCAGACTTCCTGTCATACTTTATTTGAACAGAAAACTACTCAACGGCAATCCTTTAAAACTGCCGTGATTTTTCTCCTCTTGGCGAAGAAAATTCTGCATAATTTTCAAGGAATGATGTCAATTTGTTCTCCTTTAAAAGAATAACATAGAGGCGGAGATTTTTAGACACCGGAAACGAGTTATGTGATTGCTGACTTACACTGTCGATATGGACTGTGCATGCAGCACACCTGGGAACACTGAGGTGTAGTGAAAGATGTCCTATCCAAGAATTGAATTTGGTAAGCTCTGTATATTGCAGCGCTAACCAAATGTGTTAGTGTCTCCATCGCTAACAAGTAAGTCCTATTCGAAAGTTAGGTGGACAGTAACCAAACAGTTCGGGTTAGAACCAAGAAAAATCGATGGGTAATTAATGCAAGACTGACTTCGCCACTAAATCAGTCTAAGTAAAAGAAAAACTGGAAAGAAAGGAAGTCAATCATGCATTTCATTTCAAGCCTAAGTGGAGTGGAAGGAGAGGGGGCAGACCCTTAGTAGAAATACTGGATCATTTGGTTAGGTAAAAGCAGGATATCTTTAGATAATACATTTTAATACCATATTTTTCATGTCTTCTCAATCGTTATCATTTACACGTATATCATTTCAAATTTCAGGTCATCTGCTCTTTTCTGCTGGGTCCCAAACTTCTTTTAATTGGATATATCTGTGGGTATCTTATGTACATGAAGAAGGAGACAAGAAGTCTTTCGAGAGATTTTATATTTTAAAATTTAATAGGCTGAGGTAAGAGATATTTGCCATCATCAATATTTACACAGAGAAAATAATTTGAATTACTTGTCGTTTCTTAAAAATTAAGTCAATATTTATTTGCCAGCCTCAGGGTTTTTTTAATATTATTCAGACTTCGTACTTGAAAAAAAGCAAAATCTCATGCTCTCATGATGAAATCTTGTGAACCATGAAGTCCATGTAATGGCACTACTGAGAGACTGAGATCCACAAGTTTTTTTTGTAATTTATAAGAATTAATCTAATGTCTAAGTCGAGGAACAGCATTTTGTCGGTGGTAACATGTAGGCCAACAAAATAGTCAAATCTATCCTAGAACCAACTTTCTTTTTCCATAATAATTTAAGTGGTGGAAGATGTCATTCATTAAGGCTATGCATACTATGATTTCTCTCTCCTGGATGTATCGATCAGAAATGCACATATTTGTATCGGATGCTCTTTGTATAGATATCCTCGATGAAACCAAGATGAAAGAAAACATGACATGCACTACCTCTATGGATGATCTTAATCACTGCATCTTTTATGGTGACCCCTCTGTCAATAATGATAATAGAAGCTCAGCATTTCCAACAAATCTCATTATTTTTTATCAACTTATAAGCCTTGATCATCAGTGTATGATCCTGTGAATGTCTTAACAAACTTGATAGAGAACTATTCAGTTTATCAACCAAGTGTGCACTTTACTTGCTGATGAACGTATTTTGTCAAAAATTTAAAATTATGCTCTATGGTAACATCAATAATCTCCTCAGTTTTTTCTCCATCTGTCAATTCTTTTAAGGGTCTTCTCTTTAATATTTGTAAGTTCTCAGACTTTTTTTTAATGGCCAGTGCCATTAGAGATTGTAGGTATTCTGAAGGTTCTCAAAGCCCAGCATAAAAAATTTCCGTTATCCCTCCTCAGCTAACATTAAATCAACATCAATCCTCTATTCCTAATCGTGCTGGGTTATTTAATCCCAGAAATTCCGGCGTTTGAACTCAGGGCTAAGTAATTTCTTTTCTCATCGTAGCCTAGTGAAATAAATATAGTTAAAATCTGAGCCTCTTTTGACAGTCTGCCATTTGATGGTGTCAATCAACATTCTGCAATATGGTAGTCACCAATCATATTTCTAGTTTTGTTGAGTTGATGTCTAGGTGTCCCATCCAAAACTTCTTTTCACTGCCATCTTCCATTTGTAGTACCTATTATCTCTGTCTGGAAATTGAAAATAATAATAAAAAACTTAACTTTTAGAACAAAAGAGAGCAAACTTAAAAAATATGATCAGGGCAACTAAAAAATTAAGAATAATTAGGTAGCAGGATATTGTTAGCGGTTACAAAATTATTTTGGACTGCAAACACATAAAAAATTTAAAAAATGTGAAAGCAACCTGATTCAATTGTTGAAAAGCACCCGTCAATATTATTCATGTATCATGTCTGAAGATACTGTCTCTGCTTACTGAGTTGTATTAATCTACACTTAGGGGTTATTTCAGTTATTTTTGTTTGTTGCAGGTTTTTGAAAGCAAAATTTTGCCAACGAACTTAGACCTACAAACAGAACCCATTTGATCTGAAGTCATTAAATCATCTATGATTAGGCAAGTTATATTTTCTTTCTCGCAAGTAATTTTTTCCTTATTGTGCAACAGATTAGTTCATGAGAAAAATAATTAAAGAATAACCTGAGTAGTTATACGTCCAGCATGGTAAAAATTTTACTATCATACTAATGGAAAATACCTTGTCTGAAGGAATCATCCCTCTTAAACTCCGACTAACCACATGTGGTGTGTGTGTCCACTGTGGATAAGTAAAAGTCCAAGCATTTTGGAAGTTATTAAGAATTTTCGACTTGAGTTTAAACAAATCAGAGTCTTACCTTCCTCTAAGATTACTGGATAAAAAAAGTCAGCATTTCCTTGAGTTTGCTCCAAATCCCAGACATCGACGCCTGCTGCATTCCCTGCTGCCATGGCAGCTCCAAGAGCTGTCGTCTCTGCCATCTGTGGTCTCACTGCAAAATATCAAATGTAAAATTTGGCATTCTCTCGCGTTTTAGTATTGAGTAAAGGTAGGACTCAATCAGTGGCCGTTCATAAAAATGTAGTGACCTAGGGGGGAGAGGGATCGAGGAGATTGTTATGCCATTTTGTTTTTACATGTCGAAGTAGAGGGACCCACTTCACTAAGGAGAGGAGGGTCAAAAATGCCGTAAAAGTAAATTTTGAACGCTCCTTTCCTCCTGAGCATGAAGCTCTCATTTAAATAATCCTCTAAGATTGCCATTCTTCAACGAGCATGAAGAATGTGATAGGTAAGAATATTTTAGGGGGCATGGGGAGGGGGTCTGAAAAAGCAGTCATAGCACTGCAGAAAAGATGATCACATTGAAGTCATCACAACAAAACTCCTTCGCTGAAACATGTTAAAGATATTGAAAACGAACCTAAGTTACTACAATCCCTGACCAAAATGAATCTTGGCTGACTATCGCCGAATATTTGCGCTCGATTTCAAATTTAAAGCAGCACTCTTGATGAAGTGTTATAATCAGCTGGTTGTCTCTACTGAGGGAACCTGCACGGAAAACAAGAGGATTTACTTCTGGCTGAACTTTGTTATTATTTGATGTGATGTTCTGTATGACCCCCTGGGGGCAACAAGGCTTAAAAATCAATCTTATCATGTGCCAATTTCAGGAAAGTAGGAATTAGAAGTGAATTTTCAAGCATGTTTGTAGCATTGATATAAATAGGTACATTGCTTTTTTCATATCCAGTAGAAATATTTTAACAACTTATTGATGATCGAGGAGAGCTTCTGTTGCCTTGCCGGCTTGGGAGATAAGGCAAGTGGAACACCTAAAGATTAATTTTCAACACTCATAATGCTCAGGCGTACGTGGAAGACATCATATTAAATAATAACGAAATTAAGCTTGTGAAAAATTCCTTGGTTTTCTAAGCAGGCTCTTCAGGGGCAAATTTATAATGAAAATAATGTACAATGTATCACACAGGGGAGGAGGTGTCTCTGATACTTTGAACACGGTCATACTTAAAGAGGAAATTTAATTTAGTGCAAAACATGTTAGAATTGGACCAAGTGAATACTCAATTTATTGATGCACGTACCTACTGGTATGCCAACTAGATCAGCTTGGAGTTGCATCAGTAAGTTGTTACATGTCATGCCACCGTCAACTTGCAATTTTGTTAATGGAATTCCACAGTCTTTATGCATTGCCTCGAGGATGTCACGGACTTGAAAACAAACAGCCTCCATCGAAGCTCTTATTATATGGCCTCTCTGTGTATCTTCAGTGATTCCACAAATGATTCTGTAATCATATTCATTCTTAAAATTCACTAAAATAGACTGATACAGTGACCACTTCATGCAAACTCAATACACTTGAAAGTTTAACTGGTTTGACCAAGTTTGACTGGTTTGACCGAGTTTGACTGGTTTGACTAAGTTTGACAGGATGAAGAAAGAGATGGACTTTCAGCATGACGAAAGCAATCCCCTCCATTATCAACTGACTGAGATTTTTTGAGCCTGGGGTTAGAGAAAACTAGTGTCGCCATCCTGTGTCTTACAAAATTTTTTGCATGCAAAAACACCTGAATTGCAAATCCCTGATACATGCAAGAGCTCCATTATTGGTTCACCCTTTCTTGCTAACTCCAATCAAGTTATATAAGGCTGCCGCTAAAAATGGCTTGGCTTATTGAAATTGGGAGAGCTTTGTTTTTGTATACATTGTTGCTCTGTTTGTCTATCTTTTGGATCTGGAGCCTGTTGAAAAAATCCACTGAGCAAAAGCGCAATTTTGCGAGCTCTGAAAACTCAGATAGTTCTTTGACAAGTCTCCTTTTATAATGACTACTCTAAATTATATCAAGCAAACAAATCAATGGAAATATATACCATAAACTGTATGGATTTAATAGGAAGGTAAGCACTCTTCCTATGAGCACATCAGAGTCAAGTATTCTCTTGAATTTTTAAATGGTCGTTATTCTTACCCTCTCGCGTCTGCTTGCCAGTATGGTGCATATAAGCCTGAAAATGCTGGAACGAAATACACATCTCCTGTATGTAGGACTCTATCTGCTAGATTCTCGATCTCAGTTACGTCTTCAATTATATTTACATTATCTTTCAGCCAGTTGAATGCAGCTCCTGCCACAGCAACAGAACCTTCTAATGCATAAACTGGTTTGGTCTTGCCAAGCTGGTACGCTATTGTAGTTACTAATCCATGATGAGAATCCACTTTCTGAAATAATTAAACATAGGTTACACATCTATATTGACGATGAAACTGCAAAAATGCGTTTATCCGTTTTGGAAATCTCTGCCTCTATCATATTTTATAAAAAGAGACCGAACCAACATCATGGCTTAAAATTTTTACAGAATATTCTTTACATGGAGAATAAAAATGACCGGAATTTTCGAGAAATGACTCTCAGTAGTTTCCTATGTAGAAAACAAAGAATGACTGGAAGTCTGCAATGCTGCAAAGCGAGATACGCATTTCTACAGTTTCACCATCGATATATTATATGCTCTTGCAGTTAGGTATGTCAAACGAGGAATGCCACATGTTTTCTATACAATTGCTCCATGGATAAAAATGTACTATTTTCTGGGGTCAGTGTTGCATACTTTATGACAATTACCAACATCAAGCAGCAGTGGTGCAGCTAGGAATTCTTTAAAGGGGGGGGGGGTTCCATTCAAAAACGTGACGGTAAATTTACTTTATTTTGTGTTCTTTTCAGACCCCCTGGACCACCCCCCCCCTTGTCTACGCCACTGTCAAGCAGATTTTTTAGCAGTTTTGTAAGGATACTAGACACTAGGGATGAGCTCAAAGGCTAAAATTTTTGACCTTTTTATCTTTTTAATTTTTTAAGGAATCACACTGCAAATTTCAATATTTTATGAAAATTCTTCAAGAAGAACATTCTTGACTCCAGTCAACTAAAGATGTTCGCTACTCATGCATTCACAAATTTATCGAAAATATTTTCCTTCTTTTTCTTATTTTTATTAATTTTTTTTTTCAATCATGTTTATTATTTTTCAAGACTAAATATTTCACTCATGAAAAATCAGTGAATAAAACAAGAAACAACTTAATAAGATTTTCAATCAGGCAGTACCAAAAATCATACATACATTATGTCCTGTGTTATACAGCAAGAAGCAACCAGTTCCGTATGTACTTTTTGCTTGGCCCTCCTTGAGACATGATTGGCCAAGCAAGGCCGCATGTTGATCTCCTACACACTAAAATCATTAAATCATAATCATACTACATCAATATTTCAGGGAGCTAAATGGAAATAGTGCACATCAGTTACCAAAGTAAGGCAGTGGAAGTCAGCTTGTTTTTTTGTTCTACCATGTGAAGTTTTGTGGGGTTAGCACCAGTTATTTTCAGTATGCTCTAGACCTAGCTTTTTCATTTCTACAAGGTTATCCTTTGATAATCACTTCATACATATGCTGATGCTTCAGGTGTTAAAGAGATCTTTTTTTGCTGAATCATCCTGAACAATTCACCAGGCATTTTTTCTTTCTTTTTATAGTAACTGAGCAATTTATCTAGTATAAACTTTTAACTCGGATTAATTTAATAAAAAATCATCATTTTAATAAGAATTTTGTACATAGTTATCAAGATGGTAAGAGCTGTAAAATTTTATCCTTATTAAGGGAATAGTTGATGTGGGGGAAGACATTAAATTGGCGCAAGAGCCTTTCTGCACTCAGTACTCTGTAAGCAAGAATTTCTACTTACCCCTGAAATAGGAATCCCTGCTAGGTTCCCCTCGGCCATGAGCCCATATATTTCAGATGAGCTGCATATTTTTGGCATTAGATTCATAGGAATATCAAAAAATCTGGAAAGGGTAATTTGAGAAGTTAAACAGGTGGCACAAAATGAAAAATTCAGTCATATTTTGTTATGAAGTTTTCATAGGGGAATTAGAAGTAAAAGGTTGTCGCTGGAAAAAGCTCTGATAAGATGTGACTGATCAGGAATGAAAAAATGAACGTTATCTCCGGAAAACTTAATTTCAAAGTAATTTACATTTTAAAGTAATTTCAATGCAGTAAGACTAAACATTAAAAGGTGCGCCCTTGTCTTGTATACTGAATAATAAGTAAAATAATTTTGATAAAATCTATCTCGGTGTCCACAGTACAAAAAAAGTTAGGATTTAGAAAGATCAGTATGGAAAACGTACAGATTTTTCACAAAGAGTCACGGAAATTCAAGATTTTTAAGATAAACTCAAAGCAAGAGCCTTAGAGGTATGCGATTTTTTTTTTTACATAATTTATCATATCGCACTCTCATGAACTCCCTGTGAATTCTATGCATCTCAGTTCATTCCTTTCCAATTCCTACACTCCACCCTCCAAACCCATGTTCATATATTTTTTGCCAAAGTCAGTCCTTGTCAGAGTTCAAAAGAGTCCTAAGTAAGGAAAAAGTGAGGAAAAAGCAATGAAAAAGCAAGGATTTCAGGAAATCTCTTACAAGAGGGGTTTTTTTGGAAGTACGGAACAAGTAAAGAAAAGCTAATGAAAATGGAAGGATTTACACCCTGATTCGTGTACAATTCACATTCATTGCCAAGTATTATACGCCAATTAGAATTTGAACAAAGGTAACTCAATTTTTATTTCCAAGAAAAAACAAAACAAGCAAGCCAGCGCAAATTTTACTATCTGTAATTCCTTTTTAATTTCTTTTAAATAAGTGAAAAAATCTAGGCCCCCTCCCAAATACTACACAGTTTTGCTATTATTTCATAATGCAAGCATTAAAAGTTTTAGTGTTACCTACTTGCATAGGAGAGGATCCCATTTGAGAGTCAATAAATTCATTAGCAGTGTTCTAGATGCATTTGTTACATCTGTCACTAATACTCCTCCATTTGCTCCACCGGTTAGGTTCTAGAAATGAAACAAAATGTACAAAATATTCATTCAATTGACAAGCCATGATTGTAAATAAAAATGATAAACAAGCTCCCTGTTTCCATACAGTCTGTGAAGTTGCTTGCATAACTTTAGGAAATTTCGTGTATTATTGATTTGGCATTGAATTTTTTCAGTAGCATGGTCGTAAATGTAGTGAAAATTCTCATGGCATGTAATTTTTCTCCTCCAAAGCCGGAATCACATGCTGAATGTGGCTTGAATGTGGAAAGTCATCGGCTCGATGCCTTCCGCAAAATTCAACAACGAGGCTCAGCAACCATCAGATAATGTTGGATTTGTCTGATATATTTGAACAGATTTGATATAAATCTGGATAAAAATAACTCGAATTTGCAAATTTCAGCCATTGAGCGATGACTGTTGACTTCCATATTCAGCTGCCACATTCAGCGTGTGATTCTGGCATGTGTAACTATTAATCAAGTTTTTTACCCAAAATGAGTTTCTCCACTCCTATATTTAGGCTATTTATCCCATATTACTCCTCTTATTTTGAAAATATTTTTTCTCCAAATCCTCTCATCCCCCCCTCCCCCCTGAATATATCCTTAAGTCGTGTAACTTTTTGTTTTATTAAGTCTCTGCAAGACTACATGAAATGGATGCTATTGGTGCAATTATTGATGAAGAAGAGTGAGTTTTCCTCAAGGCAATTGAAGATGACCTCTGAAAATTTCCTCTGAATCACAAAAGGAGGTAGAATTGAATTACAAAAAGCTGGTATTATTTTTCCATCGCAGATTAAAATTCAGTATACAACTGAAAATCTAATGATGGAGGAAAAAACTCATTCGAGGACAGTTTGTGTACTTAGCAAGGCTTATCCTTTCTGTAATTTTTGGGAAAAAAAGAAACAAACCTCTGCTTTTTAATAAAATAATCAATGAATTTGAAAATTTTGCAGATTTTTCTTGACGTTGATGTGGAAAACTTGTCAATGAAGTATTTAAAAACCACCTCTAAATTTTTACCATTTTTCAAAGTAGAGAAAAAATTTGCCTTACCCAAATGATCCATGTGTCTACCGTTCCCACGCAGCACCTTCCCTCAGAGAGAGCCAGTTGTATACTTGGCTCATTATCCAACAACCATCGAATTTTGGTAGCACTAAAATAGGGGCTCAAGGGTAAGCCGCAAAGGGGTGTGAAGTAGTTTTTATTTTTATTTGGTATCTTCTCTAATAACTCGTCTAGTAGTGACACGGTCCTCATGTCCAACCACACTGGAACAAATTATTTTCTCCTTGATTTGACCATCTACTTGTAAGGTCATTTTAATTCATCTTTTATCTTTATTTTTTCTGCTCACCCATAGTAAACCTCAATTTCAAAATAAAACCTATGGCACAATAATCACAAAATGTTGGTGTTCTGTGGCAAATTAAAACACCTTTGATACCTTTTTTTGCCTGTCCATTAATTGCATTGTTCTTGTCCCAACAATCCAACATGTTGACAGTAAAACTACCAAACCTCTTATCTTGGTTTGTAACTTTGCAGATTTTCTATCTGATTTTATTTTTTTTTCAATATAAGCGATCATGATTACCAGGCAAAAGTTGGAAAGAAAATACTCAATTGCAGCCTGTAACTACCACAAATATTTATAGTTACGGAGACTGTTCAGAGAATACTACATGGGAATTTCATTAAATGAACACCCCTCATTCTTAAATTTATATAATAAACCAGCAAAAGTGTTTCATTACGTTTGGTCGCATTTTATCTAATTACTTCGATGCTTAGTGCTATGAATCCAATGTTTCTTAAAGAAGATTTTAAGTCATAGTTTTTCAAAATGGATCCATCATTATAGATTTTAGAGATAGGGGAACCTAATTATTGAACGTCCCTCATATTATTGTGACAGGTAAGATTCACCAGAAAGAAATGTAGGAGGTACGATTTCAAGTCGCATACCTATGGCATTATGCAAAGGTTGGCCTGTTAGTTTATCCCACATAATTACTGTCTCTCGTTGATTTGTCACTCCTATCGCTGCAATATCTGAAGGCTCAATGTTCAATTCCCGCAGCTTCTCCATTGTTTTTGAAATACATTCTCTTATTGCCTCCATTATTTGCATTGGATCTTGCTCCACCCATCCTTCTTTAGGGTAAATTTGTTTTATGGGTGCCTGATGCGATGCTATCAGTTTAGATGTTGCTGCTGAAAAAACCTGAAAAATATGAAATAATTTCAATAGAAACTAAATAAATAAACGAAACCAACTAATTTTAAATTCATATACTGCCAACATCAATCTGTTTACTTCAGATGTGATTTTTGCAAAGATCGTGTTATTCCGACATTAAAAACAAAAATTCAAGGGAAAATTTTTGAAGTTTACCCAAAAATGCCCTATTCATTCAAACTAACTAACCAAAATCAACCCTTCCAAGAACTCAACCTCTCAAAAAATCAGATACCCTCAATCTCCAACTCTGAGACATCACTACCTAAAACAAACTCTAAAACCAATCATACCATCATCTACGATCCTAAAAAAGGTTACTTTCAAAAAATTAATCCAGACAATCAAGAAAAAACCAAAAAAATTAATCCAGATTTATACAGATTCGAAATTATGCAACAAGATAAACTTACAGTCATTGATACCCCAACCTATACAACTACTCAATCAGAAAACAAAAAAACTCCAACCAGACAATCAAAAACAAATAATAAAGAAAAATCATTCGCCGCACTAGTTTGCAACATGAGAGAGATGCCGGCAGCTTATGATGTCATTTATGAAATCTCAAATAGACTAAATGTTGGAATAAACATTTTTACCGAACCCAATAAAAACAGATCTACTAAAAATGGACATTTTCTAAGTTCGAACAATAGAACTGCAGTATCCACTAACAGAAATCTAATCGGTCAATCCACATCCTGGGAAAAACACGAAAACTTTGTAAGTTTCTCATGGAGAGGAATAACAATTATAAGTTGTTACTTCTCCCCCAATGACTCAAACGAAACACTAACTCAAGACCTGGACATCCTGAGACTGAAAATTCTACAAACTCCAGGAGAAATTATCATAACAGGAGATTTCAACTGCCGCTCTCCCATGTGGGGCGACAAATTATTAAACACACGAGGCCGAATTCTAGAAGACTGGATATTATCCACGGACTTAACAGCTGTCAATCAATCTATTGAATACACACCAACCTTCATAGGCCCACAGGGAGACTCTGTTCCAGATATTGTCATATGCACTCCCCAAACTTTGAAGAAACTGAAAGTCAAAGTCCTGGAAGATTCGGTACTCAGCGATCACCAAAGTATCCTAATAGAATTCAACTCCAACTTTTCAAACAACAACACACCGAATAAAATTCCTAGTCAAGAAGGATGGTTTTTAGAAACATCGAAATACCCAGAATTCTCAAAACTAACAAAAGATTTAACTCAAAATCATCTACAAAAAACAAAAGAATTATCACCTGGTCTTTGTGAAGAAATCATCACCACAGCAGCAAATCTTACATTCAAGAGAAGAGAAGCCGTCAAAATTAATAAGCGACCATATTGGTGGAATAAAGAAATTACCAAATCCAAAAAGAACTGTGACAAAAAATACCGAGAAATTATGAAAAAAAGAAGAAGGAATGAAGAAATTATTGAAGATCAAAAGCAACTAATCGAATATAAAAATGAATTGAAGCAAAAGATCATGATATCAAAGAAAGAAAAATGGAATGAGATTATAAAGGATCTGGATAGGGATATATGGGGTCGAGCATATAAGATCTTCAAGAATAAACTCAAACGCCCATCAAATCATGACACGAACTCCCTAACAAAAGAAGAATTACTTCAGACAATTGATAACTTGTTCCCAAACTACGGATACATTACTTGGAAGAAAACCCATGTTCCCAAAGAAGAAATTCCGTTAATAACTAACGAAGAACTTTTTACAGCAATCCGTAGACAGAAAAACTACAAAGCCCCAGGACCCGATAACATCATTCCAGTACTAACAAAAATATTCATAAACTCAAATTTCACTTCATTCAAAAATATGTTAAACTCCATGCTACAACAGTGCATCTTTCCTAAAGAATGGAAAACTTCAAAATTAGCACTAATCCCAAAACCAAGCAAACACGCAAAGAAACAAAAAACATACCGCCCTATATGTATGATAAATACAATAGCTAAGATCTTCGAATTTATATTAAATCAAAGACTAATAAACTCATTCACTCCTTCAAAAGCTCAATTTGGATTTCGGAAAAATCGCAGTACAACGGACGCAATAAACAACTTAAAAGACATATATCATCACCATATGCATAACAGCGCCACTCAAAAAAGACTTCTTTTGTTGTTAAATATTGATATCAAGAACGCATTTAATAGTGTAAGTTGGGACGACGTTATTAACACAATGATTAAAAGACAAATCCCTCAATACTTGATAGAAATACTGAAATCTTACCTTTCAGACAGATATCTAATTTTCCCAGAATTCAAAGTTCAGATAAATTCTGGAGCAGCACAAGGAGGCTGCCTTTCCCCCACCATATGGATATTAATTTTCGACGAAATCTTAAAATTGCACACAACACCAGAAATCCTCAAGCAAGCATATGCAGATGACACCCTTTTAATAATAACTGGCAACGATACTCAAGAACTACAAAAGACTACTAAAGAAGTAACGAAAACGATCAAAAATGCACTAAAAAAGAAAAAGCTACTAACAGAAGATTCTAAAACCGAAGCACTTCTGCTTCATGGTCCCCTCAAAGCCAAAGACATTGAACTGACAGTCGGCGAATCTAATATTAATGCTGCCCCATCGCTGATCTCCCTTGGTTTCACTTTAACAAGGGGACTCAGAATGGGGCAACACATAAAAGATATGTGCTCCAAAGCTAAAAAAGTAGTCTCAAATTTTCGCCCAATTCTTCCAAATCTAGGTGGACCTACGTTCGTAAAAAGGAAGCTAATAATACATGCCGTTTTCTCAATCATATTTTACGGTATAACAGTATGGGCCGATACAAATCTTACAAAAACAAGCAAAAATGAACTCAGAAAAACCATCAGACCCCTTAAAATTGCCCTTTGTTCAGCATACCGTACAACCTCCGACTTCTGCCTGGACATAATCTCTGGAATTCCACCCATCGAGATTCTGATTGAGGAACGTCTGGCCAGATTCAACCGTGAAGACCAATATGAAATAGAAAGAGACAAAATCAAGAAATGGCTAGTACTTTGGAATGGAGAAGAAAAGAATTACTGGATTAGAAGTGTTGTACCTGACCCCAGACGTTGGCTCGAAAGGAAATTTGGAGAACCAGACTTTTACATCACTCAGTTCTTATCGGGCCACGGAGCATATGCCCAATACCTCCATCGCTTTAAGCTAAAGGACTCTCCACTCTGCCCTTGCAATAAAAAAGAAATAGACTCACCTCATCATACATTCTTTGAATGTAAACATAACGAAGACTTACGAACCAAACTTGAAACAGAAACAAATCAAACTATTTCAACTCAAAACATCTTGGAAATTTTAACATCCTCAAAAGAAAATTGGAGAAGAGTACACCATTTTATTCGGGAAACTCTCATAAGGAAACAACGTCTTTTGAATGCAGACCAATCAACCAATGCCTCCCTCGAAGAGAAACCATATGGTAATGCCGAGGAAAATCAATCACAACATTAAACTAGAGTCTGAGGAACTCAAGATACAATTATTATTAACTTAGAAATCTAAGCTTCCATGGGACAGGGGGGAACTATAAGTAACAAATAACTGTATTATTTAGGAACTTTCTTTTAAAATGTAAACAAGGCCTTCGGGTGATATTCTGTTAAATATCATTCCACCCTGTAAATAAACATAATAAAAAATTGATTTTCGTTTAAAAAAAAAAAAAAACTAATTTTAAATTACACTCTAATATTCAATAACATAATCAATACTGTTTTTTTTTTTTTTTTTTTTTTTTTTTTTTTTTGCCTCTCTAGGAAAATGGATTAAAATTGGTTACTTTAGTTTTTGTTCAGGGAAGGTTGCTTGACTTCTATATTCGTCCCTGACAAAGTTCTCTGACTTTTTGTACTGTAATTTTTTCATCTGAGTTCAGGAAAATGCTGTTAAAAATTAGAGTTAGTTCTGTATCAAGATTAAGTATTGACTGGAAAGGCTTCTAGTGAGACTGGAATCTCTTTATGTGTAATTCAAGGGCAAACTGCTTAAAATTCTTGACAATGCTTACAATTTTTTTTTCTCATTCAACATCGCCGAATTTTGCCATCAATTTTTAAAAACTCACCATAAAACGACAACTGCTTGTACCTTCATCTATAGCACCAATCAAAGGGCCGTACATTTTTGAGTCTGTAAAAATTTAGACAAATTCTTTTTTTCACCTTACTGAAATATAGCCTCAACAACTCACCATAAAACGAGTACTGCTGGTACCCTCATCTATTGCACCAACTAGCGGCCCATACTGCCCTTTGGCTATAGTCATCTTTTTCTGAAACAATGAATGAAATGTGTGTCATAAAATTGCAACATTATTGCCAGATTTTTATCCTACCACACTCTAACAGTGGGTCATCGTTTTTTCATTTTTTGTTTCATGTAGGACTTTGCAACTTCGCCTTCCCACCTTCCTCTGAGACTTTTATGGACCATAAATTTGATAAGATGTGTCATTCTCAGCTATTACAAAGTTGATGAATGCTATGTTGTCTTGGGTTTTCTGAGAATCTCATATCTGTTTAACCCTGAAATGCAGAACCTTATCTCTGCAACTAGGTATTACATTATTTAAAGAATATAGGACCATTGGAAAATTAAGTAATCGACAAAGCAAATTAATATTTGAAAGAAAATTTTGGAAGGGTAGTACCCTGAAATTTACACGTATCATTCTCAGCGTTCTTTCTTTGAACTTTGAATTCGCTCTCCTCCTTTAATGACAACTTCATTAACTTTGGCAATTTTTCTCTTTTAGACTCTGAACCAACTGGAAATTTATGGCTGAAATCAAAAGCCTCCAACATGTCTGCCAGCTAATTAAGCTTTGGGTTTGATTTCTTCTCTCATCAAGAAACTAACGGGTAAGATGATAAATCTCATATGTTTTCTCGTTTGCCGGTTAAAATTCACAACTCAGTTTTCATGATGCCTTTCTAACTTTTTTTCATTCTGTAGGTATAAGATTTGAATTAGAATATCTATTTTAGATGGTTTGTTGACATTGTATCTTTATTAAAGAAGTGAATGAATCGTAGTTTTGCTCATGGTTTTTAATGGGAGTGATGAATCCATAAAAACGTGAAGAAATAATCCACCCCCTCCCCACCCTATTTCCTGTGTTTACAATTACTTCTTATGTTTTAAATCGTTCTGGTCAACTAAAATCATTCCAGAAGTATAAATTCAATTATAACACTCAAAATTTTGTTCACTTCCCTGATTTTTGCAATGGCAACTTGCAAAATGTTAAAAAGTACATAAAACATTCAAAGAAGAAAAAAAATACCTAATTAAGTTTTGATGAGATGAGGAGTTAAGATCAGGGCCAGTAAGAAAGTATGGAAACTTTTTTAAATTTTTCAAACAGGAAAGCTTGTTCAACTGACAATAGAGTAAAATATATAGAACAGGTAAAATAATACAAGAATTACCAAGAAAGGAAAAATAATATGATAATAATAAGAAAAACAAAAATTATTTTAATAAAAAAAATATTCTCCTACCTTTTTAGAATAACACCTAAATTGGATGGTATTTATTACACTTGAGAGCACAAAAATAGTGATAAATCAATCGCTGTACTAATGGTACATGCAATTTTGAGGGGATTATTGGGTGTTGAAGGAACACCATAAGTATAAAATGTTTGAGGCAAGAAGCCAATGACAGATGACATAAAGAATGCAGACACAGTTTATTTCAAAAAAATTAATAAAACATGACAAAAGCACAATGCTTCCTCTCACACATAACTAATGTAAATACCTCCCTTAATTTTCATGTCAATCTTCTCGATTATTGCGCACATAATGATCGGGCTGGAAATTTCAGCTTTTTCTACACTCTTTGTAGCAATTCTTAAAAAAAATCATGAAAAAAATTGCCGATCTTCTCACCTAAAAATAATCTAAACACAGACAAATTGGAATCCATACAGCACTTGAAAACAGTGTCAGTCTCATGAAGACTTTGGTCCATGTCAAAAAGCTGAGGTAAAAAAAAACTTTTCCCTTACAGCTGCAAAACTGAGGTAATCTATCAATCAAAACACGACGTTGTAACGAGACACTGACACACTAGAATCTGTCCCGGCTGTTATCAAGAGTGAAAAAAATTGTAAATAGTAACTTTATTGGTAGGTAGGTAAATTGAATGAACTTTGTTTTGTGATAAAGTTTATCTCTATTTTTTTGGCCATTTGTCATGGATTCATGTTCAACTGCTTACATGGCCCAATTTTCCTTGGTCATAAAAACTTACTGAGATGAGAGTGTATTCAAGATTCAACTCAATTTTTTCACAGTCCATCAAATACAAGCATTAGAGAAAAACAAGACTGTTTTTTTGTAATTTATAATCCTATGGCTGCATCATAACTTCCATTTTTACTAGTTTAGCTGATGTGAATCAGTCATCAGCAAAACCAAAACATTTTCTTGAAAAGAGGGAGCAGGGGGGGGGGAGACCTCATTTTGCAATAAAGAACTACCATTTCAACTTCACTTCATGAATAACTTGTAAGCCATCAGTTCCCTTGTGCTGAAACGTGATTTTACTGTTGAGCCAGAAATTGAGTTATCACAAGGCGTAGAACGCCAGGGCACTAAGGACACAGAGAAATATCGTAAGCTAGAGGAGGGTCCGAGAGTTGTGTCTGAAAAACTTGGAACAATTAGCACATTCTATGATCTTTCTGAAGAAAATTAATGCCAAATTCAACAGTAAATGAAGCAGTAAATTTTTTTCTTTCAGATTTTCTGATGGGTGGAGCTTGAGCTCTACCCGACCCTCCTCCTCTTCCTCCTCTCTATCTGCGCACTAGTAGAAAATAAAATCGGTGTTATCGACTAATCAGTAGATTATTTAAACTCAGCCTCAATCCGCCTAAGGAAAGATTTCAGTAATATATATATGTACCTACTGATTAATATGTGGAATGGACCAAAAAAAAACCCCCAAAAAAACTGGATTCTAAGCTTGTGAACCGTGGGTGCATAATAATAATAATAACAACTCGCGCAGCAAAACTGGTAGAAGTAAGAAGTGCTCCCTCAAACCATGTCAAAATTCCTATCATAGGACTTATTCGTAATCATTAAAACTTTATAGTAAGTAATTACCGGTTGAAACATTTTTCATTAATCTAATCCAAGGTGGGAGGTACATAAACAATGGTGGGCACTTAATAGGTGAGCACTGATTTTGATTGTTGGTTGAAATAGTTGAAACTGATTTATGCACCAACACAAGAATGCTCAGGATCATTCAGGAGGTGTGCTTTGTCTGAAGATCAAGTTGACTTCACTTATTTTTGGAGATATGAAGGAATGCGAGGTAAAAGGTCAGCTCTGTGTCAATATCTCAAGTAGTTATCTCTTGTCACCCTTTTTCTCTCACTTTATCTAACATTCAAAACCTGAGTTTACATTCCTCTTCCAGTTGATAGTGATTTTCTTCGAGGTGATAACACATCCGCCATCAAAAACTTTAATTTTCGACAACATCAAAAAGTGAGTGGTGACTCAGATCTATATTGATATTATGGGTACTGGTGCATGTAGTGTGGTAATGTTCTGCCCCCTACACAGTTAACCCTGAAGGGATGCACGAAATCAATTTTGTCATCAGGACCTATTCTCTGAGGATCTAAGGAAAATGTGAAAGCACACGTATGACGGATTGGCAAACAGTATGGAGGACTGGTGAATTTCATTTTATACAAGTTATGAAAAATTATTTCACTATTTTAGAGTTCAGGAAAAGTAAAAATCTTAGCATAAAAATGTTAATGCAAAAACTGAATTCAACTTTTAATGCTCCTTTTTTTTAAATCCGCCTTTGTTTAGAGAAAATCATCGATTTTGCACAATGATATTTTCCCTTTAAAATTGCTATTGAATTTTCAAAGTGAATTATCACTGTGTCTCCTTTACTTGAATGAATTAGACAAAATTATCTTTTATGAAGTGCTCCCTCTGTGAACGTTCCTGTAATATTTTTGGAGATGATCCCATCAGCAGCAAACTATGAAAGCAGTTTCTCCAATACCCTGCCTTTTTCCTCAGAGGCGACAGGGTGGGGAAAAAGACAGCCACTGAGTCTTGCAGGAATATAATGTGTGTCAATCTTTTGAAGTTAAGGAACATGGTGCAGCCTCAGGGTGCACGACAGCAGTTCTCAATGCCCATGCTCCTAGGTAGCCTGTCCCTGCCGGTCAGTCCAGCTCACTACACTACCACCAAATAAAATTTTGGTTCTGTGACAACATAGTATAATTGTATTTTCCAGATTATTCTAGGTAGACTCTTAATGATTTTAATCGTCTATGCTTTGATAGTGAACATATGTGTAAATAAATAAAGGCCAAAATTCAAATTTAGAGGTCCAATAATTTCCTATGAAGTATCTAAAAAAAGTAGAAAAAAATTAATGAACAAAAGGTGAATCGAATATATTGATTTTTACTCTATGTAGTAACATACTGGTTTTAAGTTATCTTTCATTTTTATGTAATTATACTACTTATAAATATTGAATATTCCTTTTAAGTGGATGAAATACACCTTGAATAAGACTGGAGGCATCAATCCTACTCCCCCCCCCCTCTCTTTCTCCCTCTCTCTAAGAAAGCTGGATGAAACAAAACCTTGAGTTAACTCCTGCCAAATTATTTATTCAACGACCATTCAATTCTATTTTTACTGCAACTATGATCGCTTACTTTGTACTCTCCCTCTCTCTCTGTTAGTTCTCATTTAATTTGAATGTCTAAAAGTTAACTATTCGGCCTCTTGTTTTAGTTGGAACAATTGAACTCAAGTCCCATTGAATTTTATTCTTTAAACTGTTTTTTTTTTTTTTTTGAAATTACATCTGCCGAGTGTTCATCTGGTTGTACTGTTGCTTTTTTGACAGTGCTAATGTGCCATGTTTACTTTTTTCCTCACTCATGTATTTTCTCTTATCCCCACTCTAAGAGTTCTCGTATTGAATTGGAAGGGAAGATAATAGGAAGACCGACCTGCTTTGCAGTATGCCCCTACTAGACTTGACAGCCAGGTTATCAGTCTCGAATGAAGAGTTGTTATTTCCTCATGAGCTCATTCATGCTTTCGATCACCCTCCCTTTCATTCACACACCCCTCTCTCCGAGAAAACGTTATGATAGGTGAACATACCTTTAATGAGTTTGACATGATCCCAAAATTAAAGTGTTTCCTCACAAAAGAGTTCCTGTCAACAATGATCTCAATGTGTGAATTAAGCCCCACTGCACGTGGTGCAGATTAAGGCTTGGTTTATTTTTGTACTCTTCGCATGTAGGGCTATTATGCAAAGGTGAATCTACTGTATTGTCTTTGATCAAAGTTATGTAGCCACCTGAATACTTAAAGCCCCTCTTTTGCTCGGGTGACAATTTAATGTTCTATCGAATCCTCTTAACTTGTATTTGATCTGTGCTGTCTGTGACGATGCTAATTTAAGGTGCTTTTTCTTTCTTTCTTCTTTTTCCCCAAGTAATAAATTGATTCCTTTTTTTATTATTTGTTTTTATGCAAAGGAATCAAAATTAAGCTTCTTCTTTTTGAAAGAAAAATGTATGAAATTTTTCTTTCAAAATTGGCTAATACTCTTCAATTTCTTCAGTACATTAACAATTAAGGGAAACAAGATATATTTTATCCCTGCCCTTCCTCCTCCATCTAATAGTGTGATTTTAAGCTACTAAGAGGAATATTTTTGCAATTTCGCAATGTAGATTGGTGAGGAGGAAGAGGGCCTTAATTCAGTACCAAGTATAAACAAGTATTTTAATATCCTATGGCATAATTGCTTGACTCTACATCAAAAGTTTATTTTCCAATTATTAAAAGGACTAAGTCATTTTAACTACTCCATGTCGTTGAAATGTAAACAACATCAATGCTTTTCTTCATGAGGTATTTTATTTCCGGCAATAATATTGATCCGCATCAATTTTCCATTTATTTTTTAATAAATCTCAATTGCAAAGTCATCTGATGTTTCGTACAGAACTGATTCTTCTGCTATATCTACTCAGTTTGAATAGCATTTTTCATTGTTTATTTTTATATTTTTACTTTTAAAAGTGGTGATGTGCAGGGGATAAAAAGAGAAGAAATAAAGAAAAAAATAGAATCAATTCAATTAATCTTAAATCCCATTTTAAACAATGAAGATACTATTGCTTTCATAGAAGTGAAACAGAGCCAAGTCTTTGAATGTAAGCTGAGAATGAATTCCTGAGATATATCCTCCTTAAATCATTTCTCTTAAAAACTCAAAGGCAAAAAAAAATTATGAAGTCAAGATTTTTTCAGAGAAATGCAATCAAAACCATGAAGAAGACCTTGCTACCTTGTTTTGATGGGCGTTCAATGAGTTTTTGCACGCTTCATGTTGTTTCCACAGAAACGTCTGATTTTAGAAAACTAAAAATTATTTAAAAAGCTTAAAATATACCTGACGAAGCTTTATAATGCATAAATCAATTCTTATATTTGCACCTAAATGTAGGGCTTTTACTTCTTTTTTGCACGCTAGGTCTCTTGCTAAACACAAGCAATATTTTTCTGCTGTTAAAAATGCAAATTTTCTTGTTGGGAAACTTACCTAAAATTACAAAACTTGAACTCTACTATTTTTTTTCTTATTATGTGAAGCACTCATTTTTGGATTAGTGTCCTATCAATTCTGAGCTCTATTAATGGTGGGAAACAAGCTTTACCATGCTAAATTCATCAAAAACCTGCTGTCGGGTGTCCAGGTGGAAGTGGACAGGTCTTGCTTAACAATAACTTTTGTTGATTTTAGGTATGCCCATTAAGCTATAAATTCAAGATGGAATGATAATATAATGGAGCAAAAATATGATGGATGCAATAAAAACTCCCATAACTTCAGAAACCATCAGGTCTATCATGACCATAGTGGCATACGAGCATTATGTCATGGAAAAGCGAAATTCCATGCGGCATTGTGCTCATTTTACACCAACGAACATGTTTGAAAGTGCAAGAGTACCGTGCTAAAAAGTAGAGAAAGGGCTATGGTTTAGAAAAGCGGCCTCTACAAACAATGCAAAGAAGCAAACACGGGCCAATAGCAGCTGCATATCTGAATTTCTATAGGAGTTGAGTCACAAGGCCACTAATATCAGCTGATTTTGCAGGCACAAATACATGAAGCGAGTTGCAGTTTGCGCTGACTTGCCAGGTACGTCATAAACTCCCCAAATATCTGTGGGCTCTTAAATCAAATTATTTTTCTACAACTGGTAAAAGGGTTGCATGGACTGAATTACTGTCCTGTGTAGGAAAGAGCCTCATCAGCTCTTGGTTATCTAGTCGATCATCACCCTTGCATTATGTTTCAGGTTGATTTTTTTTCGTGACAAAACCAATAATGGTGGAGCTAAAACGAAAAACGAGTGGTGAAAACATGTTCACCATGGAAGTAGGGCGGAGAGTCTTCTGTGATGGGCACTACGGAACGATTCGTTTCATCGGTGAAGTTCCTCCAACTAAAGGAATCTGGCTCGGAATTGATTGGGACCATCCACTCAGGGGGAAACATGATGGAACATATAATGGAGTTCAATACTTTACTGCCTCGTAAGTTTTATCTTTTTCTTTTTTCTTTAATGATGAATGTACAAGTGTCATGGAAATAGCAAGGCTCCATTTTTTAATTTTTTATTTTCCAAGCAAACTGTGAACGCATAACAAAGTCCAAGTACAGTCACATGACCATTGTTCCAGATTTCAAAATAGACATAATTAAAAATATTTTTATTGAATATTTTTCTCATTCAACAACATTTCCAGTGATTTATTAAAAGAAACCAGAAGCAGAAATTTGTTGAATTAAAGTTCCCGTCACACGCCATATGTCACAAATGGAAGCTATATTTTCACCAATCACATTTCGGCCTTCACTTTCAAATTTCTCCAGAATTATTTTCCTTTAACATCATCATGCTTACTTACTTAGCACATATACATTACCTATCCACAAATTTTCTTCATTATCTTTTTCCATAAACCCCCCCCCCCCCCCCCCCCNAGCCCATGTGGATCAGATTAGGCGGTTGGTCAATTTCCAAGTCCCTCTACTATCGATGATAAAAGCAACCAGACATTGTCTTATGTATATCCTTCACTTTCACTTTGCACTGCAGTTTCCTCGTCAAAAAGCATATTTTCCCCCAGAAACCTCAGGAAATAACATTGCTATCATACAAAGTCGAAACCTACGAAAATTCATATTTCTTAAACAAGTGCAGCTTCTAGGTTCCAAACAATGCTGACTTTTCCCATAAAACGACGAAATCATCTTTCTGTGAGCATACAAATTTACCCTTTGTTCATAAAAACCAAAATCACAACTTTTTCATTTCATTTCATTGCCACTAAATGAAGAAAAAAAGTTCAGCTTAATTTTTTAAGCCGAACAAAGCATCATTTTCCAACTGTCAAATAATGTTGTTGAACTTGTATTGTTCCATTGAAAATATCGTTTTCATTTACCTTTGACTTTTAAAGCTTTTAATACAATCCACCATAAATTATTCTGTGCTAAGAGGGCCTTAAAAATCATAGGATGTCCAACGGTTGGTCGCTTGATCAGGAACACTAACCTATAAAAAACAGCTTGTTTACTGTAAATAAGAATTTCCTACCTGTTATATCTGTTCACACTGCTGCTGTGGATCCACCAACCTAACCAGTTCATCAGTGTGACAGAATAATTTTACATTGTAATGTGGCATTGAGGAGTTCTCTAAATAAATTAGTCGAGTGGTGAATAATTACCTGGTTTTCCCCAACTGAGAGGTTGCAGGCTAATTGAGTGTTTGATTCCTGTCATTAGTTTAGTGTGATTAGATGATACTTTGCATTCTTTGACTGGTAAGCTGTGATGTTGCAATATTTCAATGGTGAATCAACAGTTCTTATTGCAAAATAAATGTAGAATATGAAGTATGTGTTCATCTTTCATTCCCTCCATTAAAAATGAAAAAAAGAGAGTGAAATTCATCTTGTTGCAATATTATCATGTGATTTGCTTCCACCAAGGGCTAAAATATTCAGTTCCCAATCGTGTCTTTCAAGAATTTTGAGTGCCCACTCTGCTGTGTTGAATAAAAGTGCCTTGTAAGCCTTCAGACGTTTCCAAACTATCCTCAAAAATCATGAATTTTCGGAAAAATTGGTAAATCTTTTTCCTCTGATTTTTCGGAAAATTTTTTTCAAAATTTTAACTGAAGTGAAGCTGAAAATTTCAAGAAAAAACACTTAGATTTGTATTAAAAAATTTATATTTTCTGGTAGGAAATTTGGCAACATTCAAATGCTCACACGGCGTTTTACCTTGACACAGCAGTATTCGGTAGGGTTCCTCCATTGTATTTTGAACAGATAAGATGCTTGATCTTTGTTGAAGACCATATGGATCACAATAAGGAACCACTATCTCTGGCTCTTCCATAACAGCAACTTTCTGCATAGGGAAACTAATAACATTTATGTTGCCTCTAAAATGAGCTAGAATTAGTGGTTCCTTATTGCAAAACATGATCCTTATATCCCCTACTCATGTATTACTGAATCATCATCTTCTGACAAGCTATCAAAATTCAAAAACAACCAAGTTTCTTTTGTAAGCTTGGTTGAAGAGAGGGGGAGGGAGAAGGTCCTAATCATCCATCAAGTTATTTTAATAGGTCTCTTTTGATTTCTGTATGCTTTGCAAACATGAAGTGTCTTTTGAGTGATTCTTTTTCTCAAATTTCAGGGCCCTCATCTGTGTTGAATGGGAAAACGACCTACAACGCCACTTTTTAAATCTTACACATTTTGGTGGAAAAAAAAAATTATCACAAAATCAACAAGACAGCCTTCATGATAATAAATTCGGCTACCGCATATACCCAATTCAGAATACCATCTCGCAAGATTCTTGCTTTAAACCAAGAACAAAACTTCAAACTGCGTTTTTCCTAAACACCATTTTAGTCTGTTGTTCGTTTTTTCAGCAATTGTCTCAGTTGGTCAATAGTTATCAAGTATTAAAAGCTGCCAATCATTTCCTTTATCACACTTCATTCTGCAGGCTGTTATATTTTTATATTAGGGGTTGCAGTTAAGAGCAAGAAGAACTCACGATATGAACTTATGACCAAGTCCATTGGAGGAGTAACAACATTTACTCTTAGATTTTCAGAACGTATATTTGAAACCTTGTGGGTAAAATGAAGTAAAGAGTTCAAATTATTATTTTTGGAAAATTTTGAAGTACACAACATGATTAATTTCCTCATAATTAAAGGTTGCATCTCTGGCTGAGAAAAAGGCTATTGTTAAACTTCTTTGCATCTCTCTTTGCAGATATCCCAAGTCTGGCTCATTGGTGCGTCCGGAAAAATTAAATTTTGGGTGCTCAATCGTTGAATCAATCCGTACAAGATATGGAACCCCACAAAGTGAAGAAGAGCTGGCAAAAGCAGAAGAAACTATGCAAGAAGTTCAAAGATCTATCAAGGCTCGCTTTTTTGAGGTGGTTGGTTTCGACAAAGTTGAAGCCAATTTAAGGTAATTCAGGTGTACCAACATCATTTACCAACTGACCTCCAAGTTCCTTTATTTGATAATTTGCACTTAGTGCTAAATAATTTTTCCACCCTCTTTATTTTTTTCCTAAGGGTATTTACAGGTTTGAAAGACGCATAACACTGGATATCGCTAGGAAATTTCATGATAATGACTGGAAATCTTAAAAATCTTTAATTTTGAAGTTATATTTGTTGTTGGTTATATGTATGCATTAAAAAAAATCAGTAAAAAAATTTAACAAATTAAATTTTTTTCTTGCAAAGTTGTAGCCTGGTAGTGTTTATAAAATGAAATAGTCTGAGAAAGTTGTGTCAAATATTCAGAAAAGTAATTTAATTCACTTATCTCTTTTTTTTTTGCATTCAGCCATTTGCAGTCTCTTCAGATTGTTTCACTCGCAGGTTTGCCAGTGAACGGTCCAGGTCCGCTGCCAGAGTTACAGCTTGTATGCCCAAACATCACAGAACTTGACCTTTCGCACACACTCCTTCATAGCTGGGACTCAGTGGCAGCAATTTCTGGTCAATTGGTCAACCTCTCTGTGCTGAACATCAGGTGCATTTTTTTCTTCAATTTTTATCGTACCCATGGAATACCAAATTCTTTGATAATTCTTATTGTGTCTCTTACAATACCAGACGGACTATATAAGTAGATTAAAATTTCTAACTTTTCTGCAAATAAATTACCTGTCAGTAATAACAATCTGGAATCGAGAGCCAGAAACTTAAACAGGGTGTCTGCAGATCTGGAAAGCCTGGAAAACCGGGAATTATCAGGGAGTTTCATCAGGTCAGGGATATCACAGAAAAATCACAGTTATATCATCCAAATTTCAACGGATCCTAAATTAGCCATATTCTACTGTTTTTCGATAATATGTTTTTGGTTAATGGAATTGTTTTAATCATTTCTCTTTCAATGGTTCCAGTGAAAATCGCCTTGCTCCACCAGAAGATGTAAAAGAATTGCGGCCGGCGTTTGACTCTCTTCATACGCTGATTATGGCTCGATGCAGTTACAACTGGTCAGACATCCTCTCGTTTAGCGGTATGTGGCCTAACATCAAGCACTTGAAGATAATGTTCAACGCTATCAGTGAAATCTCAGAGCCAGCAGACACATTGTTGAACTTGGAATCACTCGATCTGGAAGGCAATGTCATCAGTTGGGAAGATGTCGAAAGCCTCTCCAAATTAACCTTCTTCCGCTCGCTCAATTTGACCAACACACATCTTCATGATATATCAGTTTCTCAGCCATTAGAAGGTTACTTTGTGGCCTTGAAACATCTAAATATCACAAATAACAGGTAATTTTTGTAACTTACTGAATCTTTTCATCAGACTTGGTTTCTGCGTATTTTTTTTAAAAGACTATAGTTGGCAGAAGTAAAATTTTCAGCACAGGGATTTTTATGGAGTGGGGTGGAAAATTGGGAATTTACGATTTCATCATAAAACCCTCTCACTTATCCTTAAGATTGAGTTGAAAGCAGTTTATTTCTTTTTAGTGCCAAGTTGGCACAAAAATGAAATAAAAGGTGTAAAGTTACATTATGTATGATCCGGCAGCATGATGCCTTGGACATCGCAGATAATAAAAGAAGGAGTCTTGAGTGGTATAGCTCATTTTTGTACCAATAGAAGGCTTCAAATTTCATTATAATTGTGTATTTTGTGCCTTGAACGTTTCTGATTAGCCTTAGAAGTAGCGTTTTTTTGAAACTACTTTTTTTAACTGTAACACGCAATCATAACTCCAAGTAAGTTCGACATTGTTAAGCGTTTGTCATACCAAACTGATCACTAATAATTCCTTCCTACTCTGATATTAGTATCTCAATTTTGAATTCCTGTGGGCGGTCATATTAATTAAAACTGAGAGGACAAATCACCAAAAATTTTTCTCACAAGTTTTCGTTCACTCTTTCATTAATCTGTTCACACAAAGATAATATGGTTTTATTCCCAGATGAATTGTGGTGGAAGCCAGAGCTGAGTACCAAAACTGCTGGATAATAAAAATGCATAAAAACCTAAAATCGCATGAAATGTGTTTGGAATTGACATGAAATAAGTATCAACAAATGCGTGATAACACTTTAGGAATGTAGTCATCGGCCTGAAGAATTATTTGTCACCGTCTGCTTGCCAGCCTTGTAGCGGCTACCTAATTACTTTTGGAGGGACAAAAAGTGGCAAGTCAGGGGTGCCGCAGCAGATGAGTGATGAGGTGATAATCAAAACATGCATTATGATAAATCGGACACACACAGGTCGCTGCTCAGGTCAATACTAAATCTGAAAGTAAACAATGTATAATTCCTTACAACCGTAGATTAATATGCAGTTGCTTTCAACCTAGTGATTCAAATAGTGGTAATATACTGTTTGCTTTTTAGTGCCCCAGAAACAGGGCTAGTCTTTGCTAGTCTAAGAGGGCAGATGCATAACACACAATAATGCCACTGCTCTTGGAGACTATGAGGACATTTTTACCTCTTCAGTAATTCTGAGAAGTAGTTTAGGGATGGATCTATCGCGATCATGGTTTATTTTCACGGACCTATAAACTTAGCCTAACATCACAGTCGTCCGTCACAGTTAAACTGTCATTGAATTAAAATATTCAGTCACAGTATCGTATCGTATAAATTTTTAAGATTTTTGGAGGAACTTTATCCGATTACTGCATTTTGAAACTAAGAGGGAGAGGAACAATCATTTACAGGAAATAAATTACCTAGAATCATAGTTTCATATTTTTCTGCAGTATTTCAGGATGGCTGTCCGTGAGTGAACTGAACAAGTTACCTGGACTGGAAGAACTAAGATTCAAGAAAAATCCACTTGTGGATCAGGGAGATTGCACACCTGAAACAGTGAGACAGCTGATTATTGCCCGAATTTCCAATCTGAAATCGCTGAACGGAGTGGTCATCAGCAGCAGTGAGAGGAAAGGTGCTGAAAACGATTATGTAAACCTCTACGGGCCTGTCTGGTTGGAAGCTTCAAAATCGGAAGACAAGAAGGCTAGGTTTCTGGCCTACCATCCACGCTACCTTGAGTTGATTGAAAGTAAGTTTTTTGACTAATGCCACAGCTTTTCTTTTGTACCAAATTTCCCAGTCTCTTATCCTTGCTGATGTTTTTTGCTTGCATTGATCTGGCTCAGCCGTGAGTAAGAAAATGATTTTATTTCATCATCAATCAAATCTGTGAATAAATGGTGGAACTCGCCCAACGATAGTCTTTTAAGGGAAATATCGTTTACCCGAAACTGTTCTTTATCTTTGTTTTCCTCTGCTGCTGCAATTGCCACTAAAATGTCCACCTCTTAAGATGAATTCACTGTCATCAAAATTAAGGAGGTTCTTTCATGATTTTTCATTTACAAGAAAAAAAGAAATTGCAAAAAGGCAATCTAAAAATAAGGTTGCCTCTACTGAACTTCGAGTTCAGACTGCTAAAGGACAAGACAAATGATTGGACGCAATGAGTATGAAATCGTCCGTTGAACATTTTGTTAATGGTTGGTGGCTGGTGGCTAGTTCAATCCGGTCTCAGTAAGTCTCCACCCTAAGAGTGTAGACTTTCAACGCTGTCCATGATCCTTCACCTGATTTTTGGAAAGTAATGAAAAAAAAACCACAAGTTTTCAATCGATGTAATCCTCTGACTTTAAATAAATTAATTTAATTTTCTCATGATACTTTGAATAGTTCTTCTTCGATAATTTTTGCCATTTTTTCCCTCAATGTTTTTATAGTTTCTTTGATGAAATTTATTTATTTTTTTGTTCAGAATATGGGCCTCCAGAATCTCAAGAGAGCGTCAAAAAGTCTCCCCTGATAACAGTTCACCTTTGCCGTGGTGACGATAGTGGACCAAATCACACACGTAAACTGCCTTCCTCCATGCTGATCCAACGTCTAGCCAACCTGGTTCAACGACTTTTCAATGTCAGTCATCAAAATTTGAAGCTGTCCTACATCAGCTCAAAGGTGAATTGAGAGAGTGTCTTATTGTAAAATTTAGTGCCAATATACTGCAAAGTCGTTCAAATTGCCAGATGTCATTTGCAAAAATCTGTGAAAGAGCATATTTCCAAGACATTTAAAAAAGCAAGATGCCCTGGGAGCGCTTATGTGCTAGTGCATCTGAAGCAGCCAGTCAGAGGAGACTTCGCCGTGATGGATTCTTCATTCAAAATTTTTCCTATGCCTATACAATGCTTTTTTCCAATTGCATGTCCTCAACCGTCCAGATTAAAGAATAAATTTTATTCATGATAGACGTATTTCCTAAGCTGTAAGTGAAAGCAATAAAGAATCCATATTCAAAATTGAATTGAATGACTTGTATTGAAATCAAAGACCTTTTCAGCCCTCAGGGACCTCATAAAGAAGTATCTATTCAACGAAAGTAGGTAACTGGGAGCAGTGCTCCGAGGTCGATAGACTCAGGTTAGCCTGTTGATAAGATGTTCTTTAGAATTTCCTGATTTGGGGACAAATTCCACTGATTTGCTATTTCACTACTTTCCAAACGTTTCCTCGATTTGCGCTGCTCCATTGCATAATCTCCCCCCCCCCCCCCNATCTGCATAAGACCAGTATATTGGAACCGAACAGCAGAGTGGGACTAGCAAATTGGAGGAATCTGTTGGCAACACTGACAGCCCTTGCCCCTGTTTTGCAAAGATTATCACACTCAATTTTCCTAACAGACTGACCTGGCTCCATCGACCTTGCAGTGCTCCGCAAAATTAATATTCTACCAATAATTTTGTTTTAATTTGCATTCTTGCCTTTAAGAAAAGGCTCTTAGAGTAGAGAGCAAAGAAACACATATGATTTGTTTAGAATCCAAATTAACAAACCCAGGTTTTATTATGTGTTTTACCTCTTTGTCTGTTACAGCACCCAGATCAAGAAATTGCTCTGGAAAACCATCTAAAATCTCTGGGTTTTTACTCTGTCTCGGATAATGATCGAATCATTGTGCGGTGGTAAGGAGCCCCGACGAGATCCAGCCAGAGCCATACAAATACGGAAGCTTTTTGAATCTTTGCCTCATATGTAGTTCGTACTTTTGTACAAAATTTGTGATAAAATTAGTTTTAGGAATTATTTTTGAGAAGTATCTCTGTGATAACTTAAGTTTAAAATCTTTGTACCTGTTTGTAGTCTTACTGTACAAGCGCTGATTTGGCCAACCAGCCTACTTTCAACGCTTAGTTTTTGTATGGACACCGAGGAAATAATCTGCTTTTATTAAATACTAAAATTATTAGAAGAGTGAACTTTGCTAGGAGAAAATCCTAGAGGAAATACAGTAGGTTGTGGTGAGGTAGCCACCTTTAGAACAAGTCGTGACGTAAAAGTGCGCATTAGCTCATCATTCAAAAAGAATGAGGTAGTAGCAGGGAGCAGACACTGCCAACCTGGCTCCTTAATGCCACAGTTCTCATTGGACCCACGTTTGCTTGCAAAGACGAAGAAATCCATCTCTCTTTGATTACTATCATCCTCTGTATTTTCTCTACAGGAGAAAACATAAGTTTGAAGTGTAACAGAAAAATTTGAAGATGTTTTTCAGCCAGTGAATCATCATTAGCTTACTTACAGTCAAAACTTGCTGTTCAGGCTCTAACTCTTTTGTAAGTTCGAAATCCTTGTAAGAATTAAATATTGGAAATCTCGTACCTCCTCCTCAGGCAGAGATGTTCGGAGCTAAAAAGTCCATCATGTGCTAACTGTACTAATTGAATGAAGATTTGCTAGGCTTTACAATCTTGTGCATTATTTTGAGGAGTTGAATAATTGAAGTCAAGAAAAGAAAATACTTTCAATATCTTTTTTTTTGTTCCTCGTAACTTTTAAAGTAATTAGGAGGATTTTTTTTAATAGAAAAGTCTATGAGGCTTTATTTCTGCCAATCACTGTTCACAGTTGTAATTTATATCCATCAGGAATAACACATTAAATTGATCGTTTAAAAAGTTGGGAAGATCTCATGTCGTTTAAGACATGTACCTGCTTGCCTAACTAATGAAAATCAAACTAATTCTGTACAGGGTTTCATTTGATAATCATCCTGTGTCCACATTTGAGGTCAGCTGGGAGTAAGGATCTCCGCCACCATCTCTAAAATCTTTTAAAAAATAAGATGCAACTTTACATTCTAAATCTCTTAAATTTTAGCTGATTCAATTCTTTTTTTGCTATTTGAGCTGTTGCATTGAACTTTTAGAAGTGATACTTTGTAAGTCAAAGGGAGTTTTCTCTTGGCTCCCCAAAATGTTAGAGCGGCTGCAGGGAGGATATTGACTGTGCCTTTTTTTTTTTTTAAAACAGCAACTTCTACTTTACATTGCCAGAAAGAACTTATAGAAAAACAGAACGGAAAAAAAAATTGGCTTTTTAAGGTCATGTTACCAAATGGCGACCTTTCCAAGAATGTATTGTAAAGAAGAGAAGGGGTTGTCATTTGCAAAAAAATAAAAAAGTAGGGTCTGTGTCCCCCAGGACTTTAAAATTTTCAGTATTAATTGATGGAATGCTAACTTCATGTTTTAATATTTTTTTTACTAACTGTGATGTATTTAATTGAATTAGATAGTATTTTATGATTTTGTGTTAAGTGTAAGTACCAGATTAATTTATATGCTGTATATTGGATGATTTTTCACAAATATACTACTGGAGCAAAAAATAAGTTTTACTGCAAATAAGTTGTTTTGAATATTGCAAATCCAAGTCTCGTCAACATTACTCTCCATTTCTTTTTTGTTTGAAACCTTTGAAACCTCCTAGAGGTGTGGCACTGCAGGAGGAAAACAACTATGGAAATCGAACTCCTAATTGGCTCGGCCAACATGCACGTCACAGGTCTGCATGGTAGGTTGTGTGCAGGAGCTTTGTCAATGTGTCAGCAAGAGATGGTTTGAATCATAGTTTGTGTACGTCAGCTCTTTAAATGTGTTAGTGAGGGGAGATCCGCCTGCTTCATTACAGCAAAAGGCCTTTTTTTCCCATAATGCTTTGCTGCAGCTGTTTAATCCAAACCTGTTTTCTCCAACCATAGGGGTGAGCTGAAGCTTTGGACCACCCCCCCCCCCTAAATAAAAGGGAATAAGGGAGGGGAGGGGGTTGCTCTAAAAAAAAATTGAAAATCGTAATCCATGCAATATAAGAAGAAATCAGAGTTATATAAAAAGAATTTTATTGACAGACAACAGTAACAAAGAATATCTACATATTTACAAAATTGAAAACAAATGTTGATTTCTATTTTCGAATTATCTTCAACAAGTCTTGCTTATGTCATAAAAACTACTATCACAGAAATCTTCCATTAGAGGGTCAGTGTTCCTTTCAACGTTGCGATGACAGCAGTGGTGTAGAAACTGCACTTATTCATTGTGTTCATGCTGAATTTCAGCCTCCCTCCATGAATTTTTGCACGCTTCTACTAAAGTTTGCCACCATCTACAAAAAAAAAAAAAATCAAAACTGATGATAAATCTGTATCTTAGAATGTTTTATGATCAGCTTTGAAGCAGCTGACAGGTATTCTCTATGTATCCTATTTGCAGCAGAAATAGCTGGACCAATTACAAGTTACAAAGCAAATGATTCTATCAACATGAACGGATGAGAAGAATAAGAGCGCAAAAAGAATTGGAAGATTAAAAGACTCAAACTCACAAAATGATTAAAAGTTTCTGCTTTTTAGTGTATTTTCCGAAGGAAAGATACACTATTGCGTTCTCCCTCATGGTGGGACCTAGACCTGGGACCATGTAAAGAGCACCAATCTCGAGTCGTAGATCACGAATACATATGTCATTCATTTTCTGTCACACACACACACACCCTCACACACATATATATATATATGTATTTCAGCCAGAGTGAGGATTTTTCAGTTTTCAGAGCGTTGAGCGGCAGTTAATTTTTAAGCCTATTGAAACGAAACTACTGGGGTTTATAGTCCCCTAAGAGTACTTTTAAACTGTGAAGAAAAAATCGGAATACGTTAATTACTTTTCGCACAGCGAAGGGTCAAAGTGGGGGGAGGTTTAATTTTGTCCACGCGATAACTCCAGTAAAAATGAATATTTTGAGCTGAAATTTTGATGGTAGTTAGATATCTACTAAGACTGGTTTCTTATTTTTATCTTTCTTGTTCATCAGTTCACAATTTGTTACTAAGTTTTTTTCGTTAGTTTCAATTAATGTTAATTTCCCTCAACCTTCGATTTTGTGCAGATTAAAAGGAATCAGTGGAAACCATACAAAGCCCATTCACAGTTACGCCTCATTTTCAAAAAGCTAATGCAGTTAAATCTGGCTTGCTTGATGAAATTAAATTAAGACTACAATAATGAAGGATGAGTTTTGACATTCCTTAATCTTGTTAATCTTCAAGCGATTCTTTGAGTTATTCTTAACCCTAATACTTAGAGCCTCGCTATAATTAGGCACGCAGGATAACAGACTAAAGCAGCAGGTATTAAATGTAACGACTTTTACAAGCTTAAAAGAAATGTCAGTATCTTAGCCATTATTGAATTGTATCGTTCTGTTTAACCACCAATTGTAACACATGATCCAAGAATTTTATTTGACTGAAAATGTGAAAAAATGGTCACCTCGATTTCTGGAAACCAAGTCCAGCAGCAATAATTATGATGATCCAAGCAGCTATGAGAAAATGGTCTACTTCCTTATCGGGCATACTAGGTACTGGTCCACCAAAATCAGCAGACGAAACGAACATTTTTTCTTTTGGCAGAATTCCTATTGAATTAAAATGAAATCCAAATTATGTTGTTCCAGATAACAAATATTTTATCACAATAAAAAAGGGACTAAAAAGGGTAACGAATAAGAGGACTGAAAATATGTTCAGGGTGAAATTGATTTTATATCAAGAAGAGAGCTTTCAAAATGAAAAGGTGCATGAAATAATGGGAATACGGTATAATAACATCTTGCAGAATCTTCTCAGAACAAGTTACCAAATCCCAGAGAAGGTTTTTCTTATGGTCTCATTAAAGTATTATACCCACTGGATACATTCCACCCCTGAGTTCAAGATCTGAATGACAGTTGGACCGCGTTTAACAGAAAGGAACCAAGCCACATCAGCTATTGCCAAATTTAATTGGGCAATTTAATTTTTTACGAGAGAATGTTTGTGTGGATTCCTTTGACAATTTTAAGGAATTTGCTTTGTACTGTAAAGAAAATCCACTGAAATTTGCACGAAAATCCGTACATCCGTTTTCATGTAAAAAATTAAATTGCTCGATTAAATTTGGCAATGGCCGATGTGGCTTGGTTCCTTTCTGTTTAACGCGGTCCAGTTCTTCCTGTAGCTGATCAGTTATTCTTTGTCTTTTGTAAAGCTGACATTTTGGCATGTTTCTTATTTTTCTGGCGCCAGGAACACATGTAGAGTCTTCATCGACATAGCAGAGGTTTAACAAACAGAAAATACTCCCCTAGCTGACTTGGCTACTCTCTTACAAAGTGTCTAGCGACCATAAAAACCAAGTACGTCAGGAAGAGAAAACGAGGGACTGGGAGAGTCACAAACTCCGTTGCAAGGTTGTGATTTTTTGCACAACTTCACAAGGCTTCAATACTGAGCTCCGCAAGTCCGCAACGTTCTCTCCCTGTAAAGAATTTTGCCTGGTGGAAATTTGAACCCAACCGATCAATACCAGTGCTTTGTAGTAAACCATGCTTATTTTAGCATTTCCTTTGATTCGGAATTAAATGTCAAGGAGATAGTAAATCCAAGGGTCAGGAAAAAATTTGGAAAGTAGGGGAGATGCTGATTAATTTTATTAAAAATTAAAATAAAAATAATTCAAACTGACAAATTAACAGTTCAAAACAATAGTTTGTCTCCTCAGACGAAGAATAATAGAGGATTCCTCATTAGAGGAAGAAAATTTTGCTAAACACTCTGCCTTGCTCGATGATTTATTCCGTGAAGAAACCCACATTGAAAGAAACTATTAGGCCCCTATCTCTCATCCTTCCTCCTCCTCTTTCTCAGAGCTGGCATCAAAATATTGTGATTTGCAAAGTACCTTGTGCAGTAGACCCCAAGATCTCTTAAAAGCTGATTTTGATTGAGTTCAACGTAGTCCATGGATGAAATGAAACACCCTTACCTGTCATTCTATGGATGAATTTGGCAAAACTGTCTAGGGTGAATTCGCTTTCATTGAATTTTGCAACTGGTCTTCCATTGTGGAACAGAAGTAGAGTTGGAATACTTAAAATACCGAATTGTGTGTTATGACTGAAAAAGACAGAATAAAAGAGGTTAGTTGATTCAAAATACAAGTAAGGTGTCCAGTATTCAAAACTAGAATCACTACCATCATTATAGTTTGCACAATTTAACAGGTAAGAATCTAGCACTTCTCAAGCAGAATTTAAGGAATATTCAAGTACAGTTTGACCATCTAACATATGACGAAATAAAATGCAATTACTGTCAAGTATTTCCCGGGCCGAGAATTCAAAGCAGTCCGATGACACATCGAAAGTAATTTGAATGATTAAGATAGGGCTATGTCTTATCTTGTTGTGTGGACCTCCTCCACTTCCTGATAGTGTTTCTCATCAGGGTACACTTCTGCATGAATCAGACTTAATTCTGAATGCCACTATGAAGATGGAACAGTAAATGGACAGCAAGAATTTGCTGCAAAGGGGTTCATTTAAATTAGTTTCTTGCCAGGTAAGCGTTCTCACTTTGATGCGTTCATTGTTTCAAGCCAGTTCTGGTATTGGAGCGATAAACAAGCTTATACAACCTAAAAATATGGTAATTATAAGCAATTGTTTGTTTCTCCGCAGATACTAACCTTTGGTGTTTTAAAGCATTCAACGCAGCCATTTTTATTGTTGGAAAGGCACGAGGTAAGGCATTAAAGTGGGGGCCTGCCATCGCGCTGAAGGGGCATGTTTTAGCGTAGAACAAAATGACTATACATTCAGCTGGAGCTGTCCTACTGGTGACGTTTGCATCCACTGCTAGAAGATTATGCAAACGAGTTGAATTGATCAGCTGGAAAAAAAGATCCCAGGTGTTAAAGAGAGAAAAAAGGAAGAAATAATTGAGTTAAATAGTCTCATCGCTCATCCCCAAATTAAAAGTCTGATCGCTCCTCTGACGTTAGGGTCGGGTGCCTCTTAGTAGTAAGCTCTTACACTTTTATTTAGATGGTGGGTACGTATTTTTTGCTGACTTCATTTGTCTTCGTCTCTTTTTTTTTTTGTCAAAATAGGTGCTCAAATCTCCAAAACTGTTTCTTGAAAAAATCACTGCAAATCTTCAGGGAATCAGCTCCGCATAATGTTTAAAAAAATCCATAAATAAAACAATTTTGATATGCCGAGCTCAAATTGGTCTTGTTTTGTGGATAATCAAGGATTTATGTTTCACACCAAGTGTTCTTGATAACTGTTTCTATTTGCCTGCAATTAAAAATAAAAAATAAAAAAATGGCTTGATGCTGATGGGACACTTTTTGAATTTGACTATTTTGTCAACTAAGGGTGAAAAAAAATATTGTACTGAATGATACCTCAACAGAGCTGGAAGGACTATCAGGGCTGACTATGCAGTTTACATTCCAAGTAGAGTTTGTCAAGTTGCTTGTGCTTGATGAAATCTTGGGTTGCGCTTTGGGAGAATACTCATCATTCAAGTCATCTTTCGAAGAGTCCAAGTCCGGCACTAGTTCATCCTCAAATTTTTTCTGAAACGTAGAGAATGAAATGGTAACAATAGAAATTATCTCTGACTTTTGTTTTGACAAGGATAATAACGATAATTATGTGGGATCTTTAGAGTACTGGGAAGAATCCTGTTAATGAGGGTAATTTTCGGGCGGTTTATCTCCGTAATGATACCAAAAAATAACTAGAATGGGCCGATCCAAATACCGATGGACCAGTTACTTTTTTGGTCTCAGTCTGCCCCTTAGAGCGAGTAAGGACAAGGAAAGATTTTGTACCACACCGTCATTAACCCCAAGCCACAGAGCAATCACGAAATGAAACTTAGTTGAAACTCGGGGACTTATGACTTACAGGGGTTAAATTTTATGCCTCATGTTTATTGGGGGGAAAAAGGCTTATTTTGGCTTGAAGAAACGAATCTAGGAATCCTGTGTAGCAAACGAGATAATAATCATAAAATGCAAAATTTCAGACACTACTAAAATGGTGATGGAACAATACTGACATGGAATTCTTTGATAAATTTGCTGACAGAGGCAACATTTGACAGGGATTCTTCTTCAAGACTTTTCGGGTATTCTTTGTTTTTAGCTCCATCAGCAGGCTCAACTGCACCAGTTTCATGGGTTGCCTCAAAAGAGGGTGCACTGAAGAAATAAACTGAAAAAAAGGAATGATAAATCATATTCATTTCAGCTAGAAATGATTCTTGACACATCAATACATTCTCTAAAATTAATTCGCAATATTGGAACTTGGAAAACTTTTCAAGAGAGTTTTAATAGGTATCGGTGAATACATAATCAAAATCATTTGTTAATGTCATAGTAATTGATTGAATAGTACAAGATCATTTTTTTCTAGAGTACTTGCCAAATAAGTTTGCACACTTTTAGAATCCAAAAGAAGATTAGGTAGCTTCGGTTTAGTTTCGTTATAAATACAAGAATCAAGATGGCAAATCTTCTGTCGCATTCTAAATGGGCATAAACTTATTTGGCAAGGACTCCAAGTACCTAGTCTGGGAGTTCAGGAAAATTCTGACTTAAAAATTTCTTCATGAAAAAAAGATGCAACTTCACACAAATAAGCATCGGTTTGCTTAATTTTGAACATGGGCAGGTAAGGGACTAAGAAAGGCAAATTCTGCCAAGATTCAATAAGGTATGGGTCCATTGAGTATCATGATATAAAATGATTAAAGGAATCAATCAGATCATCCAATCAATAAACCAGCCCTGCAGTTCTTAGCAGCTTAAAGCACCAAAAAATCAGTATTACAGCATAATTTCAGGTGCAATGTTGAAGTAAACCTATTGAATACCTTTTTCTTCTTTGGTTTGCTAATGGCCACTCAACTCAATGGACCCCATCAACCTCCCAGATCACTGAGCGTTTCTAGGAAACTTTCAGCATTCATATGGGAACACATAGGTCATCAGGTAATTCAAACGCAGACAAGAATGCCAAATTTTCGGCATTTGATACCCTTATCGATCAGTCCACAACAGTTAACTTTGACTACACACCTCTAATGATCAGCACAAATACAAATTATTAGAAGAAAACATCTTAAGCAAAATTTAAATTACATCAAAAAACTTATGGAGTGGTGCTGTGCAGAGAAATAGAGACCAACTATTGTTCCAGCAAATGATGAGTCTTCTCTACTGGGGATCATAGACTTTCCCGAAAGCCCTATCTTCCATTATTTGCGCCTTTGATACAGTGGAGGCTACTATAGTCCGCGCCACGAAAAGTGGCGGGTGAGGGGCGGAGCTAGTCGGCCGGTCCAGTCTATCGCTGAAGGGTTGAAGCGCAGTTATTGGCCCAGCCGTTACCCTGTCTCAACTACGGGCCAATACCTGCGCTTCAACCCTTCAACGATAGACTAGACCGGCCGACTGGCTCCGCCCCTCACCCGCCACTTTTCGTGGCGTGGACTATAGTTCCGATTGAACAAAGTCTTTTTTGGTAAAAGTTGAGTTAGGAGAAGATTCTTGATCAGTCATTAGAAGCGAATTGGAAAATAACTAAACTGTGTGCAAAAACCGCCAAAATCCTTTAAATTAGAGGTATTAAAGAGGTAAGTCGCAGCAAAATGTACAGTACTCAAAGCAGTTTTTGGCGTTTTTAGGACAAATTACTTTCATGGACATTGTACACTTCGGAACTGGCAGCCTCAATAAACTGATGGATGTATTTAGTTTTTTAACTTACCGAAGGGTAAAATAATTGCAGAATGTATTCTCATAGTTCACGGTGACAAGAATTATGACTCAGCCGTAATTGACTAATGGATCAAATGCAGTGGTAGCAGTATTAAATTGTTGCATTACTTGCATTCAAATGAGATGGGCTCAGGGTTTCTTTTACAAGATAAGGAAAGATCTAGGGACCACGAAGACAGCATAAGTTAGCACTGGTTTAAAACTAGCAGATAATAAGTTCACGCAGAATTGCTAATGAAAAACATCAGAGACATGAGACAAAACAAAACATTGAATTCATTGAAAAAGTAAATATAGGTTAGGTTTGATTGTTATTTATAAATATTTCAAATTTTCCTCACAAGAGAGCGTGCACGTTTGCAACTCAACCAAACACTATAGACCAATCAGAATCAACAGAATAAATTCTTTGTTATTCTATTGGTCCATGGCAGCGCTACGAAAATTGAAAGAGCCCGCGATTATTCGAAATGACGGGTGTGTGAGAAGGGAGCGCTAAATACTGATTGTGCCCTCTTGGACTAGCCTTGAGTTCCGTAAAATGATTCATACGCTACAGCTCATCAAACATGTAATAGACATATTCATCTCATCATATTTAACATCAAATTAGCCAAAAATCGAGATACGTAGTTTGGGAATTCCACTGCTAGTATTTCTCATTTGAAATTTTTTCAATGCAATTGTAATTGATACCACTAGAAATGGTGAAACTACCAAACGAAAGATCTTAACCGCGGTATCCACTAGTATTTTATGTTTCTAAATGAATACTGCTTATCTTGTTCATGTAAAATTTTCAGGGAAAATTGTTGGAGAAATGAAGAAAAAATCGTATAATAAAAACGACTACCTTCCTCATTGTGGACTTCTCTGGAAAATCTTGATGAGAAGATCTAAATTGCCACAAAACGAGACACTCCTTTGGTGCTATTCTCATCAATAGATTTTACTAACATGATGTTTGACATTCAATGATGAGTTTCCTCCGATACTTGAACTCCAGATCTATCTCGCAAAAAAAATTTTTTTTAAAAAGATTGTGCTTCCAACAGAAATTTGTTTCAATGCCAGAGCATTCCAAAGGTCATCAATGGATAATGGAATAACCATAGCATGGTAGATCACACTATGATGGAATAATCAACAGTTCTTTGGTTTAAATTAAGCGATAGCCTGCCTCTAAAATAAGTTAACCGTTTAATTTGCCCCACAAGGCCATAATAAAGGACAGTGCACTTCTTATTCCCAGAATTAACACTTGATTATTTGGAGTCTTCCCAAAACTTTAGTTTTCCTGTATAAGGATGTAATGAAACAAGCTGGTTCTTGAATGCAATATACTGGCTGAAGGTAATATTTAAGTCACTGGTTACTGAAACAAAATTTTTTGTTGATCGATTGCAATTCGAGTCTCAGGCATAGTCTCAAGCAGTGATATCAGATTCTACGTAATAATGAAATTATTTGGCAATACCAGTGGAAAGAAAAATCGATTGGTTTTTGATGGAGATAGAATATGCAAAAATAAGACATGCGTATTTTTGTGATGTAGCCATACCTAAGCGTGCGTCTCAGGAGGGGACTTGAGCCTGTGTTACAGGGGGAGAGGGAAGTTCAGGGCTGCGTTACATTCAAAAATATAATTTTGAGCTGAGTGTCACATAGTTTTTTTAAGGGAAGGGGGGGGGGGGTGTCAGACCTCCTCACGGGGGCATGCCTTATCTGCATTACAAAGGGCGAAGGGCTCAAAATCCGATGCACAGCATTAAGTTTTTCTGCATCAATGTCAATGGTATGCTGACTTTAAAAAAAAAAAAATTTATAAAGTGAGGAAAAATTGGGAGGAGTCGAATGTTCACAAGAAATAAGGCAAGCTAATTCATTCCTTTTCTTTAAACATTTCTATGCTTCAATGTTGGCATATTTGAGGAAATTTAATTAGTTCTGAGCTTCACCGCTTCAGAAAGAAAATGCATGATCAGTAATCATGTTTGTACTGGCTCCTATCTGCTAGCAGTCAATACGCCAACCTCTGTGGATCACATAAAAAAGTCGATTTTCAATTTTTCGAACTTACTTCCATGCAGGTATGCCAATGCGCTTATGCTCTTTTATAAAAAAAATGCCCCCTCTTTGGCAAAGCATTCATTTAAAACGTATCATTAGAAACATTGTTTGGGTTTGAGATACAACAGTAATGAATAAGAAGAACAGATTTTACAATAGAAAAAATAATTTTATTAAAAAGAATGATCTGCAATCTTAACACAACATGAATATTCCAATGAATACGAATCTTCAAATCAAATTGGGCTTTCAAGTAGCGAAAGTTTGGCCACAAATGTTGCTCGAGGATAAAATTAAAAGATAATTAAATAAATAAAAAAAAAAACTAAAAAAGTTTCATTGAGTTTAAAAAAAATACTTAGCTGCAGTCAAGAGTATACATTGAACAATATCTTTGCTACAAACATAGACTTAATCCATTATCCTTATCTACAAACAATTCTACTGAATTTCAGTGAAGGTAGAGAATTTGAGAGTTGAGTAAATTGAAATTTGTTCGTTGTTACAAAGGTAAGTAACCCATAAGTAGATAATGAAATGTAAAACTGCTGCTTCTGAAAGATAGGAATTTTCTTTTTTTTTTGGGGGGGGGGGCTGTTTTAGCTTTTTTTCGTATACGGCCCAAATTTAATGGAAACAACCAAATACGATGTACTGTAGTAATAAGGCACAATTAATGACGTTAAATAAAATTATAAAGAAAATTAAACAATTCACATCAAAGAAAAAAGTCAAAAAGAAAGAAATATTACTATGATTAAGGGTAGACAACACTATTATAATTTGTAGAGGAAAATAAATAAAAAAGAAATAAAATAAATAATATCAAATTTTCAAAAAAGATACAACACTTAAATATTATATCATCAACAATGGTAACAACTATTCATTAATTATTGCCATCTTATTAGAAACTATTGTTTCTTATTGACCAAAACGTTCTTCAAACTTTTTAAGTATCATACGTCTTTTTTTTCCATTTTTTTACTTTTGGTTCTTTCTTTTTTACTTTATGATTCTTTTATTTCCACTTTTTCAAATACTTTACTGTAAAACTAAAGTCTACAGGGGCTTAAAATTCTTAAATAAATCATTATTCACATCAAAATATATACACCTTAGAAATTAGAAATAAATTTTCTTAGAACTTCCACAATAAAACAATAAAAAACAGAAATTGATGTGTTGAGAAATGAAGCTGCTTGCTGCAAGATGCGGCGGAAAAATTAATACAGTAAAAGCCCTCCTAATCAAACTCTCTCAGCGGTGGATTCATGGTCTAAGAAAATTTTATGCCCTTCTAGAGGCTGTTTTTCGAAACGTAAACAAATTTTGTCTGCTTAAAATTCTTGGAGTTAAAAACGATGGACAATTGAGTCAGACAATTTCTTGGTTTCAGCCCAGTTTTTTCTCAGGTTTTTATTTTGCACTAAGTCGGCTTTCATCTCTGGGTACCGAGTCAACAGAGGAAAATAAAGTGTGAGACAGAAAAGCTACTTGCTTTGAACGAGGTTAGTTGGAGGAAGAGTTGCCAAGCTTTATAGAAAGATCTGTATTGCCTTCAATAAAGACAAATACTATTGAATTGAAAACCGATTTTTTTAATATTAATGCATCGCATTCCATGCCTGCTATTGAATGCTTAGACAACATTCAACCACAATGAAAAGTTGCAACATTATCACAACGGCATTGAATTTTCTTCCTACAGGTTAACCTCCTGCCATTTAATTACAATAACTTTCAGGATGACACTGCCACTAATAGATATTTTACTTGATATGCATGGAAAAAAAGAATGATAATTTCAACTTTATTCCCTGCTGATTTAGGCTAGCTACAAGTGTGTTTAAATCGACCATATCTCTGGCTATCAACCCCACTTCTACCTAGCACTAAAAACAACTAGGAATAGAGTTGAAATTATCATACTCTTTCTGCCTAGAGAGTTTCTACTGTACAATTTGAGAATCAGATTTTTTGGTGGGGAGAGTTAAGACAGTGTAATACATTTATGTACAGTCTATTTGTTCCTGATGTCAGAATGCACGCTCAGAAACTGAATCAACCATTCAAAATTTGACAATTTCTGAAGTTTTATCCTGTGTGAGGGAGCAATTTTGAAGGGAAATTTTCTGTAAGAAACAATTGAAAAAATTGTGTGATTGCAGGAATAAAGCTAGAGATCTATTGTTGTTCATCTACCTTTAGGTCAAAGTTGGCAAAAATTGGAATGAAATAACAAAAAAAACTGAAAGCAGTAATTTTGCAGAAAAAAGGTGGGTCTTTCAGCATGATGTCAGTTCGACAATACTGAAATAAAATTAAATAATTGGAACCCCCTCTTTTGAACTGTTCGGCATATTTTCACTTATCTTAACTCGCCCTATCAAAACATACATCGATAAGTGCATGATGAGTGGTGTACATATCCATATCTAAATCTAAATTAACTGTTACAAGTTTTACGTTCTCTGTTTCTGCCATCTCAACAGTAGAGGAATTTTTGGGACACCGTTAAGGTTTTAGAAAAGAGGAGCTCATACATGCAAGGCACATTAACTTTTCAAAATTGACCTACTGGTCAAAGTTCAAGGGAAGGAGTTAAAGAATTATAAGAGCATATTATCATCAGACTAGCAACTTATACAGCATTGACAACAAAGGGTAATAAAAATAAAGTTTTTCATAAATTTCTAACAGACGTATGAGGAGGCAAAAATCTTAGACAATCTGAATTTTTCAACGTATTAGCCCCTTGCAAGATTAGAATTTTACTTCCAATTTGAGGGAATGTTTGCACTATGACAAAAAAGTAAGTGCAGTATGAAAAATCGGGGAGCAACTTGCCGGGGGGTCAGATGATTTTCGAATGGGTGACTGGCCTATCAAGACCAAAACGTGGACAAGTCTCATAGACACTTGACTATGACAGGGTTTTTTCCCTGGGTCAGCGAGTTTTGTCTCCTGCAAACAATGTGATTTGGGCAAATGTCTAAATGAAAATTGCAAGTCAATTGGAAATTTGGACAACATTTTGGTCAGCACATTGTGTTAACCTTTTGGAAAAAATCCAGTGCATTCCAGAAAATTGTGGAGGCCTAACGCATTTTGCACCCTTGCGACTACTGCTGGTTGCACAGTCTAAGGAAAATACTGTTGAGGTATAGATCGATGATTTTAAGTGATGGAGGGCATGTGTCTTTTTTTTAAAAGTAATTTTAGACTCTCACAGGCAGGAAGAGTCTTAAACTCAAATTGAAGAATTCTTAATAAATGTTACTACTTCATTACTCCTGAAGAAACTAGATAAGTTTCTTAGAATCAGAGAACAAAATTATAGACAAGATGAGACAGATTTCTGATAGAGTTCCTGGCTTTCTTAAAAAAATGTCTTAAAATGAAGGAAATATATCAACCGTTAGAATATAAAGGTAAAGATTGAAACAAAGTGGTCTGATACAGAGATACAAAATTTGTAAACCCAGATTTTGATCTTTTTACAACAAAGGATCTTCCTTACTTAGATTATGCTTTCAGAGAATTGATGGGATAAGGTGAAAAACAAAGATGAAGACAGAATTCCAAAAATTAAGGCATTTGTAGTTGCTCAAATTAGATAGGAATTAAAAATGATACATAAAAACTTTCAAATCTTGCTATGAGGAGATGGTTATTAGTATTTGTAGAGGTGAATTATTATATGTTCATCAAGGATAAGTAGAAAATCATAAGGAAGGCTTTAAAAATTGATCTCATTCTTTTAGGCAGAAAACACAGTTAGCCAAAGACCTCATCTGAATTTAAATAAATAATAAATTATTATCTTTACTACTTAATTATAAAGCTGAGAAAATTAGAAAGTGCAGTGGAAAAAACAAAAGAACGATGGTCTTGGTAACACTAAAATAACTTGAATTTAGAAATTGAAAAATCGCATCTGTCTCCTTGGACCAGTAGTGACTTGAAATTGTTGGTGAAATCCAAGTGTCACTTTTACTTTCAGCTTTGAAGAGAGTTTCGAAAAATATCCTAAAAAGTTATTTCATTCTTTCCTACTGCTGTTGATGGTCAGCAGAATTAAACTGTCTTTAGTGAGAAAAATTTTCTTTTTAGATATGATTGGGAGTATTTGATGATGAGTACCTGTACCTGGGACTAAATGTTTTGAGATTAGATCATGATTTTTCAATAGAAGTTTCTACCATTTTATCCCTAACTAATTATGAGACAACCCGATTTGCCTCCAAATGATGTCAATATTACTACTGAGAATTGATAAATACTTTTGAAAACAATCATTGTGGTTATGGTGTCGATAACAAATAGAGGAAATACAATTTCAGAATTGAACAAAATATGCAATTTTGAATGAATTCAAGACTATACTTAGATTTAGAAAAAAATTGGTACAAATCAAGATCAAGAAGCTTTGAAAGTGTTGACTGGCAAGAACAAACAGAGCCGTGAATTTATAATCAAAATGGAGATTTGGCCAAGAGAAAATATTGTTATACATTTTTCACTAGAAAATAATTCATAGAGAGCCAGAAAAATTTGAAGAAAGAAAGGAAAAAAAATTATGCTGCCTATTTGAAAGCTGAAGAATATATAATTACACCGACTAAAATTTTAGTAGGTGAGAATTGAAAGATCAGTTGCTCATTGAAGTGAGAAGTGATGTTTAATAATGTAATCTATATTTTACAAATTGATGATTTTGGGAAAATGTCTATGTGCCAATATCACAACCACTAAATGAGGAAATTGTACAAAAAGAAGCTTAAAAAGAAAATTGCAATGCTAAAAATGTTCTGCTGTTTCTAAAATAATCAAGGCAGATAAAGTGATCTAGAGGAGATACAGAGACAGCAGAATTGAAGAAGAAAAAAAATTCCACACATTAAGAAATCTAAAATAAATGCATTTGTTTTACTGTACAACTGATTTGTTCTGTTCGGGCAACATTTGTCATTTTTATTGATAAAATTAGCACCTTCATAGAATAAACATTTTGATTTCAACATAACAAGAAGCATAAATATTTAATAAATTAATAATGAATATAAATATTGACAACATTTTGATTTTCTTTCAATATTTACAAAACGGAAAAGAAGAGGCAACTGTGAACATTTTGATTGCAAGAGGACTCTCATTTAATAAGATAGTAGTCAAAATCAAAATAAGAATCATGTTCTAAGAGTCGATTTTAGATTTTCTACTTCCAAGTAGAAAAAAGATGACAAGGTTGAGAAAAGAAAAAAAGAAGAAAACAACAGGACTATGGCACTTAACATAAAAGATGAGGAAAAATGAGGAGTTGTGCATTTATGCCTCCAAGAGAAGAAAACTAACTTGAGTTAGAATAGAGTTGATGAGTTTTAAGTGACTCACTCAGAACTATAAATCCTTAGTCCCTTGAATACACACGTAAACATAAAAAGTTTAACGTTCTAGTTCCTGAAGAGAGGTATAAAATTAATTCAAGAATACTAGGCGAGCCATTGGTTGAATACTAATGCAACTACACTGAACAATAAAACAGAAACAATGAACATCAGGGGGCACTCAAAGGGACCGATGGCACTTAGATTCGATTTTTACTACAGCTCAACACAGAGGAGAATTTGGCTTTTCAATTCCTGATTCATAAGCACATACATATTCTGCGGGAGGGAAACTTCAAATGTATATCTCCTTCATCTGTACTTTGAAAGAAGTTTTGGAAAGTATCTTAAGCCTCCGATCGAACGGAAGCTGATAAGGAGTTAGAGAAAAAGGTCAGAAAGAGCATACAAATTTATGTGCTAAGTTGGTTTTGAGAATTTGAAGGCACTTATTTCAACCAATTATTTTTTTTTTTATTTATTTTTTTTTTATTTTTTTTTTTTAGAAATGGACTATTAAAACAGACAAACAAAAAAAATTATGATTAGCTGCTTAAAAAATAAAATAACGAAACTAAAGGTAGAGAAAAAATTTTACAGAACAGTTAGGTACTTTCTATTTCTTTGTTCAAACACTCAGTAAACTATTTAGAAAATTACTTTTTCAGGAAAAAAGGCAAGGATAGAAATATAAAATGTTTCATATTATTTTGATAGTATTGCATTAATGTCTTGTTACATAAGCTCTATGATAAGGCTACATTTGAAAATGATATTTCATGGGGTGAAAAAAAATTAATTCAGGTACATTATGACTTTTACAATCATCAACCATCTTTGGTATTATGCAATACCAAAAAATTAAGGATGAAAACCAACAACCAGTGTTCTCACATTTCAGAGGAACTCATATTTGGAGCATAAAAAGGACACTGAAGATTCAAAATACGCTCTCTTTTCGTGTGATAAGGGTTCTTTTAAGTTTACTCCAAGATTCAAACAGAATTGCCTATTGTGAAAATTAAAAAGTTACCAGCACTGAAAAATGTTCAATTTTTAATGAAACTTCCAATGTTTAGCACCAGATATGCAAGCATTGCACATTAATTATTTTAAGTTGGTTAAATGATTGAGATCACATCTGACTGATTTATGTTTTTGAGAACGTCATTGCTATAAAACATTAAAATCTACTGTTTTATTGAGATTACAAGCACTAAAAAATGTATAAAAATCAACACTTGAATTTGGGAGCTCCTGAGACTAAAATGTCAAAACACTGATTGCAATTCTTGGTTTTCCCATTCGGTGATAGACATGGCACTTACATTGAAGTGTCAGAGGCTAGAAGTTTAGTTATTACAGAATACTTATGAAGGGTTAGAAACTGAACATAGAGAGGCTAACATAATATTAATCCAAACATAAAACCCAGTGTTATCTGTCAACGAACAGAGTGAGAGCTGAAGAAAATAAATTCCCAAACAGGGTTTCCCGTCCCATCTCCCTGGGTGCCGTGAGAACGTTTAGTGTAGCAAGGTGGTCAACGCGTGCAGGGCTGTTAGGGTCCTTGTTATTGCACTCCAAGCCTACAGGCCAAAGGTGATGGTAGAGTTATGTTAACAAGAAGAGAAACAAAAAAAAAACCAAGAGTTAGTATTTTACTTATAATCATTGAAACAAAGCACCCAATCCAGATTCTTGACTAAACTCAGTCCTTATAAAGAAGCCCAGTTAAAAACTTTAAAGGAGAGAGGTTCAGGGGAAAAGGTAAAAAAAATTCTGCACTTCATATTCTGATTTTTGGTGTTTAAAAGATATTCCAAATTTGAGCATAAAACGCACAACTTTACTTTGCTTTGAAAGTGAAAATTGTTGTAAAACAGCAATGTGACCGGTGTAAGTTTTACATGAATGACATATATATGTCAAGAAATTAATAAAATGGCATTCATCATCCTTTTAAAAACTTAATTTGGTTCAAAAATCAATGAAACTGATTTAGTTACCAACAGAGATCTGTACCTGAGAGTTTACTGTTCAACAAGGAAACTCGCTAGAATTTGAGAGGACGAGAGTACGTGGTCAAATTTTTGGCTGGTTACAAATATCTTTCATGAAACAGCATGAGTGGCACAAATCAGTTTTTTAAAACACTCTTTCATGTACATATAACTTTTGATAGGTTTAATTAAAAACAGAAACTTTCAATCATTTCTAAGTTTGCTTTTAAACCAGTCTTTGATCAATAAATTCAGACTCTGAATTACGTTTGTATCTTTTGCTCAGACATTTTCCCTTTTCTTTCCTAGGTCAGGTTAAATTGAAATCGATATTAGTTAAACAATTATTATTTTGGTAGAGATAAAATGAGACAGAATTGAAAGCAGAATTTGGCAGATAACTTAAAGTATTTTTACTTCATCATTGACAAATCAATGAAGACAGTGGCACCTTCGAGTTCACATAAATTTTTAACTTGGCTTTCTTAAGACTATGCGACTGGTTTAGCATCGATCACAAATCAGGCTTAAATTGATCTCAATAAATCTGTACTTCTGAAATTTTGGACAAAGTTGAGACTTGACTTAAATCAACTTTACAAGCTGGGTTATGAATAGGAAGCGCACCAACCTTGGAGTGAGGTTCTCATATTCTCAAAGCATGTACAACTCTTAATGAGAAAAATATTAAATGCTCATGAAGGAATTTAAATGAAAATAATGTAAACAAGTTAAAAATACTGTACAGATTAGGTGCGAATGATAAGATTAATGTGATAAGATCAAAAGAAGAGAAAAGGACTGGAGAATTTTTATACGGATATTAACATCTGCTTGCATTGTCAAATTTTTGCAGGAGCAGATAATTTGATTCAAAGCAGTGACGAAAGCAAAAGGAATCCACTATTTTTTGCGAAAAAAATTATCGGGCATCAGAGCTGATCCTGGGAAAATGTTCTCTTTAAAAGCAACAATTTACTAAAAACACGAACAAATGGACCAAGTTAAATAAAACCCACAAGTCGCATCAAGTTTGAACTGAGAAAAAGAGGTTTGAAATTTTATTCTCCGTAAGGTTTAGGAGAAAGTTTAATAACAATTTCCACGTTCAAAATATTTTTTTTTTTTCTTTCTTTTAATTTATGGCAGGGGAAAATTTACGGCAGGAAGAATTCAAAACTCTCCTAACTCATGTTTCTCCAAAATGCGACTTGGTGCAATTTGCTAAACATGGTCCAAATGAGCATAAGAGCATTAGACGATTACTTGCACGCAAGCAATTCATCTGTGGCAAAGAATTGTTTGATTTGATTGAATCGCAGTTGAATATTGTTAGATTTCACATGTTAGTTATCTACAGAAAGTCCGAAACTAGAGTTTCCAGACAGATCAATGTTTATACCACGAACCGTAAAAAATAGAAGCAGAAGATAGAGAAAAAACATTCCTTAAAAACTAGTTTACTGAACTAGTTATGCATTCTTTCAGAGTGGACAAAACAGTTTTCACTTTAACACAACAGAGTTTAGATCATTATCAGAAACCAGATGACTTTCAGATTACCCTTAAAAACTTTGACCCGGGAGTTTAAGGGACAATATTTGTAAATTGAAAAGTTTGTGCCCTTGGTCTGTTGATCATCACTCACGCCTGAGAAGTTGTACCATAATACAATACAAGGAGCCATTCCCCTCTGACCTAGTTTCTTGGATTTTTAAGGAGGAAAATCCGTTACGAGCTCAACGGTATCTCATATCATTGATTCATAGTTATTTTTTTTTTTTAAGGAAATGCACAATTTTGTGCAGAATTGTTGTAAGGACATAACAGAAAAGAATGTCAGAATATGTTAAGAGGAGGGTTTTGCATTTTAAAACACTATCATTCCATAAGTGGAGGCCATGCATAATTACTCAGCTAGATCGAGAAATATAATCGGGTACTTTGAAAATGAAGAAAACCAGATGTACTTCAAAGAGAGAGGCAACGATATCGATTTTTATTAAAAAATCTCTTCATCAAAAAGAGATCTGAGCGGAGAGAAAATTTTGGTAGGAATTAAAAGTTCTCCTAAAGAGTCACACTCATTTCAGCCGTGAAATTTGAAAGGAAGATTTCCAGGATTTAAACTATTTTTCAATTCTGGGTTGGTACCTTCTTTAATAAAAAATAAAAAGATAGGTCCTGTAAATAATTTCAATACTCAACAGTTACTCTGGATCTCTTTTGCTGTTTTCGCTCAGATAGAAAAAAAAAGGGTGATTGCATTCCCGAGTAATCTATTGTCACCTGGTTTCTCAATTCAACTGCCTTCTGTGTTGCTTTTATTGTTAAAATAAGTACAACTATTAAAAATTTAGGGGCACTGATTGGATAGTGAAGAGAGAGCATGAACCTATTTCTTGTAAATTTTGAGTTGTTTCAAATCACCCCTAAAAAGAGACTCACGAAGCATTATTTTATGGTCTTGATTTGTGAGCACAAATCCTGTCGGTCAATTGGTGTGTTCACAACGCATTACCCAAGGAAAAAGTAAAGAAGAAGAAGAAAAGACCCTGATTGATTCATTTATTTTTATTCACACTCCTGAGCTTTTGCCACAAAGTAAGGTCTGCTATCTGCTACAGACGCTCAAATGCATTTGAGACAGAATACTTCCTTTGAATAAAGAATATCACATGACTGGTGACTTCATTGGAAAAAAAGACTTTAGGAATTCACAGAGATTACCAGAAGTGAAGGACACGGTGGGAAGTTTCTTGGCTCTGTCAAAATGCACGAGGAGGATTCTTTCTTATTATGAACTATTTTGTACAGTATGTGTTTACACATACCCTGTACTGAAGTACTGAGTACGAAGAAATGCAGTACTAGTGGTATGAAATGAATGAATTTCTTCAAAAAAGTCTAATTACAAATCAATATTATTGTAGATGGACTACCGTTGCATGAATGAGTCAACTGGATTTATTTATGAAGCTCTCCATTTACAAGGACATTTCTTGACTCATGAGTGATAAGTCTGGATGACTTCGATTGTACATTATGAGAAGTTTTTAGCATTCAAATTTGAATGTGCTTAAATGAATAGGAAAATATTTGTCCATTCAGAATTTTTGAAAATTTTCTCTCAACAGAAGACAGAACTTCTTGGCATACAAATCCCTTGGTGTAGAAAAATCACTGAAAACTCCGCTAGCTCATTCAAACTTCATAATTCCTTAGAACATCCCCAAAAGAGGATTTGTCGATTCTTAACGAAATTTCAGGTATACTTAATTATAATCAGTCAATTCTTCAGAAGTGAAGTATTTGCAAAAAGTCAAATACTTTTAGGTGATTGCATCGACCACGTTCATAGCGAAATAATATTGAATTTGAAACTTTGTCCTAAAAACAAGCTTTGTACATTCACTCAGTTCAAAATTTGGCATTTACACGAAATATATATAGGATGAAGCAGTCAAAGTTGCCTTTGATTCATAATAACTTCTTCAATCAGTACATTCCCTACCACTACTTTCATTCAACATTAAATTTGAGTCCTTTTCTCTTCTGCATCAAAAGTCGTATTCAACTTCTAATTTAATAGATTTCTGCTTTTATAAAAATTAAGTATCAGTCCTAAAAACGGGCTACAAAGGAGCCAAACTAGAACTGCACAATGTAGTACCTGAAAAAAAGACAATAATTATTACACAAAAAACAGGAATTGTCGAATGAGACAACTAACCTTGTGCTCTAATTGACAATGGGAGTTCCAACCCTCTGGTAGGGATGGTCCCGCATCTGGCCCAAATGTCTTCGCTGCTTAGCCACAGCAGCTGCTGCGGCACCTGTCACATAAATTACGTTCATTCTCTCCATCCAAAAAAATCATAAAGCAAATAGAAAAAGAAAAGGAAAAACAGGGGATCTTGAAAAAGAAAAAAATCAAAATATTGGGAGGATTCAGATAATATGGGGCGAAATGTAGAGGATCTTAATTAACAGTGTTAAACTCTACTATCCTCATTTTCACAGGGATCTTAAATGTAATCATTCTATTTATCGATAATGATTACATGACAAGTCTGACTGCAGATTCTTCAAGATAGGTATTGGGATTATTGTTGCAGGCCACTTTGGGAGAAAGGTGCTTTTTTTTGTGTATTTTCAAAAAGCAAATGCATTATTTTAATCTCCCTCGATACACGACCTAAGCTGAAGACATTCAATTGAGTACCAAACAAAGGCTACAAATAACGCATATAATAGGCATTCAGACTTTTATATGGGGTGAAAAGAAAAATTTAAGGAAAATTGAATAATAAAAGTTAATTTCAATGGGATGCCAAGTTATAGCTGGATTAAAGTCTTAGAATGAAAGGAGATCATTTGATCTTAGAAGAGAGATGGGAGTAGTATTTTCAAAGAGGTCTGAATGAACAGAATATCTTCATCTATGCCATGAAATGCAGTATCGCAATAGCTATTGGCTGTTAGCTGACAGGTCAAAATTCAAAGTTTTTGCTTTTTTGAGTGCATGAATAAGGTTCAAAAATAATGGAATTAAATTAAATTTTGTCTTAAGATTCATTGCTATGCCACAAATAATGGACAGCAGAGCATGAGGACAGTTATAACTGATGATGATGATGTTGATGATGAAATAGAAACCTAAAAATAAATGTGCTTGATTTCTGCATAGTTTGTTATTTGTAAGTTTACTTATTTAAGAATTTAGGCGGTAAATATTGAGTATCAAGCTGAAAAGAACTTAACCAGGAGATTAAAAGAGGATAAAGAAAGCAAGGTATAACACTTCATCAGTAGCTGAAAAAAATAACTTAGGGTTAATAATTAAGTCAAAATGGATGTTATTGCAACTGGTACCCTGCGTAGAACCTGTAATCATGTCATGTGATAGCAACTATTGTGCCACAATAAATTAAATTTCTTTGAAGCACCCAGCAGGTTGTTAATCAGGTTAAAATGTGTTGAAAAATCTTTCATCTTAGTTAAAATTGTGTCCACACAAGATCAGTTAGTTGAGTAGAAGGGCAAAATAACCCTGTATAACTGAAAGCTGATGCAGACATATAAAGAAGGGTGAAAGATGATTACATGATAATAACACAATTATTAAGTTATTAGAGTTAAAATTAAAATTTGTGATGCACCCAATGAAAAGGGGGCACAGGGTGAAAAAAATAAAAATCTATATAAATATATTTTTGCATTTTGGGGTTTATTCTGAACCATTAGCCGCAAAAAGAATAATTAAATAAAATATAAAGAAGTCAAAAATTGACTTTCCTAGAAAATTCTAAAACTAAAGACCAAGACAATTTCGCGAAAAATGCAGTTCCTGCTGGTCAAAATTTTTAAACCATCTATGTAACTAAGAGCATAACTTTGCTATATTGTAAGCATTTGATGACAGCTGTTCAGCTGAGTCGAGATGAAGTCCTCGCGCTGTGGCCAGTTTTGAACCCCTTCACTTAAACGTTCATAACATCATTGAAAATACAAATTATGACTTGAAATTTGAACTTTACATTCTCAAGGTGAATAAAAATCAATTTACATTTAAAACTGTAAATTAATAATTTGACCGAAACTGTGTTTTTTCACTCTTCTGAAAAATTTGGGATTTCACCTCGAGTCCCTTTTTCATTAAGTGCAACACCCTAAAGATAACAGGCGAGAGGATTGTGTCAATTTTATGGTTAATGAGATAAACTATGTCCTTGGTTAAGGAGTCACAGGAAGAAATTGGAAGTTCAAGGGGTATAATTTTTTTGCTATCTACACAAAACTGAAATTCTTTTGAGCTGTGAGAACCAGGCAAAACATCAGATGAAAAAAAAAAACACTAAGATATTAGCAGCCACAACTCTTAAAGAATTGTACCTTTTGTTTTAAAAAAACAATTTACAGGCAGTCACAGTTACAAAAGACTTTCAAACGCCGTGCAAAATTTTTAAAAAAAAGCATGCAGAGAGAGAGTAAATCAGGCAAAAATGACAGCTAAAAGTAAAATTAAGATAAATCCATAAGATTCTCCAATAGAAAGATTAATAAAGAAAAGAAGAAGCAATAAGTCAAGACCAGATACCAGCAAACATTTTACAATTAACTCGGGAATGAAATATTTCATTACAGAATAGCCTCATTTTAATAAACGGATGAGATTCGATTCATACTCATCTGAGCAGGTTACCTAAGGTAAAACAATGAGATAGATGATTTAGCAAAGCTTTTGAGTTTTGATGATGTTGAAAATCATAACAGAGACAATACTCGAAAATTAATTTGTTGTATTCCACAAGAGAATGTTACTTAAATAACAATCTTACATTAATAAAAGAAGATTTGGTTGTTATGAAAAAACCATTCATAACTTTTCTGCTGCCTACGCACATGTGTTCCTATCAAGCTAAATTACTTCTCATTCAAGTAAACTATTGTGGGCCAGAGTGGTTGCAATATTTTAGAGAATGTATGAATGCAAAGCTTGGAATCACTTTTTCCATTTTTTCTTTCTCTTTTTTTCCTCTTTGATATTGTTGTCAGGTTGTCATGGCTTCGAACTGGAGTGAATACTAAACGATTTCCACAGAAAAATCAGATGAACGAATCAGATGTTCAGTTGACTTACTTGTTCACTAACTTCTTCTTCTATTTGTTATTTGTATTTGTTTTGTAAAGATGTATAATCTCAATGAAAATAATTTCACTTGTAATGAAGCCTAATTAAAATGCAGTAGTTTAATATTCTGAGGAATGAATGAAACTTAAAAATTAAGCGCATACTGAGAATGTCCTATGAAAATAGTAATACTGGTAATGGATTTTGAAAAATGAGGGTGACATTCCAGTATTAAAAAAATGCTGCTTGACAAGTTCATTTCTAGGCAATGCTTTCCGAGATAATGTTCTCAATTCTACATTAAAACTTCTGTTGGAAGATTGACTGAAAAAAGTCTTACTTGTATTATACTAAAGATAATCGAGATAGATGAAGGAAAACTGCAGGAGAGACTTTTACTGAAATGAAAAAAAAGCAAGAATCTAACAACAAGCTGCTTTTAGAAACATCTTTTTTTCACTTTTTTTACTTCCTTCTCTTTTGCCTGAAACATATTTAGTTTTGGTTCAGTAGGTATAACTCGAGTTTTCTTTGAAATACTAAAAATAAATGTTGATAGTCATAAAACCAGTTCATAATGAACGATTGTTACAAGTATGAATTAACTGATGGAAGTATTCAACAATGAAGTAAATAAATAATATTATTTATGATACTTTCATTTTCAGCAAATATTGAATTTTAAATGAAAGTGAAGTCAGATTGGGAGGGACTCGCTGAATTAAAAAATTAAAACTGAAGTTGGGCAATCCTGCAGTTGAGTGAGAAATGTCTGATGATTAAATCAAAATGCAAAAAATGCGAGAGCAATAAAAAGGGGAATCTAAAACATCAAAAGTTAATTTATAGAATGCAGATTTATTCTTTCCTTTTTTTCTTTTTTTTTGGTGATGAACATAAGAATATTTTAAGCGTAGACTCGAAACTCTAAATTTTACTTAAAAAAGTGTGCTGTCGAGAAAGACTTAAAATAAACAGGATAAAATAAAAAATAGAATAACACAAAACAAAATAAACAGAAAATAAAAAAATATAAACTATCATTGAATGATGTATAAATAAAAGTATAAAATGTCAACAAGAGCCGTTGAGTATTCATAGCAGAAATAAAAATATACTTAGATCAAAAATATACACATATAAATTAATACATGTATATTCCTCTGAATAAATAATATATACACAAATTTACAGTTTGTGAAGTACAAAAAAGAACTACGACTAATTTACCATAGAATTAACTAAATCTCTAAAGGCTGCGCCTTCGGTAAATCATGCTTCAAAACATAAACATAGATTGCTATCGAACTAGAGTCTGGCGCAAGTGCAATGTTCTTTCCAAACCAACCCTAATTAGATATCACACCAACCATCTCCTTTGAACAGCCTTTTGATTACATGAAAAGAGATGAGACAGCATTTAACTTTAATCCTTTCTGTTTATGATTAAATCACTCAAAATTCTGTATCAGTAGCTACAGTCGAAAAATGCCTACATCAGATCGTGATGTTGTAAGTCTTCCTCATGTTGTAGTTTTTTAAAAGAAAACTAATCAACAGGCTCTAATAAAATTATTGGTAAATTTTCTTCACTCCTGCTTAGAAAAATTGCAACAAAATGTGAGGAAACATTAGAGCACTCCTATTTCAATTGTGAAGATGCAGAGTTTTTATGAAGTACATAAATCTTTGACTGTGCTGAGGTGATAGGTGGTGTGATAAAGAAAGAGTACAGTTAAAATCCATGCATGAAAATTGAATTTCTGAAGAGAACTAGTGCATGGCACAATTTGCTAATTTTTGAGGAGTGACAGAAAGGACAGTCCTCAGAGGATTGCAGGTTAAGCTGGTGCAGCAGGTAACGAAAGCGGCCCTGGGAGAGCACGGGTGGCGGGAGCACGAGCGTCAGCGCTGATCGGGCCAAGAGCGAGGGTTATGGTTGGCTTGGAGCCAATGGGTCACACCCCAACCGCGAGCCACCGCTGCTCTGGAATGAGGATCCAACCGTACAGCAAACCCATTCCATTAACAACTAAGGCTCAGGGCTTCTGTATAACTTTTAATACCTTTCTTACGCCCCATCCTCTGGTATCTCTAGTCCAATTTCAGGACAAAAACATCGCGTTTTCAAACATTAAAAGAACAAACCAAATCAACTTGGTTGAAAAACAAATTAAAGATCTAAACTGCTTGAGAATTAAGACATTCTGAAGGCATTTTTAAAACATTATTATATAAAAAATTAGTGCAAAATAGAAAAAGATGTATGCCTAGAAATGCTATAAACTTTTTGAGCATGATTGTGCAGGGGGAAAACCATGCAGAGATCATCTGATTTCATTAAATTGATTATTTTGAAATACTGATTATGAAAAATTCAGCCCAACTTATTTGAACTACAAGATTAAGGACCTTTAATCGGCACATTTTATCAATTTTTTTTTCTATCTTATAAAAAATTTGAAATATGAGGGAATCAAAGCGTAAACTTTTAAAGCATCGAAGAAAAATAATTTTTTCACTTATGTTTCATATTCTTAGAAAGAAATTTTGTTTTCATTTTTCATATGAAGAGTTGACATCAAAATTCAAGATCATCACTAGACTCAATTTAACCACTGATGGACACAGCTCATTCCTGGCTCATTCAATATGCATTTATTGACTGCAGCAGTTCTCTTCCAAGCAGCAGTATTTTTGAAAAATTTAAGTTTAAAAATTTTTCAAGTGGCAAGCATTAGTACAATACCTAAGATAAAATTTGATGCTCTGCGAGCATTGAGAAACATTGAATCAATGTTTTTTTCTTCTACTGTTGGTCAGAGTAGTGCTGGCTGAGGCTCTCAAGCAATTACCAACAGGTAAAATTCATGATGTTTTAGGTGCAAATTTTTCAAAATAGATACTTTGGGTATATTTTACATGGGGTCAGAATTAATTAAAAGTTATACAGTCTCCCTGTAAAAACAGTCATACCACAAGAAACAAACAAAATGATTTCATTACTTCTCAACTGTGACGTCCCAGGATAATTAACGATGCTACAGTAAATACCTAGTTTAGATTATTTATCATTCTTTCATGTTTTCTTGGTTGTTTTGATTAAGAACTGATGAATGAAAGAATCATATTGCGACAAGATTCTGCGGTGATGACGATCCTTCAATTACTTTCAAATTTACAAAGAAAGAAAGAAAAAAATAGAGAAAAAAAGACATGCATCAGAAAATAAAACTTTAGTAACTATCTTCTCCACGCCTACACCATAAAAAAATGATTGGAATTATCGACCGAAAGAGTAGAGGGGGAGGAGAGAGAAGGGGGCCAACGAGGGAGAAATCTAGCAATTTCAGTTGTAATGGAGCTGTGGGCTACTTTTTACTTAGGGGCATCCTAAAAATGAAACAAAAAAATGTTGTCATTTAAGTATAGATATCTGAGGAAACTGAATTGTTGGATAGGAACTTGATTGTCTGGCCACATATATTGTTTGATAAATTCACCCATACCTCTCATACTCAATAAAGATTGGAAAAACTTGGTGAGACTATTTGTTCTACATTTTGAAAATTGAACCAAATAAAATGAAAGAGCTTTCGGCAAGAATTTGGAGGGAAACTGACAGATGGTCAAAATGTATCCAAATTAATGTATTATTAAAATATCATACAGGAAAAGAGGATCTCACACTAGATGCGTATAATTATGTGACGTGTCTCATTTTGAAATATTTCATGAGTACTTAAACTCTTACCATGTTTTCTGAACACGGTAAATGGAGAAGTAGTTAAAAACCCAGGAGGTAAAGGTCATTTTTTTTTACTTTTCATGAAGGAGTCTAACACATTATACGGATGGAAACAAACGTTTTTCCTCGTTTTGGAGTGAATGGGCATCAAGAAGACATCTGACTGCTTAGATTTTTGAAGTGAATACAAGTCAGATCATGCAAGGAATGATTTGCTACCTGGGTCTATTTTTCAAAGAAATATTTAAGAAAAATCAGAGGTGTATGAGGGCCGATAAAACTTCCACACAAAACCCGATAGCTAAAACAGCCCTTTTCCTAAAATACTGATAAAAACTAGGCAATAATATTTGCAGACCTCCTCTACTGAGACTTTCACAGCATCTTGAGACAAGATAATTAAATTTTTTATCACAGAAAATTCAGAACTCTACATCGAGACAGTGTAACTCATTACAGTTCTGATTCTTGACCACAATAATACAATAAATTTTGGATATCCCTGTGGTATCCACTCTACAAGTATAGAATGAGGCAAGAGTCAAGAATCATCTTCTGGCAAAATATAAGAGTGTAGAAGTATCCTTCAGAATACTTTACACTTATGACTTTATTATATTTTATATAGAAAAGAGGACAGATTTAGAAGAGAGTATTAACAGCAAGCAGTGAAAATTTTCAAATAACAAATACAACGAATACTGAACGAATAAAAAACAGTGACCAGGTACAAAAAATACAATGCACTTTTACTTCCACAGACGAATTAAAAAAGATTCACGAGCGTTTTTCTTTCTAATTTGAACATTTCTGCTAAAATCTTGAACGTATGAGAGCTGTCGTGTGAGTAACGTCGAAACTAAGGATTCATTGACTTTATGGACAAGATGATAAAATGAAATTATTTTCTGTATTATTTGATGGTATGTCCATGGCTATAGTCAAAATATGTAAATCTTAGATTAAAACATTGTAAGTTGCTCCTCATGTTTTACCCTTTTAAAGGAAAAGTGACCAACAATTTTTACTGTAATTTTTTAGGGATTTTTTTCACTTCTTCTAGAAAAATCACGCAAAATTTCAATGAGCCATTTTGATTAGTTCTCCTTGAAGAGAATAAAATATAGATGGAGCTTTCTAAATGCTGCAATTGGGATACACATTTTTTGCATTAAACATCAACATGTGTAAAATTACATAATGTAAAATAATATTTAAGACTGTAATGATTAATAATACTAGAAATTCTACTATTTGAGTCATTGACTCAGTTTTGTAAATGTTTAATTATTCTTTGAGATTTAATTTTGTGGCGCATAACACGGCCTTTCTGTGAAAGTAAAAGCACAGCTTAATATTAGCATTGAGTGCTGGGCCTCTTTCTCATTTCCACTCATTTTTCTTCCGGTCAAACTGGCCCTGATAAGTTTTTAAAAATCAAAATGAACTTGAAAAATTGTGATTTCAAACTTTCTCACTGTTGCAAGGTGAGAGAAGTGGCCTGTTGGCACTAATCGTAAGGCCTGAGGATATTCAAGGTTTCAAGTTATGATGGTGGACTGAGCTATTTCCATATGTTCTTGCCATTTAAGAAGACCAGATAGAAATGTTGGCATAGAATGGAAGAAAATGAGTTAAGATATGAAAGAGAAAACCGCAAGAAGCAGACCCTTGTCACCCCTTTCCTCCATGGATCGAAAAGAATCATAATTTGCTACAAAAAAAAATAAATAAATACTTCTATAAAAGAGAAAAAAATGAACATGCAACAAAAGCTAAAAACGACAAAATGCATGCGACAGCATCAAATTATGCAAAAAATAATTAGAGAAGGAAAAATCCAAAATAATAGGACATACTTTGTGTAAATCTTAAACAAAGACAAAGTTGAGGATTTCTTTTTCTTGTTTATTCAGTTATTTTTAAATATTGTTTTTTTTGTGTTCTTGTTTTAGTTTATAGATTTTTTGCAGAAACCATAAAATAAATTAATCACACCCTTTCTAGCCTGCTTGGCAATTCTTTTTGCGAGATAAAAATTAGGGAGAAACAAAATTGACTAAAACAAATAATGTTGTTTGCATGGTTCATTTTCCATGCTTCTGGTAGACTCAATCACCGGGATCTGAGACAACATCACATTGTGAATGATAGAAAGAGAGAGAAGAGACTAAATAGTAAAAGTACCAAGGAAATGGTAGACAAAATAAAATAAAATAACTGGCATTTCACTAATACAGCACATAACTTAGAAACACTTAAAACAAAAATAAAAGTCCCCCCACAATCATTTGTGGTTGCGACCAAGAACAGACAACAAAATTTGGAGAATTAGCTAAAATTTCCAATTTCTCACACTTCAAAGTTGAAATGTTCAGGACGAAAACTGGTTCTTGCATGTATGGGTAAAAATGGTTTCCTTCCTAGCTTCTTAAAAAACATAAAATACCTTCATGGCTAGTTAGAGTACGTTCGCTGGAGGTTGGAACTGATGGACAAAAGTTAAGTAAAGTCATTGACTTTTGCAACAACTTGAATCATGAAATGATATAACTTGCGAGCATAAAAATTTGGCACAGCTTCCTGCCATTATAAGGATAAAAAATCATTCATTTCTACTATTTGGAAGAACATAGAAACAATCAATGGATCGATTTTCAAGAATCAATGTATTGAAATGAAAGAGTGAATTGGAAGCACTTATCATCTGTAAAAGTAATGAAATAACTCCTTTGAAGTTCCAGAAACGACGAAAACATCACCATGATGTTTTAGTTTCTGACTTAGACAGAGCCTAAAATCATTAAGTACAAGGTGCCATAACAGCGACTAAACATCTTGTAAATCAGGGAGAGAGACAACATTAAAAACTGAAATTTTTAGATCTCTGATATAGGTAAATAGCAACATATACTCAACAAAAATTTGATCTTCTGATGACTCATCAAATTGCTGAAACAAATTTTCGAATCATATGAACAAAAGTTACTCTGAAAAAATTTAAAGCCAATAGAGCCATAAATTCTATCAACTTTATCTTGAAACAATTTTTTGTGCGACGAACTGTATCCTTTAGAAATAAAATTTAACGCAGCTCTACCACCAAACAATTTCAAAGATGCAGCTGTCTGCTATGAGACAATATTAATTACTTTTTCTGACTGAACTTTTTTAGCTTACAAGTTAAGCTTGATCGAGCTAGTGAACTTTTTGTTAACCAAAAGCTCTAGTTTTTAACTAGCCATTTCAGATTCCAGTTTTATGAAATGTAGTCTGCCCTTCCCTGATTTGCAAACAATAAATCTTTAGGTAAATGAAGAGAGGGGGGAGAAATAATTATCAATAGACAAACAACCCACCCGAATGGTCCGCAGCAGTGGAGTAATCGGTAAGCAAGGTCGAGCCGGCTAGCGCCGCAAAGTTGGCATAATCTGTGTACGGCGTGAAAATGAGACCATGCGCAGCATCTGCCGGCGATAAGAGCGGCGCACCAGGCGTTGAGCCGTTGAGGATGGACGCAGCAGTTGATGGGATTGTCTGCATGCGTGGAGGTAGGATGAGCGGGGCACCTAATGGATTTGCCTGAGATGTTCGCATTTGTGTTATGCCCTGCATGCCTGGTGACAGGAGTCTTTGTGTTTCGGCTGCAACTGCAGCCATTCGCCGCCACTCCTCATCAGCTGCCGGATCAAAATTTAAGAAAAGGCAACATAAGATACCTTCTGACACTGAACACAATCTTAGTGCAAAAGAAAATTCTAGTACCTTCATGGTTATCAATTTCAGCGACGGATTTGAATTCAAGTTTCTTGTATACATACTTCACTAAAACTTATCTCGAGATAGAACATTGCAATATTGGAGACTTGAAAGAAAATACTTCACTTCTGGTATACTGACAATTTTTTTCCTACCAGGAATGTTTTTTTCAAAAGATCTATACTTCCTAATTCTTTAGCTTTCCCTAAATTTTTCTGCTTTTCACTGACTTCCCCTGACCTTCAAAAAAAGCTTCCAAATATTTGTTTCTTTTGAAAAAATTTCCACATCCAGAGATTAAAATAATGGAAAAAGGCACTCAAAAATCGTTCAAAAGGTACGGAAAATAGGTAGGAGTCAAGACATTACTCGCAAAATTTCCTGACCTATTACCATTTATTTCCTGACTTTTCTCTACCGCTGCAAATTCCCTGACTTAAACGGTTAATCAGACTAAGGCACAAAGTGCTGCAAGTCTTGAGAACAAGTACAAACAACAGTAATAGCTTGCATCATTATCTAGAGTAATTATCGTTGGCAGTGTATCTTACTTCAGGTTTCATCTCTCTTATTCTTCTTAGCTCTCCAAAATTTTCCTCCACCTGAAATTGGGTTAGAACTAGAGATGTGAGGTAAAATTATGACCTCAAAAAAAGGGTGCTAAAAATTGGAGAGTTGTTCAGTGGCTTAACATGTATTATACTACTTACAGCATCAAAGCAAAGGCTCCTACCTAAATATTTAGGAATTAAAAGGTTATAGTACATCTTGATTCTTAGGGAAACATTAATTCTATGTGATAGACAACGCTCCTGTAAACTTTAATCCTTGCTTTAAACTTTAAAGAAAAATTGTGAGGAACTGCAAAAGATATCTGATTGGTATTAATTTATTTTACCTTTTGAATGGTAACAATGTAAAATTCTTATATGGTTGTAAATTTCGAGACATTAAACTCTTTTTTATTATTAATTAACCCTGATACAAAAGGTAAAAGATTATCATCTTTACTTAAATTAAATTTTTATATTTTTTTTTGGCTATATTTAATTATATAATACTTTTGATTATATATACCAAAATACTTTTGATTTTCAATTTCCTTGCATTACTTTTGATGTAAGATAGTAAACACTGTCGGTTTTCATTCTTTAACTGAGCTATTCTTTGTTATCAAGGAGTGACATCACTAAAAGTGAAAAGTTGTTGTTTCAATGTTCCAAATGGCACCTTATGCAAATTCTTTGGTCGGCTCTTTATCATAAGGGGAAATAAAAGTTAATTTCAACCTCTTGCTCAGCACATCAGGAAAACAAATCAGGGCATCTCATTAGGTCATCAATTTAGATGGAAGAAAAATCCCACCAACTGAACCCAATCAACAAATTTCTTTCTCCATTGTAACGATACCTGGAGGACAGCAGTCTTAGGTATGAGGGAGACCAAACCGCCCGCGTCAGTAACTGCGCATCTTTACAAGATCCACTCCTCTGCCAAACTGTCAGCCAACTGCAGCCTGCATGACAGTATGACGCAGAATTGGCTCCTCTAATCATCAATGCATAATAGGATCTCAAAACTCGTCTGGAAGAATGACTAACCAATGTGGATTGGTCTCAGATGGGAGCCTTTCATAAAATTACTCTAAAGAAGTGAGGCAAATTAAAATTTTTGCTGTAAAGTGAAAGTGCTGGGGCAAGAAAAACGTTCAGCATCACGGAACTTCTTGTACTCTCATAATTTGTATAATGATGGATGTGCTTTAATTACATATATATTAAATATGTATATTATTCTCAATATTAAAGCAATGCAACTTACCAGCTGTGACTAAAACTTTAGCGTTGTTATCTCTGTAGGTACCGTTAATGATGGCCAGTTCCATTAATTGCCGTTTCTTCAGTTCATCTTCACCATCCGCCTGCAATAGTAGAATTTGGCTTTTTTCAAATTGTGCATTCTCATAATACATTATCTTTAATTGTTAGAGTTCTTCATTGCCTTTACTTATAAATTTTCTTTTTTAATATTAATGTAAAATAGAGCTCCTGAAAATAATATGTGATCTACGCTTCTTTGAAAACGATACGATGTTGCTTAGTCACTGTCACTTTTGCACAAAAATAAAATCAATTCCACCGAACATTTACTCACATGTTTTAATAGAATTGCTAGAATAGAAGAATAATGTACTTGATGTAAGGGGGAATCTAAAAAATTTATGGAGATTTTATGAAAATCTGAGTAAAAACAAGTTGTGAAAAAGTGAGAAGTTTATGACAGAAGGGTAAACTTAATTCAAATAACGGAAATCATTTGAGGTGAATACAAATTCGTATGAAACATTGAGTGTCAAGATTATATTATCAATTGGAAGAATAAAAAGGTAAGTAATCCAAAAATTATTCAAAAATTATTTTTTACAGATATTAAAGTAGCTACGATGCACATTCAATGAACAAATTAAGGCTTACTCATAGCATGGAAACTTTTTTTTTTGAGGAGGGTGGGCTAAGGGCCCATTTACCTATCCATTACAGAGGTCTACTGCACTGGTATTAAGCAAGGCATATTCATCACAGATTTTCTTGTGGGTCACAAACCCCCTGAGGGGAGGGGAAGTGTAGGTCTCCCAGATTCTTTACGTGGTAAGAAATATCATAAGTCGAATAAATTACCTGTCAGAGTAAGAATCAAAGCGCCATAAAAAATGCATTTTGACCAAAATTTTATGCGAAGTGCATTGATTTTACTTACTGGATTCTTTTTGAATTGACTCATGAGGGAAAGATAATTAGTATTACAAAAAAAAGTTTCCATCAGTTCTTATCTTATCTGGTGGTCTATTCATTTTAAGTCTAAGGGGGTCTCAGGAAACATAAAAATGTTCCTGAAACACATGTGATACTTACTGGTATTAGAAGTTTTTGAACTTCTTCAACAGCTCTTTCTAATTTTAACTGCGCCCTATTTTCTGTGTCTTCTACTGATATTAACACATGTAGTTCCTCACTTAAATGTTCCCAATTTGGTTTGCCTCTATTTTGTTCTTCCTGCAACAACAACAAAAAAAAAAAACAATACCAACATTAATTGGAAATTAAAGGACAAACCACAGACAAATGATAGACAAATTAATAACGGGTCGAAAACTCTATTGACTAAAACTGTGAGACGAACGATCTACGCCTACTTTCACATTCAGAATATTTTTCCTCAGCTTCGAATTTTTTGATAGGAAAAACTGTACGACTAGTTACGCTCAAAATTACTCCTACCTCATTTCCCCTTACATGTGACTTGTTTCCTTCCTGTTAAGTATATTCAGTCTAACTCCTCCTGTGGAAGTATACTCTAGTGGACGTTTCCATTGCCTCCATCTGTGTTTCCCATGGAAAAGGGACGGAGAAGTTGAATAATGAGGGGGGGGGGGGGTCGCGCGGTAGAACAGCAGTTAAACTATTTCGAGAGAAGAGATGAGAACCTAAGTCGAGTTGGGTGTAAAAATAGCAGTGCTTCGCTGGCCACGAATGCCGTATGACGAATGCTCACCAGTTTCCCGATTTTTAAACTCAGTGGAAAAGGGTAAATGTTTCCAAGTGCTTGGAAATCAGGCAAACTGGATCACTTGAATCAGTGACAAATCGTTACATCATTTAATATCTATAATATTATATTTATTGATACAAGATAAAATCCGCCATAGGTTATTCACACCTTCGAGGAATAAGGAGAAAAAGACCAATTCAATAAGTATTGAAAAATATTTAACCTCACAGCGCTCCTTTAGTACAGCTCCGTTAGGGAAACGTGCTTTCATAGTTCGCCTCTGCAGCTTAAAAATTAAACCCCTCACCCCCATTTGATTTAACATTCTGCGGATAATAACAACTTAGAACTGGACGTATTTCTGTCAAATGGAACTAAATTCATTAAGATGTGAGCCCTGAGACCCATAAGAATATATGCATAACAGAGCTCACGTCATAATACACATAGTTCCGTTGGGCAGAAATACGTCCAATTGCACTTGTAGAATTGTTTAAAGTACCTACACGTTTATGCTGGGTTATCACGCGAGCGGTGAATTCCCAGCGCTAGAAATTTGAAAACCACTGTACAAATCTTCCATGGGGAAAACTAAAGCAAGGACCTTCCTTCCTTTCCCGAAACCCTTCGACTTGGTAAAGCTTTACCGAACCGAGCTTACCCGAGCTTTAAGAGATTTTTAAATTAATTCTAGCAAAAATAAGTGACACCTTGGAAGGATCTGCGATTTGGGAGTTCTAAGCTTTAAAATGAAACTCCGGCGAGGTAAAGCAGCTTCAAAGACATCTAACGGTTTGGAACGGGGGATCCTAATGAAACGTAGTGGGACCAAGGAAAAGGCAAACGTAAGAAAGGAAAACCACGACAAGGTTGGCGCAAGACCAAAACATGGATGAACTGACGAACTTGCGAGTCGTGACAACCCAACTGAAGCGGAATAGAACTTCGGTATGCTGATAGTGCCAAATTACAAGTCCACCAGAAACCTTCAAGGATCGAGAGACTCCAAGATGCGCCAACACATTCGCTACAGTCCATGTCTACCAGTTAACTTCGTCTCATTCGTCGGCCGTAAAGATTAAATTCAACTCTTGAAAATCATTCTACTTATTTCCATTCTTAACTATCTACTAATTTCAAATTTCTCTGCGCTTAAAGAAAAACAAAAATTTTACACCGCAATCACACGCTGAATGTGGGAGCTGAATGTGGCTTGAATACGGGAGTCATCGGCCCGATACCTGAATTTTGCGCGTGCACGCGCAAAATTCAGCAACGATTCTCAGCAACCATCGGACCAATTTTGAATTTGTCTGAACTATTCGAGTAGATTTGATACACATCTGGATGAAAATAACTCGAATTTGCTAAAATTCAGCCGTTGGGCGATGACTGTTGACTTCCACATTCAGGTGCTAAATTCAGCGTCTGATTGCGGCATTACTCAATTTTCCTCAATTTTCCAAGATTATTTTTCATTCCACTTACTATTTACGCCGTTGTGGGTCGTGAAAGCCTCTGACAACGCGGCACAGGCAGAATTTGGGGAAAGCCGAAGGAAGCTTGCCCCCTCCCCCCTAAATCCTACTTAGTCCGGCTTAGAAAAAAGGGGGATTTAGCGAAATAACTGCGTGACATTTCTGTCAGAGGCGGACTAACGCGAAGAGCTATGAGGCGACTGCCCCCTAAACTTTTGCCAAATATAGGAGCTTCTGCCTCGGAGAGGCTCTTGTTGGCAAACTTCGAAGTTGAGGCTCCCATTCAGAAACTTTTTTAGAAATCTTTTAAAACCTCTCCGAGCCCTTTCTCCTATCCAAGATAGCGTCTAGCCCNCAAAAAAAAAATCCTGTATCCTGGGGGGCCCGCCTGCCAGAGAATTTTAAGCCATTTCATCCCTAATCTCTGTCATTTTTAAAATTTTATTCCGACCAACTGTGCGGTAGGAATGTAGGATCAGCTTAAAATTGCTCCTGAGACGACTCAAATTTCAAAGTTTATCCAGGGAGATCTCCCTCGGAGCTTTGCTGGCACCCCCAGATCAGTGAGCCCCCCTCCATTTCCTTTGGCTAGGTTCCTTTCTGAAGAACACTTCCTCTACTTTCCTGAAAAAACTTTCATGAGCTGTGCTTTTTTAGGTGTGGATATCCATAGGTCCGTAGGATTAACACCCCGATGTTTTTACGGTTGCATCGGAGACGCAGAGGTTGAGCTCGACTCTCGGCGGGAACCGGGCGGTTGCTGCGACACGTCAAAACCTCGCGTCGGGGCTCTGTTATTATTTTAAGCGAGGAAAAAGTCTAAATCATTTTTATTTTTATTTCGGGGCGCTTAAATCACGGGCCGTGGCTCCGGTCCCAACGTCCACACTCCACACTCCACGCTCCCCGCTAACACTTGGCGGCTCCTCATTTATTTCCATCTCGTCGCGAACCGCGCTGGATATTCAAATCTTTCGCTACAACTTTCGGCTCCTTCTCCTGCTATGCTCCGGCTCCGTCGCCCGTCGCCGGCTGGTGAATTATTTATAAGCGCCCACGCGTACACTCATTCGCCCCACCGTTGCCGGCTCCTCGTCCTCCATCGGAGCCAGTGTATTTCCCAGTGGCGTGGCGTGCTCTGCGATATATCTATTGGATTGCATTTTGCAAAAAGGAACCACTAGCAATGCAATGATGTTTAGATTGTGCAACTTCATATTTTGCAATAAAATTGCGGAAATCGTGAAAAACTATGAAATTTAGATGGTAATTTTTGTCTTAAATTTACAGTTATTAGCGAGTAAAATAGAAACTATTAATGGATAATCGGGTTTTTCCTCCAAGACAAAAGAAGTTGCACAATCTTAGCAACATTGCAATGCTAGTGGTTCCTTTTTGCAAAATGCAATCCTATTGATCTACCATTTGAACCTATGGAAAAGGATCGATAAACGGGATGTTCGCACCGAGCACCTTAGTAATCGACTTTTTACCATAGCTTCAAATGGGGAAATATCGATAATCGATCATTCACGCCACGCCACTGGTATTTCCGAGACCTACCCCTCCTATCTTGCCTGTGGCGTTCCCCACTCATCACACTTTCGGAAATCAACGCTAGGGTTCACCTGGTGACGAAAAATTGAAGAATTTGATTTAGCCTCAACCTACTTCGCAAAAACTCTCCTGCGGGCTGATTATCGAAATTGATAGACAAAGAAGACATAGTGATTATGGAGCAATCCTATTTGGTCGAAATGGGAGGTTTCTATAGACTATAGACTTAGGAAGAAGATGATGGACTAAAAAATGGTCTCTCATAGGTTGCCGTTGGTTTGTCAATTACCTACCTCCTTCGTCCAATGCAACCACCCGCTTCCACCAATAGGATCCCTCCGAATCCCTTTCGTCTTCTTTGTCTACAGCTTCATCTATCAATTTCAATAATCGGCCCGCTGGCAAAAGGCTCACCCCGACATTTACCAGTCATCATTTTTCGAGTTCTAGGCGCAAGAAGTTGCTTATAAATCATCATGAAGCGAAGAGTAGCGTTGACCTCCAAGCTTCACCCGGCTACATTGCTTGGATCGTTGAGGCGGGGTCTCTAAAACATTTTGTCTCTGTAATGTGAGAGTCAAATCAGAGGTGGATCCTCTGGTACATTTGGATCTTCCGATGGATCCTCCAGGTTGTTCCCTGACAAAACTGGCAACGAAGCGAAACCCGATCCGGTGGACTTTCGAGCCCATTTTTGCCGACTCATCATATGTTCATTCGATTGTTCGGCTTTAATATTTAGTCCCAGTTTCGCCACTAGTGCTCCCATTAACAAACTTATAACTCAAGCCGCTTGCGGGCCCTGTTAGGAACGGAAAACGGAGGCTATTCGTTTGAGGACATACTGCACTGTAGCGACAACTACTGTGCCCCTCGCCATCCCCACTTGCTAAATTTCTCAAAGAACTTCGCCTTTGAAGCGCCTTCATATCGACTTGATACTCAACGCTTCGCCTCAGAGTTAGTTGAGTTGTCCGGCAGGACCGGATTGAGGGGGTGGCCATATGGGCCGCGGCCCATGGCGGCAAATTTTGCAATTTTTTTAAATGTAGGTAATAAAAAAATCGGATTCAGAAAAAAAATTATCAATGAGAAAAGGGGACAACATCTCTCTTTTCTGAGAGTACAGAAATTTCTAATTTCTTCGTTTTTCGGTATTACAAGAGACAGCATCTTTAACTAGTCGAGTTAAGAGAGGAACTAAACACGCAATTTGGCCTGGAGCTTAGCGCAGAGAGGAATGATGACGAGAACTTGAAAATAATGAAAAGGACAAGCCCTCGGCGCGGCGCGGCGGTCGGCATGTAACACATATTAGCGCCTACAAGACTGCATGAATACTTCACCCATTGCGTCAAACACAGTGCGGTCAGGAGCGGTTGGCGCGGCGTGAAACGCATAGCGCCTGCAAGGCTGCACGAATACTTCACGCATTGCGCCAAACACAGTGCGATCATCAGCGCGGCGCA